GCTATCGCAAACCGACCCGGGGACTTTATGAAGTGTGTTTAAAATGGCAGGAAAGCATTGCAGAGCGCAATAAAATGTACTGCTTTGATGGGAAAGACCCATGTGTAGGCTTTGTGGCATATATGAACGTTATATTTTGAAAGCCCTCAAAGTAACGCCAATTCATTACAATAGAGTAAGGTGAAAACTGCCCAAAACGGCAGGCACCGATTTAGACGGGAATAATTCTAATTCCTAAGATATGCATATTTTTAGTTTTATTTGAGGAAGAGGAAATTTGCATAGTTGGAGGAGAAGATGAACCATTTTAATCTCTTTCTTTCCGGGAGAGAAAATTAAGTGGGACGTAAAGTGGGTTCAATTTCATTATGCATTATAAATAGCTATTCTTAACAGGGGGTGTGGATTTTTGTCGCTGCAATGGAAGCGAAGCGTCAATCGAAAAAGGATGACACTACAATTTGTTAATTTGACACTGTAGGAATTTGGTAGTTGGATATTGTAAAATACATGCAAAACAGAAATGAGATTTTCTGTCTGGCTTTATTCCCCTAAGTTGTGTTTAAGCATCATTCATTCGGATTGTTTAGTAGCCAGAAACGAATCATGCTTTAAATTGTTCCAACTTTGTGCAACTGTTTAACTAAGACCAACGTAAAATCTGCACAAAGAATTATGGTGATCACAGCGCGTTTGCATGCAAACTCATCAGAAGAGTCCGGTGTAGAGGACATTTACCTAATTCAAATGGAGCGATTTTTCTCTTTTACCCAATAGACGACGTAAAGAGGTATTTATTCTTCGGTCAAAAATGCAAATTAGCCCATCCGATCTTACGTCTCGCGACGAAGGGTGGATGAATGTGTAGGAGAACATCTGCCTCAGACTGAGGGGATGGAAACGCCTCATGAAAACAGCTGCACAAAGTGGCAGTACAATACTTCACAACGTTTCAATCACTTTAACACAGAAAACGGTAATTTTATTTCCATTAGCTATGGGTTGGTTTTGTATCTGAAGTTATTTTCGAGTGTCCGATTATGCAAATGCTCTTTGTGTAGAATACGTCAATATACATCCATTAAGGCGAAGTACTTTATCTGTAAAGAGATTATCCGGCCACGAATGCACTGTATTATATTCAAATCCTACTGCGTAAAGAAAAAAGAAAAAAACAAAGTAAGTGAGCCGCTTTTCAGATCGCCTAAGTGAGGTGATTTGAGTCCACGGGTCTTCACGTCACCTAAGGTAATGACAAGACTGGTCACACCTCATGTACCCGTTACCGGACACCACACATCATTACGGGTGAAGGGGAGACGGACGGCCGGACGGACGATTGGGTCATGCAAGTGTTGGAGGCCAGCAACGCCTTTACACGCCGTTCTACCAGACCTCTGAGCCAACCCTCCCCCACTTTCCTCCTCCCACTCCTCAGTCTGGACAATGTGGCGTCACCTAACGCCAGTCTCATTAGTTATGCAAGACGACGCGCGTCTGAAAGAGGCTATCTGCCTGGTTGTGCGGAGCTTGAGCTGCAACCAACCCTGGTAACAACAACGAGACACATTCAGCTGCACGCATTCATAAGGACGCAGACATTGTTGAGTGTTTTCCGTTTCCGATGACGCAATCGAAAGCAAGCCATCAAGTAATTCACGTTACTGTTTTAATCGTCTGCAGCAGCATAATGTGAATTATTAAAAAAAAAAAACTCGTTTCTGCCTGATAGTAATTACCCAACTATTGAGGACGTTCCGTAAGAATACAGAGAGAAGAAAATAGGTGCGATTAGTTCTTGTGAATCACTTATTCAATTTGAGAGCATTACACAAAAAGATTTATTTTTAAATATAAGAAAAGTGCTCAGCCAGATGATTGCTTTTATTTGCCTTTGGGGGAGGGGTCGGACTGCTGCTTGAAGAAGGCGCCTCTTTTACGGCCCTACATTTGCTAAATTATAAGCATAATGGATTTGAATCAGTCACCTGAACTCTTATCGCATTTCATGAAAAGAACATTGCTTAAACTCAGACTTTAATGTTTAGTATTGCTCTGTCTTTAAGTATCAAGCAAGGGGAAAGTGGGTAAACAATTTCCAAGACTCATCATTGTCAGTAGATGATTCTGGCCTATTAAAAGGAGCAGTCCAGGCATTTGCATCCGAAATTTTTGAGAGTCTTGTTTAAACGAAATAAGGGAAGTATTCCCTTTCTTTGGAGTTTTAGTATTTTCAAAGTTTGGTTTATGCAACTCGCCTGTTTCCAGATTTAGAGGAGGAATAAATGCGCAGAAGTCTTATTATTTGCCAGTCTTTGTCTCGTCTTGAATAAAAACAGTTGGTAGTTAGAGTTTAATTCTGCCATCTTCATTTGGAATTTTTTTATTTTTAAAAAGATTGATGTAGAGTTCCTATTGTATATATTTTATATAATGCACAAGATTGATTAGCTCTTCCATCTTCCTTCCCATTAGCTTTTTTATGATGATTAGGGCCGCTGGATATTTTACAAATTTCAAATCAACTAATGATCCAAGAAGACCCAAATGGAAATGCTTCGGAATCGATATGACCCTAGAAGAAAGCCAATCAAACACCATTAAGCCCTGCAATATTTGCATTTTAGATGCACAGACCACTTGAGAGCCTCAAATTAATCCAGAAAGAAGGCCATGGTCCGAAGAAAGAGCTGTGCTTTTCCCAACTAGAAGACACAACTAATCCGGGATCAAAATACCATTATCAGAGGCGGTCAATGATTGGCTAGGAGTCCCAACTACTTCGAGGAGTGGGAGGAGGGGAGGGAGCTGAGTGGGTAGTGAGAGGGATTAAGCTGCGTCTGGCATTAAGTCAGAAATTGAGCATGCTCCAGAGGAGGCAAGGCGAGGGCCTCGTGTTCATGATTGGTGGATGCTTAAAGTCCTATGACTCCCATTTCATTGCATTCAAATTCCTAAGTAAAGGGTGTCAACATTGGGTTTTGTGGAAGCAATATGCCTTGCACATATGAAACAATACATTCATGAGCAAACAAAAAAAAACGATAAAACAGCAGGCTTCTAGCAAATTTACGGTCCTAATTTACAGCACTTTTGGAAATGCTAGCTTTTTATCTTTTTTTTGCGAACTTGACTGAGTCACTTTTCTCGTAATGAAGACTCGCGGCTATTTTAAGTGATAAATCTCTGAGCAATGGATGGTTTAATCTCCTTGGGGGAAAAGATAGTGGCCTACGCTCTGTGTTGAAGTCGAGTAAACTAATAAAATAAGTTAAGCCTCACACATCCCAAGGGGCCATCAATTTTACTTTGTCCAACTTGAAAAACGGTCAGGATTGCTGTAAACACTTGTTGGCAGCGTGCTGTGGCCGCGCAAATTAGATGTGGTTGAATGACATCCTAAGAAAATTTATTTAGAAAGCCTATACGAATTGCCTATTAAAAGAACAATCAACTGTACCTGTACAAAGGTGTTGTCACTCCTGGGGAAAGGAAAGTAAGAGCAACTAGATACTGTAATAATCTAGCCTGAAATTCCTCAAAAATTAAATTATCGCCTAGCAACAGCTGCTATCAAGAGGACGGCAAAGTATCTAAGCCAAAGTTACACATAAATAACAAAGTAGTTCACGAGCCAGTATCTAGTTTGCATTAATCTGTTGGAGTATTCCGGAATACAAACAACTTACTGTCAAGGAAGAATAGTTGAATGCAAATGACAGCTTGACTTAATGGTTTGCTAGATTTTGAGAAAAAAGTTCTAATAGTTTGGTTGAAAAACTAAAAGTATGGTCCATTGGAGTCTCCCAGGAGCTGTTTACTCAATCAAAATTACTCAGAAAACTATTTCAATGCAGCATTTTAAAGTGTTTAAATCGGATAATAACTTCTAACAAAAAACCGAAGATGAACATTTTTACATGTGTTTATGCAGCCAAATATATGTAACTCATTTGAAAGATAGCGGGTCAACTGTTTTTTTCCCGGATTTTGCTGTTAGACTGATTTGGCGTTAGGTGCGTAAGGCTACTTAAACTTAATAAGTAGAGCATATACTATTACAGCCTAAACAAGGAACAAATGAAATAAGACTGCCACAAATTGACACCTCGGAACAACTGCAGATGTGGTTATGAATTACAGAGATTCTTAGGCTGTTGGTAAACCATATGCACTATTAAAGCTTAGTACCTGTTTCGTTTGAATAACTTCCTCATTTGTTTAGTGGCTGCACTTCTAAATCATAATGTTGTTCGAATTTCCGTAGAGTACAAAATAAACCTTAAATTGAAACAAAAGTTTCACTTGCGTGCAGTTTGGAGAGAGCTTAGGCTTGTATTTACATATTCATAGTAGATGAAAATTTAAATTTTTCGATGGTATTTGTCTCAGCAATTCCATTTGTTTGTGTGATAGTAGTAGTCTTACGCACTCATACCTTTATTTTAATATACTTTAGCATCAATCAAGATATGCATTTGAACATTTTTAATAGTAATTTAGTATTTAGTCCATGTTCATGCATGTCAACTTTACTATATTTAAGGGGGCGAAATCACACGTTTCATGGGATTAAAAAGGCAATACTGAGGCATTTAAGCACAACTGAAAATCAGTTATCGAATAGTTTAAAACGTCAACAAAGTGGTTTACATTTGCAGCTACGTTGAACGTTTGTTTGGTTAGTTTAATTTATATTACTGATCTTAGCGGCGTGAACTTCAATGGTTCTCCCTTTAGCGCATTTTGTGCTCAGTAAGGCTCGTTAAATAAAAGTCCCTTTACTAAATATCATGACTCTCTTTTCGAAATAACCAGATGTTTTCCATGGTCCTCTGATGGAGAAGGGTGGTACTCAGACCTCGGTGATCCATTACTTAATTTTCATCTTGATGGCTTACTGGGTTGGCGCCCACACCATAGTGTCGTCACAACGAAGCGACATATAAGCCAGTCGTGGCGTTCATTCCTCAAAATTGCGAAGAAAATTACCAATGTGACAAAAGGCATTTATTTACAGGCAACAATTGAAACTCGAATGAGCGTTCTAACTTGCGCCACGGTTAAGGGTACTAGGAGTGTGTGTCACCTTCACAGCTAAATAAGTGAGTTGGCTGAAGTTATTGAAACGCAGTCGATAGAAATACAAAATTGTAATGCCGAGCACATGAGTCAAGCCATAATCTACGGTGAATTTGAAGAAATAGTCATCGCGACACGTCCATGGGATAAATCAGCCCCTTAATAAAAGATCAAATATGGATATTGCAAGATAAATGAATGTTTGGAAGTCCACTAAGTGCAAATCCAGCGGCTGTCGAATTAGTGAGGCGGCAAAAAATGCTGTTACATCTGTTGATTGGCATCGAATCTGTTCTTTGAAATCAACTTACCTCTAATTTGTACACAGTTTTGCTTAGTAGAGTTCTCCGATAACCTTGAAACATCCAAACTGAATCAGATGGTGCTTTGGTGGTCCACAGGGGTCAAGGAGAACTGCAAGTTAATTGTTCGTTTGAAGCGTCACTGCCTCACTCTTTGCAAGAACAAAGAGTCCATGGTAAAGGCATAATTGTAAATCATTCTACGGTGTTGTCACTTCAAAATCTCACGAAAGATGCTTTTAGCCGTAAGGATCAGAGCTGTAGTGTCAACAATGAGCAGACGCAATGTAACTTCCATTTGTCGAGGGGTGAAACTTTTAAACCCGAGATTGGGAAAAGAGGCATAACAACGAGTGAATAAACAAGTGGAAATTCACCATGAGCCAACATCAACCGCGAAGATCCCCAGTGAAGAAAAGCTAAATTAACTTGAAGAGCTTCTTAAGGAAGGTGAAGTGCCACTAGTACGGGGAGAGAGAGTGAGAAGGCATCAGTAGGCTCTACGACTAAAAATTCAAGTGAAGTGTCCTTCGTCTTGCATTCCTTCTCTTGCCCCTGCGAAGAATTAGCATTTTCATCCCCTTCCGGAAACCACCATAGAGAAGGTGGCTGGGGAAGAGGAGGATGAGTGTACGCGTAAGAGCGAATGTGTGGAGGTGAGGGGGGGAAGGGGAATGGAATGAGGAGGGGAGAGATTTCCTGATTATGCAAAGTGAGCAGTAGCGTCCGCGGCGGTGGTAACAGTAGCACCAGTAGTAGTTTGCCCGCGTGCCTGCTGACCGGTTAGCTGGCCAGCCAGTCAGCTAACCAGCCATCCCAGTATCATCAGCCTCATATGCAATTCAAATGAGGGAAAGGGAGAGGGCAGTCGAAGGGGAATTGCATTAAAACGTCCACTACAGCAGCAACAGGTCATCGACAGAGGCTTCAAATGCCAATGTTTATTTGTGGCAGTATTTGAATAGACTATCTCTTTTACCCATTTCCCTCTAACCTACTTCCATGTCCAGTTTTAATATTAGTTCCAATGATCTCTCTAATCGTCAAATATGCATAAACGATGGCACTTTAATTATCTTAAGTTATAAGCACTTAAAGGTCTATGGGTTCCACAATTTACTGCAATGTATTATGTAGCTATTTTAGGTTTGGTTTTCTCATATTTTTTAATAAAATTGGACTCAATTCTTTGTTTTTTGTTCCCTACTAATTATTCATTTTGAATGGTCTGATATCATGAACGCTCACCCTTCATATATTTAGTGACAACTTATAATACCTGTCTCTTCAGATTGCATCCACACAATAAATCGTGTATTCAGGAAGTTCGTTTAACTGGTGGTTCTATTCGTAGGTAAAATGATGCTAATTTTCTTGATGCAAGGTTCCAGCAGTTTAAGCTGCATCGGCAAAACTCACTTGATGAGGTAGTAACCACAGCGTTATCATTTAGTCAGAGTAGGCAAAGATCTCCAAAGCACTGTAGCACTTCAACAGTCCAACTACTATGCTAGGTTGTTACAATTTGATGTACTCGATGAGTTGCACATATCCTTCTTTTTTTGAGAAACTAAATGACGATGAACCCATGAAGCTCGATGAGAAAAGACTCTTCACGTAAATGTAAATTATCTTGTCTTCGACAGATAACCTAAACTCTTTCAATATCAACTAAATATTTTGAATATAATTCCATTAGGGCGGTGAAAATCAAATTACAATACCTGAATATGCACTTCGAATGGGTCTCGTAAAGCATACTTTATGTGGCACAAATTCCGGAACTCAAGTTAGTGGAACAATATGCATCTTTACCGTGTGAAACTGGCACTAATCTACCTAAGGTGTCACATAACCAGGCATTCTTGATCCTCTATGGTGAGAACCACCCTTTGGAACTCTGCCTGTTAAGGTGTTTCGCATGTGAGGTTTTGGTATTGCTTAAGTTGTCGGAAAATTTGACAGTGAGTTTGAATAGAAGACTTATCAATGGTACTCAAAACAGTAGCAAAGATTTTGGGACCACTGAATGTTGATCTTTTATTTGAGGAAATCCCACAAAACAGCCAAATGCATTGAAGGGGACCCAATGGCGCTTGCCAACTTTGCGGCATGTGTGAGTGCATTGCTACTATTTGCTTTTTTAGTACAACTAATTTTATAAGTTCACAAGGCGATGATAAACGCTTGCATCAATCAACGAAACAACTGTTTGGACATACTGATAAGGCAGTCAAGTGCAGTTGCAATGCTTCAAGGATGGATTTAAATATTTGACGGGATTTATGACGAGGGATAATGTTAAGGGTTGAGAAAGGTGATCAATGGAATCAAGGTGCCCATCCCTCCCATCTACTTTTCCACCCCATGTTGAAGGCTTCTCTTTTAGTTCTGTACCATCGCCTTTTGAGACATTCTCACCAAACAAACTCCATTATGCAATATCGTTACTCAGGTAAACTAAAAACTGGCCATACAAGCCCGGTTCTCAGCCATTTGCAAATCATTTGTTTTTTTTTGTAAAAGATAATAACCAATCGGAGGCTGCGTTATAAGATATTTAGACTGTTAATAATAAATAGATCTTTTTAACCCCATTGGTAATGCATGAAAAGAATTGTTTGTTGCGTAATCATTTACGAAAGAAAACCCCCTAATCTATCCCCAGAACGCTCTAGATCACCATGCAGTATAAATTTACAACTACATGACGTGATTAACGGCCTAATTAAATCAGTGATTACAAAGTTCATATGGAACTTAAATAAGGTGCCAAGTGATAATTGCAGTTAACGCATCACAAACAAAGTGGGAGTAAGGATTCGGAACTGATAAAAATAGCTGTAAGAAGAAATTACTTTTCGATTTAATCTTGAAATTTACAAGTCACTAGTTTGGACTGTTTGACGGTGAACTGCCTAGTGGACACGTGAACTGAGATTCAGACTTTATGATATAATACTCCATTGTTCTTAGTTGAATTTCGATACACCACACTTGGCAATTAATCACAAGCAGATAAACAGAAGTGTGCATAACTGCTGCTTCTCCACTACATCTCTGCTTTTTAGGCCTATATGATACCATTGTAATAATGTTTACATTAGATCAGAAAACAATTGTGCTGCTAAAGAGAAAAACGTTTGGAAGGAGATTTTCTTGAAAATTGAATACAGGTTGTTGGCTTTATCTCTTAATAAACTTTTTTGCACAACTGTCAGAGGGAACCAAAAGTATTCGCTAAAAATCTCCTAAATGATTTTACATCAACCAATATTTTGACCTCTTCGTTTGTGGATGGATACTGGAATGGCTCGTTTCCCCCCACCAATGGTTTCAAGTTACTGATTATACGGTTGGCCAAGGTGAAAATATTGTAATTAAAAGTGGTGCATAATTTGTTCTCGTTCACTGTGATGTATGTTCAATTTAACCATCAACTTTGCCTGTCGAAACAAGCCACTTTGGAATGTTGACCGAGACGTCACACAACGAAACCTTAATGGATGCATAAATTAGTTAAGGGTCGGGTATTCGCCTTGCATACACTTGTTAAAAGCAAACCATACAAATCAACACTCATTCCTTTACAACCGCTCTTCGTATCCAGCCTTTCACGAATTAAGCTAAATATCTCTTTGTGCTTCTGAGCCTCACCAACATCCATACTACGTGGACCCATGAGCTCACAGAAATTGGCAGAACCCGAGTTCTTGCACCGACCCAAGAGCAGTGACTCCGCGCCGTGCGGTCGACGGCGCCGGCCGAGTCGACGATGCTGAGTCACCCCATGAGTTACGTGACCCCTACCCCGTCTCCCCCAACTGCCTTCACGTCAAGTGCGCTGCTCCCACGACATAGTCAGCATTACCGAAAAGGCTGTCTTGCCCACCATAAGGGGGATGCGATTCACGCAACCTATTTGGTACACTAGCACCCATTCATGACATATTGGTATTCTATTGTGAAGAGAAATAAGGGTCGATTAAAGGTGCTTTATTAAATATTCAAATATCCAAGACTAGCTGATAGTAATCGAATAAAACCAAGGGTTGATTGCAAGCATTCAGGATGCGCATTACATCGTCTTCTAAATGAGCAGAAGCCTTCAATCTCCCAAAATCCCCGCATTTCTAGACAGCTCTCCGTAGTCGTCTTGCTTACATTCATATGACGACCAGCGAAATTTGCTGGGCTGCCTTCATTAGAAATGCAACTAGAAAAATCCGTTGGTAAATTCCGACAAATGCTCGTAATTTATTTCAGACGTGAGTTTTGAAAAACATTTCTACTATTAAGGAAGAAATCTATAGCTCTTCGTGGCCCAAAGACCAATGCCTTCGTCACTTTAACAACCCACGCCTTTTGTATACCCGCCCTCACCTCAAAGAAGGAATATCAGCTTTTGCTTTACGAACCACCTTCATGCGATTTTCAAGTTGGAAAATTAAAAGCGGAGAAAAGAAAAGTGTTTTGAGAGGACTCAGGTGTTTGTTGTAATTAAACCGGATTATTATTTTTATGATAATTATAAGTGTATTTAGTGCACATAAATTTTCGTAATTCAACAACGTCAATCCGATCCGATCTTCTCTCGGACTTTTTACCACTAGAAATTAATGCTTATTTTGTCAAAACCTTCATCTTTTGTGATTTAAAATGCGGTGACAGAATTCCCCCTATGCGTCTACATGATCTGGTGTGGTGAGTCCCATACAAGATCCTTTTTTTGTCAGAAAATGATGCATGAAATATTGTCTCCATTGTGCATGAGTTGTAGCCTATGTGGATATCCTGATGGACCAAGTAGGCTCACAGGTTCTTTCTTTCTAGATAGTTACCTTACTCACGACTACCATCCCCTATAGAAAACATAATTTTTACATTGAGCCAGCATAGGAACAAGAAGTGGTAGCAGTTGTGCCCAACAAAACCAAGTAAATTTTTCAGACGTGCATTAAAAAGTAATTTTTCCTAGTCCAACTTTGGGAACCAGTGGAAAATTTGCAACATGCGGCCGTACATTCCATGCGGAAGGGCAAAACACACACCCATAAAATGCTGTATAGAAGCGCATTCAACAAACGTTTGGTAAATTTTACAGAAAGAAATCCCGAAATGTCAGTTCTGTGGAAATTTTTTACTAGATCAAGTTGTGTCTAACCACAAAAGCATAGTTATTAGCCTTCCCCCACTAACATCAATATAAGGTGCGCCCGAATGAAAGCATCTCAATCTCTAAATCTCACTGCCATTCTTCCTTTCAGTTTCTTTCCTCTTTCAACTTGAAGCAGAAACGCAGTAGTAATTAAATGCGTGCATCAGAACATTTATTTACCTATTTTTAGGCATTCTTACAGCTCACACGAAGATAGGTGAAAGAATTCAAGATCTTTATACATCTTGCGCAGGTATGGAGTAGTGATTCAACACTTTTACTCACATTAACTCTCAAATTTAAATTCTTCTTTTCGAGTAACCAAAATAACACGGATTTTCACTTCGCTCCCACAGAAATCACAAAACCCTTCTACTTCAGTATTATTTGCCACTTTTTGGTTTGACAAATATCCAAGCGATGCGTGCACACCAGATACGTAGCTTTTACGGAGAAAAAAAACAAAGAATACCAATTGTATGTCATTTGTACTGCATCAAATCTAGCATACGATAAAAAGAGGAATACTCGGCTTAAAAATGTAGGCAGAAAAAGAAGTGATTGCTAGCACTCGACACAGTCACCTAAGGTGAGAGAGAGGTGATTCCGTTTTCTCATACAAGGAGGAGGCCTTTTCAAAGCTGTTTCTATCGATACAAAATTGAGTTGTAAAGTCCAGTTTAATTTACCCCACCCAATCTAATCAGTACGTCGAGGTAAAAGCTTCTTTAATTTCAGATTGCCGTTGTGGCTTTACTTCATAAAATACAAATTCAGGGCAAACACCGTCGTCGTTAGTATGCACCAAAGAGAAATGCAAATAACACCCCAAGGAGTCAAATTTTTTACAAAATTCAGCAATCGGATGAACAAAAACGTAATCTGCTGAAAGAGCTCCGTAGACACTGCTCTACGCAAAGTGCTGGATGGGGTGAAATTCTGGTTCATGTATTTCATCATGCGTCTCAGTGATGGTTTTAAAATAATTTTTGTAAATCACGAACTCATTCCACTGTAAACGTGCAACAGCGTCCTTATTTCATGTCACAAAATCAGCTATTTGAGGTTCAAAGGGACAACCATGATAGCAAAGAGTTTGTGATAAACTAGCTGCCAACCTTACTTCCAATTTTTTCTGTGTTATTTCTCTACTACAATTTGTAAATCGTGTTCACTTCGTATCCCGCAGAAATTTCTATAACATCAGTTAATTTATTTGGCATTGTATGAATGCGTGACTCTAGTAGTCAATTCCATACTTTTGATTGCGAAACACCAAGTGCACATCTAGCCAAGTCTACAAGAAAAAGCGTCTGATTGAATCGGCAATAATGCAGTTATGCAACTTTCGGACATCTTGAGAAATTTCCGATGTCTCTGTAGCATAAGGTGTATTCACATGGGCACTTCTTAACTTAATCCTTTCATTTCATTGTTATGTGGCTCCTCTAGACGGGATTGTTTACATTCGTTTTGTTATTTTCGGATAGGACTTAAATGTTTCTGAAGCTAATCCGGACTTCACCCTCTGCAGGTGGAAATACAGCACCATAAAATCACTGTGGTTTGTCTCAGCTTGGCAACGCAACAAAGATATTTACAAATACCAAACTGGTAAGGCTTTTGGTCTGATTAGCATGAATTCCGATCCACATGACTGTCTTCATTCAATGACCCGGTCATCGTTGGCCAAAGCAGCATGACGTGCGAACAATCTGCAGTGATGTAATCCTTTGGTTCAAAGGTTAATCTTTGGGGGATGAAAGGTCTTAATAATTTCCTAAATGTCTTTTTCGATTTATCTTTTTCTAGCACTTCCATTTACATGCATAAATATGGAACTCGGGTGAAGGGTTTGTCAACTTTGTCATGACAACCAAAATAAGCAAGTGTGCATTAGGTAACTTATTTTCAAATCTAATGTAATAACTCCCATTACCTTTAGACCAGTAAATCGTGTTTTTTCATTGACTGAATAGTGTGATGACCGTAGACCAAATAGAGTCGTTGGGTTACCGAATGAATTGTCCGAAAATAGAGGATGGAAGGCGAACTCAGTGAACATGGCGTGCATCAACATAGGGAATTAAATACAGAAGGCTGACAAATTGTCAAATCCTCTTTTGCCAGGACGACACTGATTAAACTCGTTGAAAAGGAAAAGAGATATGTCAATTCAAATTAAGGGAAATCTGCTAAACATTAAGAGGAAAGCGCAGTGGGTAGCATTACGTCACTTAGATTTCTGGCGACATAATAAAGTTAATGTGTTTAGATGTCAGGACACATTTGTGGAAGGACTTTTGCATTTTATTATTGAAGCGAACAAGGTCACCCTGGGCCACGAAAATACAGGATCACTGATATGAGGCAGGATGTGGGATAGAGTTTGGGATTTTACGAGATTTCTGGTTAAAAATCTTGCCTTTAAAATACTATACCATAAAATTAGCACATCTTGTTGCCAGTATGTTTTCCAGTCAAATGCATCAGATTGGTAAGTAGTTCGATGCATTTGTCTAAAATCAAGTAAGCGAAAGCGATTATATTGGAGGCGAAAACAAAATGTTAACCAATCCACCATAATTCTTTAACACTTGTGGAGGTTTGGCATTTTTAGAGATCTACGATTAACGCTATGTCCTACTCAGACACTTGGAGAAATTGTAAATAATAAACCATAAACCCCGGATAATGCTGCGGTCTAAAGCGGCTCATCGTCTTCAAACAAAGTTTTCCAGGTCGGCCTTAGAAAGTACGAATTCCAAGACTTGGCCTTAAATTTATTTGTTTAGTTTGTTTTGTTCCTAGCCTCTTATTTTGGAAGCGGTACTAATTAATACGAGGAAAGGTATTTAATCTTAAGGAAGCTAGTGTACATCTCCACTTCCGTACATGAATAATATATAAGTCAGTGATCAGCAGCGCTGATATTGTCAAATCCAGCCTTCGTGACTTGATAGAGTAACTATGGCCCAAAGGTTGAGATGGGCTTGGTAATTCTCAACCCCACGATACAACAGCCAAAATTTTCATGCATTCTGAGAGCATTTCCACACGCACGATGGTTCGAAAATTTGTGAAACCCAAACAGCACTACTGAGCACTCATTGTTAAGCAAGAATCTGTTGTCTACCCGGTAGCATCTATTTTGAAATTAGATGAAGCCTGCTGCTTCGTCTTCCTAAACGTTTTTATTGTCAGCGTTTTGCAAGTGAAAAATGTGCTCTTTGTCATAACACAATAATTGGTTGCAACTAATCGTGTCGAAAACAGGTTTGTTGAGTTAAAGATAATAAATTTGATGATGTTCGTGATCTAAGAATATTTCCACTTTTTAGCTTTAAAGCAGAATAACTTTAGAGGCAAATGGGCTGTGTTGGTTGATACTCATCTGAGACCCGGGGTGAGGATGTGTCAAGTCAAAAGTTGAAAAATTCCGGGTAATTTGGCATCAACTATCCTTTTTTAATGCACTGGCAGTTTGAAACAGTTGGTAAAATCCTTTCACAATCCTTGTCACCATTGAGCGCCTTGACATTTTCTCTTGCGTTATATCTCCAGAAGAATCTTTAGCAGGAAGTAAAGTGAGAAGATGAAGGGTGTGACATTTTAAGATGCATCCATTATTGAACCTTTTCAGTAAATTTAGATTTTCTGACAGCTGCCTATTCAGCATCAACTATTCTGAATCTTTTTGCTCACATTTTAATTCCGAATCACGGTATCCATAACTTTACTCTTGGTATTTTAGTTTCCTGAACGCCATTTTGCAGTGCTTTGAATGATATCGAGGTTTAATCCTTCCAGAACTTTTGAAGTTATTGGAATTATGATATTTTGAGTACCAGCCGATTGACAACAATAACAGAAGACATTTTATAAAACCCCATATCTGCGGTAAGAAATTCTCACAATTAAATAACCGTAGTGAAAAAAAATTCTATTCTCTGGTAAATTTAAGTTAAATCTTTTAATCAGGTCAGCCATTACACCACACGAAAGCAAAAATTTAGGCAGAGACTCCTGATTTTTTATAATGAAGTTAATTAGCGTCATCCGACATATATTTTGTGACAGATTTTATGCACCTAATAACCCACTAAAAATCATTCAATCTACTAATTACAACATAATACCTATTAATCGTCGGACTCATTATGACCGCTGTATTCAGTAACTCTGGCTCAACGCCACTGGCACATCTAAAATCATGAATTGCTATGACGTTTTCCACTAAATGATGAAATTCGACAAACTCGAAAACAAAACCGAATGCTGAATGAATGAATATATAAATTCATTTAGCGGTACTAAGATGCATTCATTTCAAGCCCTATTTATAACTAAAAGGGGCCATAATTTACACTCAAAAATTCGCTAACGACTTAACAGTTTTGGTCAGCATCATAATAACTGTTTACACCTCCATATTTTGGCCAAAATGGTTGCCCAAAAGCTAGGCAAATCTAAACGTCTTACTAAATTTTTAGGACAGGCAATTTTAAAGTTATTCTAATCCTGTATATGGAACCATAATTCCACCTCACAGTGGTCTTTTCGAACGTGTTCTGGCACCATTTGTGGCGATTCCCTTACACCTAAACTTGCATAATATCCACCCCATTACCGAAGCTACTCGAGAGCATGACAGTTCCACTCTTTGTGTTAGTCTTGTGGAGAAATCATTTGACGGAAGGATACGATGGGCCTGCGCACACAAAGCGTTGGTCTATCATAATATTACCTAGGTAAAAAATACCCCTCCTTTGTATTATTCATAAAAGTAACTAAAATAATCCTACTTGGACTTCCACGCAATATGCGATGCTTTATTCATGGATGTATTACCATCCCAGAAAGTAAACCTCCAAGGGTTAATCACTAATACGCTGAACGCAGGCAGGCAAAGGCAGGAGGTCAGAAGGACAGGCTTGCACATGCACCAGACATACTTTTAACTAATGCAGGGTGGATGAGGCGTTATTGGTTAGGCTGACATTTTCAGCCTACCATTGGCTGCAAAGTAGCGAATGAGAAAATAGAGAGCGGAATCAGTCTACCAATTGAAGCGGTGGACTCCATCGGCACAGGTGTAAGCATTGACTGTTCAATGTGCGGGTGCAGTGCCGCCTACGTACTTTGGCCTGCCTTCTTATCTGTTTGATGCTAATCAAGGCCTCTGAGAGGTTGGTGGTGCCTACTCTCTGGATCCGCCAATCATCACGATACAACCATCGAGTGCCTTCCAAGCCCTGGACTTAACCATCTGATATCTCCAAATTTAAGCACCTCAGCCACTTAAGTCGCCATACTCTTCTTACACCTTCCTCAATCCGGATTTACATCTAAATATTTTCATCTACTCTATCAACCTACCGTGCCAACACTAACCCCTCATGGATGAGGAGAACAACAAGCCCATATCCATGGCTCCCAAGAAAAACCGGTAATATTATAATCCCTGGTGCACCCCTTTTCATAATTTGTCTTATTTTAATGCGTCTTGAGCAAAAAATAGACTGTTCAACACCTAGTGGATGTAGAAATGGATTAGCATGGCTGGGCGTGCATGGACGTACGCCGTCGTGATTCATCCGAGTGACTAATGCACTTTCTTTGTCCGGGTTCGCTGCAATGCTGTGTTGCACCTGCTCCTCTTCTACATTCCAAGTTTCTGGTTTTGCTAGTCCTACGAGCCACATTTATCTTTTTCAAACAGTATAATTGGTCTTTTCCATGTTTGTCTCGTTACGTAAAAAGGTGTGCGAGTGCTATTTGCAATCACTGATACTAATTTGGCTATTTAAGCTATTGGTGCAGACCATGTGTGAGGTGAGACAATTTTTCGGAAAGAAACCGGACTGTTTACAAAAGCCGTGCCTTATTGCTTCAACCCACGGCGTTCATGGGGTATTTGAAGGACAAACAGGATAAATTATACCCCAACAAATGGTTCAATTTTTGGTAAACTACCTGAGTATTTCGTCACGTTAATTCATACCATCCTAGTGAAACTGATCACCATCTCTATGGCTATTTAGTTTGAGACACCACGTTTTCCTTACCTGCTCCATCATATCGATGGAGAATTTAGACACAAATGTCATTTGATAAATTCAAAACGTGATTTGTGATGGAACTTGCTGTAGGAATTAGCTGATACAGTCGAAATTAATAAACGGAAACCACTTTTTTGGTCTGATTTGGATCACCGGCGCCTTCAGGGTTTTTTGGTCGAGCTCTCTTAGGTGCCGTAAGAGCACTTTGTACTCATTCAAGTTTCGGTAGCCATATTATGACATACTATTTTAATCCAATCACGAGGATATAGCTATTTCTCTACACTTGTATCTTTTTTGAAAAGTTCACTTTTTTTGTCTGCTCTAACGGTTACATTTCTCAGCACCCTGAACTGTCAAAGATACAATGACTTATGGTGTTCATGGTTTCTTAATAAAAACCCCTTCCCAATTTAATCGCAGGACTTGGCGTAGAGCATCAAGTATTATAAGTGTATCCGTAATGCAGGAGGTAAGCTCCTTCTCCCCTTTTTAAATCCGTGTATCACGCACATCCAGCACTTTGGCAGTTTTGGTGACAAGTGGTGCGCAAACAAGAACCCACTCCGAAGCATCATATTCTAGAACTTTTCCTCCCTGTTTGAATGAATTAACGCGTTATTCAAGCAACATGCAATTTCATTCGGAGCATCATCAATCACCATTTCTCAGTCTTTGAAATGTCGGGACATCTTTGCGTTTGGTTTCACCTTTAGATGCAAAAACTTAAACGATTGATCACGTTTTTCCCCATAAATATGAGTGGTTTTATATGTATGATTACTTTTATTATCTTCTCTTCTATAATGAGTGTTTATGTGCAAAAAACAAGGATTTTGTATACGTTTCCACATTCTGAAATGGTGCTTAAAGATTCTCCCTGTAATAGTAGAAAAACGAGTCATACAAGGACCACACCTACTGCAGTTCATCAAAATTTATTTGAACTTACTAAATTTTTATGAATGAAATTCGCGTTTTTAGCCTACCACCAGATTCTGCGAAATCGACAACTGTGAAATACATCGAAACGAAACAGAATCATTACAACATTTCTTGCATTTTCACAGTGACATAGCTAAGATATTTTACTCTTCGCAATTGTTTGACTCATTACAGTGTTTGAAACTCGGGTAGCTTGCGCTTTTTCTATCGGTGCCTTCAACGGTGGCGCGATATTCTTGCGTGTAGTCCAGGCCACCATCTGTCCAGTAAGTAGACCGGACTCGGGCCAGTAAACTACGGGAAGTGAATGCAGCACGAGGCAATCCGTCAAAGTCAGCCTTATCTCACGTCGTAGTGCTTCACCCAATTGTTCTTCAGTGTTTCGTGAGCCACATAATGGACAAACTTCCGCTGTGGATGTGGTTTGTCGTAATGTCATCGGCACAACTAACACCTCTTTTAAAAGTTTTGTGATGACACAAAATGTTGGACTTTTCCAGACCACCGTGTTTACTCCGAATGAGGGTACATTTGTGAGCTCAGATCGAAAAGAAGTATTTTTTGGTTTATTCTCAGGTTTAACTTTTGCAAAGTATGGCGTAATATTGTGGTGTGTGAACAAATGATGTCTGATTTGATATTTTATTAGAGTCTGTTTTTCCGTCCTTGTGAGAAAGTGGCTCAGCTAAACGGGGCTAGGATTTAGACCTGCACTTTCAGGGCTTTTAAAGTTGTTTATACGAGCATTCGTGTCGATTTACAGTGCTCAAGGTAGCCTGTATCCCCCAATTCATGTTTCTTTAATCAGTGCTTCTGTAAGAGGGCCCGGTGTCTGTTTAAACCAGCTCACCACTATTGTCTTCACATCTTCATTTTGTGTTACTGGTCCTGATTAAACTTCCGTTTTATTTGAGGTCGGTCTGAATTGCAAAATAACTGGGTTTATTCTAAGTTGCAAGGGTGGCCCTACTGTGGTGGCTTAATGGAAAGGGAAAGTTACTTTAAGCAAATTGCACTGCCTTGTGCCTGCAAAAGCAAGGATTTTGTGTCTGAGGCTTATTTTTTATCCGCAAATTCTCCTTGTATTTGATCCATCTCCAGGCATCCTTATTTGAAAGGGGCATAGATAGGGTCACTATGCCTCCACATCTTACTTTACATAATTTCATTTTAAGGTATATTTTCTGCTAAAAACTAGATTCCTTCTTAGAGAAAGGATAATAGTGATAGAAGGCGGGATTGCGTTACCTTCTTTCACCCCCCGACAATTTTTTCTTTAAAATGAACCAAATTCTAAAGTAAAAGAATTCTGAGTGTGGCCCCCGTGGATACACGTTTTATAAAACCCTCTCTAGTTTACTACATCCCGCCTTATCTTGTGGATCTGCTAATCTCACTTTTGCAACCTTCCACCTTACCGATGTGGATTGGGGGAATGGTGGAGTTTTTTTATTATTTTCTGGAGTCTACGTTTGTTGCGTTTAACAGCCCAGTAAAGTTGTCTATCTTTTGACCCCGAACTGCTGTATTCATGGTTGACTGTGAAACGATCATATGTCTACATTCATATTTCCAAACTAATCACGTTTTAGATTTTATTAGCCCTCGTCTCTTACCAAATGATTATTTAGTGACCTCTAGAATGGCAGTGCTACTTTATTGGTAATTTTCCACTTAATAAAGTTCCAAATTTCCTTTAAATTATTACTTTTTAAACCAGTCTAGGGAGCTCATGGTGATTTTGATGTGGATTAAGTTATCATAAAATAGGAAGTCTGCTTTAGCACGCCACCTGTTTGCGTATTTTGTTAGCAGTAAGCGTCAACTCTTCGAATCACTGTGATTCGAACAAATTTTTTACTTTGTGAAGTGGAACATTGCTGACTCATCGCAGTATGGCGCTATCGCCCTTGGGTAAAATCGATAAACCGGTGCAAACGCGTCAAAACATGGCGCCATCAATTTGTCGCTTATCTGGGCTGAGCAGTTTAACACCACAACCACGGGACGTGTGTGCGCACCAGACTCTCTCTCCTGTGGCGGTAGCTATGCTTTCCCTATGGGCTTTTGAATCTCTCATCTTTTTGACGGGTTTGTCTTAAATCTATTTAAGCAAAAATCATTTGTCTTCATTACCTTAATTACAAAAAGACGCACTGTCTCTGGGCGCATGCGAAATATCTCATCGTTTTACGTCGCTTCAAATGTATTCTGCATTTTTAAATTGGCCACTCAAGGTCACGCAACTGTTTTCGTCCTTTTTTGCTCGGATTTCCGGTGGTGGATATACGTATGAAACTTCACTAAGTGCTTTCATTTACATGCACAATCACATCAAACACTGAATTCTCTTTGCCGTAACCTTTTCTTTGCCGTCATCCATGGGGGAAGCCGGCATCTTTTTCTTCGTGTACGATAAATCGCGCCTACGTTTTGCCAACGGGTTGACCCGGAAAGGTCAATGTTGTTTTTTTTGTGTACGAATTTGAAGTCCCAGAAGTTTTTTCTGTGATGGGACCTATGGTGGGTTGAGAAGGTCCGTGAATCGTAAAACTTCTCACATGCCAGCACATCTTTCACGCCATCACCATAGCTGCAACCGCCAGTTAATCTGGCATAATTAAGTGATGCTGAAGTTTCAGTATCTGCTTGTCAACGCAGCTAGTTGTGGAATGGCTGCAAATTTACGATCCTAGCGCCTTGTCACGATGGATTTCCCTTTTCATAGCCATTAGAACTTTTAACCGTCGCAGCACGATTGCTCAGAGTTCAGTAGATGTTTTAAGTTCATTTTTTATTTGCAAATGAGTGGCGTAAATCATTGTTCATGAGCGAAAGGACCTACAATATGAATTTTTAGATCTTAAAGTCTAATTTACTTTATAAAATCACCAAAAATTTCAGTGAATTTTCAGAATTAATTTTACCATTACCGTTTAAACTCCGTGTTACAGGTATGCGCGTGTTGTTAATCTAGCCCAAACTTTAAAAACTCTCAAACACTTTATTGATGTGTGTACTTTATCCTTTGTCCTTTACCCATTATCGTTTTGTGCGTGCATTGATTGTAAACCAGTACACCGTAGTTACCAGAACGGATGTTTGAAGGACAAAAAATTCAGGCATTGTCGTATTGACTCCTCGTTCAGCACCACGTATTCCATCATGCTTCGTTAATCTGGTACTTTATGCTTTTATGCAGAATGGAAACCCGTTCTATCATTCGCGATTATTAGCACTCCTGCTTATCATCGTTGCCTGGGCAATAACTTGTTAGTACAATTATCTGCCAATTCTCGTCCATCCTTAGTTGAGCGCATGCATAACTGAGGCTCACCCCCACAATCATCAAATTCATTCATATTTTGCTTTAGTTCTCCATCCTTTCCGTTTTGAGAAGCGGCAGGATTTGGAATGCAAGTAGTATCTACACTCGTGTGGCTCCTAACCATCAGCAATTGCTGTTTGGAGAGCAATCTTATATCATAAACATTTACTCTGCGCACGCACCCTTCTTGCCCTGGCTGTCCTCTCGTTTGACGGGGTTTTAGTTGGTTACTTAGAAGCTCTCCGGTTGAATATGTGCTGATACCAACTGTTCTCTTTTTTAGAGATGAGTACGAGCGAAAGATCAGAAACCCTCGGTATGCTGGCTGTCTCTTCTGTATAACACGTGTGTGTAGCACCGTTTCTTTTGACCATACTTTGTGGCTGCGATACAATCCTACGGTGATTCGTAGATTTTATCCGACTTTTTCTGTTGATTCTCCTCTTCACCTATGTGGTTTGACTGCTTAATTGGGTGAAATAATTTTTAATTGCGTTTGACCAGAATTTCCAATTGTTTCGAAACCCACGTTTTACCAGGAACGTGTAATTTTGTAATGCAGGTTCATCGTTGTCATATACCACTTGGCGAGGTCGGCGAAATGCAGTGACCCGTTGTAAGTGTGACCACTACCAACGTGTGGATGATTTGTTTTGGGCCGAACGGCGGATTTTTAGAGATGGGGGATGAAGGGGGTGAAGGGGGAACGCTTGGAGGCGGTAGGCTGCTGCATTTCAATGTCACATATCAACAATTGTATGTTCTGTTTTGTCCTTTTGATAGGAGAATGAAAACTGCCGCCAGTTGGGGAAAAAAAAACTACCAATGGCATTGTCTGTCTTGTCCAGAAAACCGCATCTATTAATTTGCATGGTGGTGTTAACTACCATAACTAGCTCTGTCTCTGACTGCAGTCCTTATTTTTGTCGCTAATAAATAACGATGTGATGATTATTCAACACCTTGGTGTGGGACCTCTGCTCCGCAAAGCTGGATTCTCTAAAAACCTTTTTTGTATCCGGATAAGACATTTTTGAACAGCGCCCGCTATTTCATTTCGAAAGAACATTCCTTCACGGTAATAGGACTTATTGCAAAAGTTGTTAGTTTAGGCGCTGATATCACCATACGACCTTCACTGGTTAAGGTAGGTGGTGAGGATGCCCCAGAGCTATGTAGGTGCATTGCGCATCCGCTCAAAACCCTTGATTATTCATTTATTTGTTGACAGAGATTCGTAGTCTTCACATTTGTCGTGTATTATACATTGGCTTGATTATCAGTGGTATCAAAAATTGCAGTCCGTGCCTATACAGGAGGATTTATTAAGACTGTTGCCTGAAAATACTGTTTGATTCACTTCCAATATCTTATCTTTGGCTACTCTGACCTGGTGCAAAGTTCAAGAGGCACAGTTCTATCCCGAGAGTCATTTAAGAAGGTGCAAAGGTTGAGGGATGTATGGCAGTTATATCTAAGTGGTCCAAACCTTTTATGCTCTGGTACTTCACTCAAGTTCAACCATGATTGGTGAGTGATCTTTCATCATTGAAAGACTTCAATCGGATTGTGGAAACTGCTCCAAATCTGGTAGATGCTCCTACAGACTGCTTCTTCTTAATCCATGTAGTCCCTCGTCTTAACATCTCGATTGACCACCTCAAAATCAATTTTGTCGATTGGAAAAAATGCATTCTTTCTTAGCTTCATGGCTCAGAATCTAGCTGTACTGCATGTTCTGTGATATGTCCTCATTTGTGCAGTAGTTTATTAGTCGGCCAAGAGAGCGCATTTTGAAACGATTTTACCATCCACTTACTATGTGAAAAGTAATTCGTCACACTATATTGAAAAGTGGTACCTGACAAATGAATTGTCACTGTTTTCCAGCTTGTAAGCACTTTATTCAATCACCTAATGCAACCGCTATTTTTAATATCCTTGAATAGTGGTGTTTTTGCTCCAAGCCTTTCGCAGTCACTTAAGCAGACTCATGTAACAAATCATTTACAATCAGGCAGGTAGCAGAGATTTCTGTACTTTTTGTCAACTCTCTTGTCTGCTGTCTGATCGAAAGTCACTTATTTTCGTCAGTTTCTCTCTAAGGGCATGGTTACATTAGGATTTTGGATCGTAGGTTAAAGAGAACGAAACCAAGCTTTTAGCTGGAATAGTAGTGCCTCTGAATATCTATTTCAACTTAACAGATGCAATAAAGTTACGCATTGGGCCTTCTAAGAAGGAACTTTTTGAGAAACGGGTAATCCACACAAGACTGTGCTTTCTTCAGAAAATTTAAGTTTCTTTATTGGGATCCTCCAGAATCAATTTTTAGCACACCGTTATCACATGAGATTAGGCATGACACGTGAGTTTTCAGCACTCTGAATCTCCCTTAAAGTCTCAATAAGCCAAATCAGTATGAGCGAAGATGCATTGCATAAGTAGAGAAGAGCCTGGGGCTATGATCATTCCCTCCGGCTATGCCGTCGAATAAAAAGTATAACCAGTACTGGCTGGAGGGTTGCGTAGCTAAAAATTCAGTCGAACTACCAAATCACTGCTAGTGATTGGCAGCCTAAGTCGTTTGTCTTATTGTTGCCTCCTTTTCCCTCTGCCACCGCCACTTTGAAGGGGAAAGGTGGGAATCTAAAGCGATGGTTTTAGGTGAACGTATTTTTACGCACTGGTGAACATTTGCCCTGGTACTAAGATTATTAAAGTCGTCGTGTCTTTGAAGGGACATTATCGATAGAAGGGGTTTGAGTTCGGATTATGCATAAACTTCCTTGTGTGCTTCAAGTTGCAGTGTATTACAACTTGATTGAAAGTGCATAAAATAAAATTGAATTCACGTAATTTACAGATAAATGAAATTTCTAGTAATTTCCCCCATCAGATGTGGTTGTCTTATCATCCAGAGACTAGGTTACTCCGTTGGTTTGGGTCGAAAGATGTGTCCAACTCCTCCAACGATCCTGAGTTCCAAGACTAAGCGGCTGCAAAAATCATTTAGAGGGGTCATCAAAGTAAAGGCAATACTTTTAACTAATATCTTTTGAAAGCGTTAAAATAGAGTAGTGCTGTTGTTATATTTATGGTATGTTCCAGAGCACAAGGGTGCACATCAGTCGCTTAGCGGCCTGGCATTATTGTTCTTGTTGTTTTTTTCCATTTTTTACCTCTAGAACAAATGACCGGAGGTCGTTTTGCATCCTCTACCTTTCTCTCATGGCCTCGGCCAGCATTGCAGTTGCCGTGCAGGCGATGGATGAGAAGGTATGCAACCTCCTTCCTTCATGTCCTCTCTCTGGTTCACAGGGTAGACTTTTTTTTTCCTAATTTTTTTAGCTCTAACTAATCGAATTGTAGATCCACAAAGTAACCCGTATTTCGGATACTGGATTTGCCAGCTGGCATGACCCGCTCACTACCGAGCCAGGATTTTGGCATTAGGCGTAGAACTTTTCAAATTTACACCCTGTGGTTTCATATTGGGCTGGAAGGAAAGCGGCAGAAGTACTGATAAACCAGCAGTGGGAAGAGTGATTTTTATGTGCCTACCATCCCTACCATCCACCATCGATGCTTCAGAAACCTATATAAGCATATGAAATGTATAAGTGATGGAAGTGGCACACAAAACAGTGTACAGCCTTCAAACGCTCTTGCACCATCACTGTGCAAAAGTACCTCCTCCATTATGGTCTGCCCAGTGTCGATATGCGTGCATTGGTTTGGCCTATTTTGTAAACCGAAGACCCCTTTGATTTGACAGAATTCGGTTGATCACGAATTGATGCAATAAGATTTTGTAATCATCTCCAGCACCATCTATGCGCCTTTTAATTGAGCAGTAGATAATGCATTTAACAAGATATTTTTAACAACAGCGCTACTCGTCTTCTCATGGGATTAATCCAACCGAAAGACCCTGTGAGTAGCCTTGCTGAGGAGCCGCAAATGCATATTAGCTGGGGAGTTAACATCTCCAAGGTAGCAAGCTCGAATTGTTAGTTCATCTGTACTTTTTGGTTTTCCTTTTATTTTATCACTGGCCTCTGGCGCAATGATTATTATTGCGCACATAAGCTAGCGGTAACAAGTACTGGCATCGAGATTGAGGAGCGAAAAGAATTATTTTGCTTTTTTACCTTTTTTGATAAAAAAGAAAGCTAACATGTCATGTTGACATGAAACACTCGTGGATTAATCGGTAGAATTCCGTAACAAGTGTAATATGATTTATGTGTAAAGGTCCTTATTTTTCATACAGTCGGGAGTCGGACATTCAGGATGGAACGATTGTTTTGGCACACAATGGCAAATTTGTCCTGACAGCTTTGAAAGTGTAGTTTTACTACGTCATATCTAGTAAATCGTAAGTTGACTCACTAGGCAACCCAAGTCAAAACGTACATTAAATTTGAATTCACTAATAAATTTATATCGAAGATGGTGCAACATTACACCTCCTCCCGCTCTCGAAAGAATGCCTCTTTAGCCATAACGAAGGTGAAAGAAATTTTGGGTGACAGAGATGCAGCAATGCTCAGCAGACGGATGATGGCCTCAACCGCACTCGTCTATCCAGCGAGTCAGATGCGGACCTTTTTGCACATTAATAGCTGCGTATGATTCTAGACTTGGTAACTGCCTGTCCATGGGTGCAATTCTGCTTATTGCCAATCGTCTTTTCGGCCATATCCTCACCACCTAATTTTTTCTTAGCAGATCGTTAATATTTTTGACTCATTGACTTCAAAAGCATTCAAAAAAAAGCGTTTTGTCCTTCGACCGCACGGGCAATGGAATATTGTATTGGTGGAGCCATTTTGGCTTATTATTCTCCATTCTCCTGGTCTGATTCAATTAACCCACTTGTTTAACTTCACTTTGCTAGTTAATTTTGAGCCTAAAGGATTAATAAGTACCTAAAAATTACGACCGTTGAGTGGTTAATTGATTTTGAAATCACAAGAGGTACTTTGGCTTTGTTATACCAGAGCTACAACAACACTACCTGCCAAAGAACTGTGTAGGTCCAATTAGACAGTTTATGCATGGATAATAACACCTATTAATTTCGTCGGGTAAGTGAGCTTCCTGGAAATTGTGAAGTAGTTGGGTGTATGCCAGGCTTGATTAGCCTGACAAAGGAAGGCTCACTCGTTTTGCCATCAAATTTTCAGTCACGGTAATAATCTGACCTGATTTTTAGGAAGATTAACATTTAAATTGAGTGCACAGCGTCCTATTCGATTCAAGACGATGGCATCACAGCGATCTCTTCGAGGTCATGATTCTGCTTGGGACGTGACTGCCTGCATTTGGAGCATAATTTTTAAAATTTTCCTTTGAATTCCAATGCGTATGGAGGTAACGCAAAAACGCTCTGCGCTCGCATTCCAGACATTCAAGGTATATATAGTAACGTCAATTCAAGTGCTTTTAGATAGCTGGAAGGAAATACAACGTTACCATGCTTATTAATGTAATTAAATTGTTGAAGAGTTGCTAAATTTGCGACACAATCTTTGTCTTATGGTTCTACCTGTACATGTGTCAAATGAAGTGATTTGGCCTTTGGTTCACTTTTTTGCCATTTTAAGTTACATTTCTTAATACTACTGTTTTGGAGGTAGTGTTAGCAATCAAATGACCAATTGAAAGATGGGAAATTTTCCTATAAACACCTAGTAATTACACACTCCAGCGTGGCCATCGCCTCTCACTATTCCAAGTTTTTACTCTCCATATCGGGCTTAAGCTGTTATTTTTCCGAGGTATTGATCTTTTGGATTCCGAACGAGCACCACATGCACCAATTAATAGCACCTCTAGCCATATCCACTTGCTACTAATTAATTAACCTCTCACACGCCTGGGATTCTAAACTTATTATTTGTGATCTTGAGCTGTTAGAGCTGATTTGAGTTCGCAGTATCACAAAACGTTGACGGTATCTTTGAGTCGTAGGAATTTCGTGGCCGATCTCTTAAAATATCTTAACATCGAAACGAGATATGTCAGCGTTGGACAGTACAGTGTGCTTGCAGACACTTGAACTTTGACCACGAAACCGTCAAGTTGTGAATATTTACTTAGTACGTAATGCGCTGTAATGAATGTGCAGTCAGCCTTTTATTTCTTTGGCTTTCGTGAGCATTACCTACGTCGGTAATTGCTCTTTTTCGGATTATAGAAACTCACTCACTTTAACTCGCCAAACTTTTGGTACTTAAAAGTTCATTGGATGTGCTTAGACCACCTAATCTGTTAAAAGTATGCGTACAATTTAAGTACTACCGTACCACTATTTAGTGATTTATTCAATTACTTCCCAATTGGAAAATATTTGTCATTGTATAGTAATTGTTGATTAAAATTAAATAAACAAATTGCTAACATGATTTGATGTTATAGTCGCAATTTGTGTTCCTGTATTAAGTGTTGCCGACTTGGTTTGCCTTGCCGTTCAGGCATTTTTCGTGTCGGTGCGACTTTTAGTGAGTCTTCACGTTACTGGTAGTTTTGGTTAGTGATTAAATTCATTTTAGGTTTAATAGTTTTGATTTAATAATCCTGGTTGCCTTCTGTTATCGTTGTAACGATGTTGCGAGGCGTGAGTTGAGGAAAAAAAAGTAATATTTTTGCCTCCAGCGTAGTGTAATGGATCACAAAGTCTTGTTTTGAGTTTTCTTTGCATCCACTGAAATAGGGTGCATTATCTGTACTCGTCTATGTAATTCTCATTTTGCCTACTTAATTAAAGTTTCCGCTTCGTGATCACGGTTTTAAGTTGACTGAAGAAACGAAGAAAAAGTTGCCATGGCTCACAGAGAGGCATTGCGAGGGAAAGTTATACATATAAGGTAGGATCCCTCAAACTAAGGCACACTGTGGGTCGAAGGTGCTAAATTCCGCAACCCATGCTCACATTACACAGGTGAGTCGCAATGGAATAATGACAAAAAGTAATGGGATTTATGACCGTAGACAGTACGCCAATTATGTCTGGTTCAACGGACTGAATGCGTTGTGCAGTGAATTAAAATTCAACATTATTTTTACAAATCAACTCATAATTGTACTCTGGGGTCCTAACCCCTGACTGGAGTAGCTTGCTGAGAGTAGCAGTAGTGGCAGTAGGGGACAAGTATAGATACGATGTTTTCGATAACGTGGTCTTGCTTGAACAGGACAGTCTAACTGCGGTGGTACACGACATGCTGTTGGGGGCACTGTACGCGACCAGTGCTTGTGTCATGTTCGGTGTCACCGTCTACTTCGCGGTGAAGCGCGATGAGACCTTTGAGGCCGCTCAGCGTATCTCTGGACCCGTCTCCTTCATAGTCAAGTACTCGCGTTGCGGTGAACCCGTCAACCTCTACCTTCGCCTCGGTCTTGCACGTACGTTCTGCCCCTCGCACACTAAAGATGTGTATAAGCCTATGGACAGTTAGACGCGGCTTTTGAGAGTCTTGGTCCTAAGCGCTGCAATTGCCGTCTGCTGACTTTTATGAGATCATCATCACTCTCGAAATTGCTGTTAATTTTAGCATCTATGCCATCACAGAGCATAGAGAAATAGTCACTTCACGATTCAGATCTGAAAGTGGTTTAAGGGCAGCCGTTGAGCTTTATCATGTAACTGAACTGGATGGATGCCCATGCGTATCAGAAAGGGATGAATTAGCCAATAAATAAGCTAATAAGAATATGATAGGGAAAAAATGCGTGATCTGGATTTGATGCCCTCTTCCAGAATAGATGGACAAAAAACAAAGGGAAGAATGGATAAAATGTTTCTTTGGATTAGTTCATGACTGTGCAGAAAGATTGGTGGCTAGGGTCTTGGACTCTAAAGGCAGAGACCTTACTAGGATGTTACGAAGGGATGATCACAACGTCGAACGATCTCAACATCGTTTCCACTCTAAATGCTTGGTGTTTTGCCCAAAAACGGTCCTCTCGGGGTTTCTCATCGCCGCGTTCTAATAAGACATGCAGTCGTAATTCCATATTCCAAGTTAAATTAAGAAATGCACAACTGGCTACAAACCAAGTTGACCGAGCAAAAATTTGCGGTAAATTTTTTGCTTCGACAATCCGACCCATTTATTCTTCCTCTCTTTAGCGCTCTACCAGATGAAATAAACAACTGCTATCCATTCACTTATTCAAAATGTGCATGCTTTTTGTTCCTCTAATAAACTAGGCTCTACTTTCGAACTCTCTTCAAGGCATCCATTGGGTCAACTAGACCGTCTGACCCACTATTTTTTTTCTTGTTTTTGTGATATTTACTACTCTTGTATACGCTTAATAGAGACCTGCGCTTTATAAGCGAAGAAGTTGGGTTGGATTTTAAAAATGCACTCGATTTCTACTTTTAGATGCCACATTTGTGTTAACTCAGGAAGCCTAAAGTGGGTGGGCTCGTCCTCTTGAAGATGAAGCTTTTAACAATGCGGATTTGGATATATTCAGGCTCTTGTCAGACCTGTAGCAGCATTTAAAAAAACCCATTGCTATTATGCATTTTCGTTGATTATTTGGAGGCCCAAAATTGCTATAAAATTAATGCAACTGCCACAAATTGCTGTTTTCATTAAACCCCTGCGTGTGACTTTGGCACTGAATTAGTCATATGACCCCGAGTCCCCTAGCAAGTCCAAATGCCACTTCATTTATCAAACGCTCTTGTGTACAATGCAGGCAGAGAAAATAATGCATCCTATTGGTATCTATAATATAGGATTAATGGAAAAAGGTTCTTATATGCACTGAAATCGAATGTAAATGTCAATTAAACGAAAAATTGATCGATAGGCATTACTATTGCTGTTGTTATTGTTAACCTTTAGCAGGATAATTTACCGAACTGTTTTCACCCAATACCAATGTTCAAAATGTCACTCCAATCACCCCCCTCCCCTATCCTTGTTTTAGGAGATAGTAGCTTGCTACTTGAACTGCTGATATCATCATCGTAACAGTAGAGTCGACAGAAACGCATTTGATTGCCATCATTTTGTGGATCTCTAGATCACTATTTACAACAATCTGCACTTCAGTAAAAGTTCAACTATCAGATGTCCTTGGTAGAAGTCGGAATTAGATTATGGCTCTTAAAATAGAGCTCCCCCTTCTAGTCCCGAGATTCTAGTCTTGTGCAAATTTTCGACCTTCAAATCCCCTTCATTTGTAACATCCTTCATGGAGAAAGGACTCATTCTAAAGTGGCGTATACCGTTGCACTTTGTATTAGTAAATTTTTCGTCTGCTGTTTTTAGTAGTAGCCGATTGGAGCTCTACTGTAGGAAAAACTGACTGAATAGGAAGCTAATTCTGTATGAATTAAGCAGTTGTTTGCAGTTATGATGGACCCTTATCTAGCGTTTCAATTTGCGTAAAATAAATGAATCATTTAGCCGTCGGAAATTCGATCTTTCTCAAGATTAACTGGCATTCATTGAGTTTGTTAGATAAGGTAAAGTACCTTCTTTTGCTTAAATGTACATGCAGTTGTGAGAACTGCAAGGAAATGTTTTTTCCTTCCACCTTGCTGTATTCACGCGGGAAAGTTGACGGCTAGCGAACAACCATGATATCTTGAAAGCTCGGTAATTATGCAGAAACGACCTTTTACCTAGGATTATACATAATTGGTACCGTTGTAGGTTTTATCCTTTTTTGAGAGACATTAGTTACCTAAGGTAAATCAGTTTGGCCTCCGCCCATGAACAGGCCTAACTGATGCACAAAACAAGATGCTGAAAACTGTAATCACAACCTCCCAACTGTATTCCATGATTTCTGGTTAGAGCTATGAATTTGGGCTTGGTGAAAGTAATTTTTCACGCAAACTCCATGGCATTGTCAATTTTCAAGACTCCTTTGCAGTGTTGGTGTTAACAAGGGCCGTTTTCATCTGTCTCTTACCGTAAGTTATAGTCCTCCGGTGTCGATCCATATGAACGCTGCATTGATTCTGGGGTTGATACTAATATTTTGGAGTCTAGGTGTTTGGTTCTGATCCAAACTGTAACCTATGCTGGAGGCATGAGCATTCACAAGTGGTAGTTTTGGTCCACAGGACCCAAGGTTATTATCTGCTCGATGACTCCTGATCTGTGAAAAGAATGTAAGCATATCTACCAGATTGAAACCTCTTTGGGTTTGTGCAGATGGATTATTTGAAAGTAAATCTGGGAACGCCAGTGCAGTTTTCCTTGTTTTGCCTGTTGACTTCTTTCTTGGAGAGTTATTTTTTGTTTTCGATTGTGCACAGCCACCTGAGACTGTTACAGACTTATGGACTAAATCTTCACCAAAATTCACTTAATGATTGGCCGAAGGTTAACATGATTAACTAGCATTGGCCACGTAAGCTAGAATTTTACTGCGAATAAAAATTGCTTTTCAGCCTTGTTGAGAGATAACTAAGAGCTGATTTATTACTACTTTGCCGTTCTTCGACGCCTACCCTGGCTTAAGTGAAGTTACCAAGAAATATTGCGAATTTTATTGTCCGACAAGAAATCCCATGAGAATTAGGGATTAATTTAATCATAACAACTTGATGGTACCTCTACTTTCACCCTCTGCAAAGTCATTTTATTCCATGTTCTTGGTCGTGTACTTTTTTCCAAAACTCTATTGTTCATCCAATGGCATTCAAAATGCAAAAATTAGTTGTTTTTCTGGAGATATAATAAAATTGCCCATTTAGGACCTACCTGAGAGCAGTACTTTGCTACTTGTTAGTATTGCTTTTATTTGCACTTCTTTCAACAATAAATGTCTACCTCAAAAACCTGGCCTTAATTCTCCAAATAACTTCATCTAAAAAAATTTTTTATCCAGTACAACCGGCATATTAGTGAATTCGAGGGCTTATGTGCTTGTAAAGTGATTCACTTTTTCGATTGAGGGGAGTTTAAAGAAGTACCAAAACTGTCCATAGCATCTCTCACTCACCTGCCCATCTTCTGCAGTCTTCGCGGCAATGAGCATTGGACAAAGCGCGATTCGGCTGCACGAGATGCAAATGGAGCCGCCCATGCATTGGCCCGAGGTTTTCAAATCTACCTTTGAAATTAGTTTCTTCACCGCTCAAACCCTGTTTATCCTTATCTATCACCGGGTAAGTCTATCTCTTCATTTTCCGCCGGTATTGCAAGGTGAATTGGTAAATCAATACAGTGGTTGAGGGCTCTCAAATTGATGACATTGTTACTTTGGTATGCCTCTCATTTTGCGACTACACTTCCATAACACAAGTCTCTCGTCAACGTCGAACAATTGAAATCTCGATCTTCACGTGGTGCTGAATTGAATCGCCTGACAAAACGCAGGAGTAGACGTCAATCCATGTCGCTTTAATCCATGCTTGTATAGGTGCACGTTTGCAACTGTGTGGACGGAAATGGTTGTGAGCTTTGTTTCAAGTCATGCCAAGGTTCAATTCCTTCATGCATTTAAGTCTTTTTGAAAATCACTTCTTGCATTTAAAGCTTCACAATATGTACTTATGCATTCTGAAGGTCTCATCTGACTCGGACTTCAATTCCAAGTCGATTTGGATCTTTCCACTACAAATGGAACTAAGTATAGTAATCACATTCCTTTAATCTCTTCAGTTTTCCTTCCATTATCGCAATCTCAAGAGCCAGCAGCCTGTTTTTTGCCTCAAATTCCCCTTTTCGCAAGGGTTTAATGGTACAGCTGGGGAGGAAAATGTATTACGTCTGGCTTTATCCACTTATTATTTTACAAACGTGTACTCATCTTTTCTCACTCGTATTCACATAGCAAGCACGTCTACCTTGAATTTGAAAGTTTTCCAAAATAATCCTCTACCGCATAAGAGGAGTTTGATTCAAGGTTTTAGTCTTGGATTATTTGCTAATTAAACGGTGGCCCTCATTCAACTCACCATATGTTGAATCAATTTCCCCGGTAGGTTCAACTTCCGAGACTAATTTTGATTAAGACGATTTCTACTGGTAATCTAAAGCCAATGGTCAATTCAAGTTTTGTTTTAAACTGTCCAGTTTGAGTGTTCTTCCTGTTGGATGTTTACATAGTAGAATATTAACCCGGATAAATGGTTCCGAGCCAATAAATAGAATGAAGCCTGCCGTCAATAAATTGGTTCCTTAGTAAGTGTTAGACACTACAGGTTCAAGAACGGGGTAATATTCTGTAATTATTCCTGTTGATAATAACACTTTGACTAACAAATATCACTGTCACATTCTGTCTGCTGTTTACATTATCAAAAAGCCGCTATGAGAAGTCCACGAGATTTTACAACTTTTCGCTCAGACCTGGATTAAGATATTTCCTACCGTGCTAGAGGATAACAGGTGAATCCGTCCATCTGTGCCGCTCCAAGACGAGTCGCGTACACACTCGCAATGAGTTTATTGCCGGTCAACTCATGATGGCACTAATGTCGGTTTCTCCACAGTCTCCCGCTGTTGTGTGACTAATATACAATAAGGACAATAGTTTGGAGTGCATAATACTTCAAAATAGCGAACATTGCCTGTAATAGTTAACTCTCGTCTATATCTATCGGCTGTAGCATTACAGAGAATTCGATGGCTTATTTTAATCAAATAAAGTGATCTCTTGTCCCAGATTCCTCAAAATGAGTTTTGTGCTTAGATTAGCTTAAAATTTACACATACTCTAGGTGCTCTGATCTCTCGATTTGCATTCCATTTAATTGGTGCATTAAGTCTAACCTCTTTTTCTGCTTGATTTAGCCATGTAACTTCAGTTGTAACCAATCGGTAGGTAGGTTTAGTTGATGATAAAGTTCTACACTTGAGAATGAACAATCATTTGAGGTTAATTAAGTGCATCACAGCGAATACTTTAGATACCTAAGTGTCTTTCCGCTTGATAGTGATATCAAAAAAAAAAACGATTTTCTATGCCTAAACTTGAACTCGGAACTTGATTAAAATTGAAGTTAACTGAGTGTCAGCTAATAAAGAAGAATGATCACCTTCTACATCCAGTTGGTTGGTCTACTGCACTTTGAATCATGTGCGAATTCGGAATTCATGATTTTGGAAAAAAAGCGAACTAGTCAGTGTTTTTTCCACAAATTAGTGTGTCTTGTGCCCTCTACTCTAGTGCTGGACAGTGCAGGCCGGCAGTGTTTCTTTTCAATTTTGCAGTATTGAAGAAGCTGACTCACAGAGCAGAACTTAAAAGATTACTAACGAATGTGTTTGATTACGTAAGTGGGTATTCAGTGGTCCTGGTTCCTCCCCAAAACTTGAGAGTAAAATAACAATAAATGCAACTATGATAGAACCATTGCTTTACTGGCATTGAGTAAAACACCTGGGGACTACGACCATAACTTGATGTATGCGCAGTTAGAAGACTGAATCCACTCCAGCGTTTGTTTAAGGAAATTGACAGTGTTGCCGATTGAGCCTTCTCCAAAACTGGAGCTTGTAGAAAGAGCCCTATCCACAAAGGAAATCAAGAGTAAAGTGTGGTATCCATCTGTATAAAGAGAATTACTTACCTAATAAACATGGCGACCACGTAATAAGGAGTCAAAACTCCAGAGAAAATACAGTTTTAAGAAAAAGAAGTAAGTCAAAATTCGCATTATCAACAAGGTTTGCACTCATATACTAATTACCGTCGATCTGCCTTGCTTCTCTTCCGTTTGTCAGGATCAGTTTCCACTTTTTCATTCAGTCTTATGGCGTTATCTTGATGAAGTTTATCCGCATTGGCGAGTCTAACTTTTATTCGCTTATAGTTCATTCAAGGAACTTCACGCCCCTCGAAATTGGGAATCTTAGCTTTCAGATGTTTATTTCTTTGATAGTTTAAATGTTTGAAGAGATTACAGTTTATCCTTTTTAAATAACAACCTCCAATTTGCTACTGGTTGTGAAGGTTGGCTTAAAAACTCGAGTTCGCTTGTCAGCCGCGAGTAAAATAAAGGGATCATTTTGCTAAGCCGCAACTAAAGGTCAAATTTTACACTACAAGCCCACACATCATGTTTTTAGCTAAAATATAAATTTGAATTTAATTGATTAGAAATTAATACGGGTGTTGAAATCTAATGTTGGTCCCCTTTAGAAGAAGTACCACCGCTATTTCACTTATTTTGCAGACAAGGGTGGCTATACGTGTTTTGATATGAAGCATTGAACAAGCCACGTCTCCTGTTTAACAGATTGTGATCCTGCACAATAATGAGATATTCGGGGCTTGTTTCATCCATGTGCTGAGCACGAACCTCTGCATGTGGGCTGACGTTATGGTGGACAAGGTGAAAACAACGCTGCACCTCGATCACAGGGAGGGCAACTCGTCGGGCTCTTCGGTCTCATTTTACCTCCTGCCCGCGGTCTCCGAGTACTGTCTCCTCTCCGCTGCACTCATCTACGAGATCACCGTGCGCATCGGACAGCCCAGCTACATCGAACTGGAAGAGGACGAAGACGAAGATGACGAGGAGGAGACGGACTGCGTGCATAATCGAGGACAAGGCTGTTTGAGAAAGGAAAGGGAGGAGGGACAGGAGACAAGTGAGGTGAGCAGTAAGTCAGGGAGCATCTCCGATCTCGAGGTATCTTCTCCGGGAATCAAAGATCAAAGGCGTAACCTCGGTCACTTGTGTCCACGTGTAATCACCAGAAGTGTCAAAAAGGTAAGTCTTTTATCACGACACTAGAAGGGTTCAGCTGATGCGGTTACCTCTTGTAATTCATACCTATTTCACCATTGGCCAAATGAGTCACAATTGTGGGATTTAGAGCGCTCCGGTTGTACCTTCCAAGACTTAAATTCCAAATGAGTGGGATTTGAGGCATGTTATTAGGCCCATCTCGTTTGAAAGCTGTAAATAAATTGTAATTTGTAATAAATTGTTTGAAATATACCCATCCCCTTACTTTGTGAACGACATCTGTCCCCAACGCGGCATTATTTCTGCATGTGTTTTCTTTTTACTAGTTTGAAATCGCAAATTTTGCAACATAGTGGAAACCTATGACGAAAATTACACTTAGCTAGTTATGAGTATTTCTAATGGAGGTTGGTTGATTGAACTAAAATTAGGATTAACTTGACCAAAAAGGTGTGTGAGTTTTAAAATGGTTCTTTTTAGAATTGTAGCCTGTCCCAGTAAAAGACTAAACTGATTTGCTGAAGCTCAAAATTGGATTCCTCATTTCATACTGTTCCTCGATATTTACCTTCTCTACCATTGTTTTTATTAATGTTTATTCATTCTTTGGAACATGCTCTAGAATTGATTTGGTGAAACTCATTTGGATTTAGCGGCAGTTTTTATCAATGATACCAACCAACTTAAAGTCAAACTACGATGCATTATTTTCGAATAAACTAATAGTGAATCATATAGAGTTTTCGATGACTCTTTTATGCTCAAAGTATATAGTGACAAATTAAAAGCAAATAAACTATCAATCCTAGACGAAACATCTCAAGAAGGACTGAGGGATGTTATTTTCTCTAAGTACTGTAACGATGGATTACAGATTATTCTTACCTATGTGATTGTTAAACTCGATACCTTAACCAGTTTTGTTTCTGGAGGTGGGAGAGAGGTCAATCTATCTGCCTGAACTCTGTTGATAGGATCTATCTATAAATTCTAGAATTTCATCTATCTGAAATCAAGTATATAAATGAATGAAAAGCTTTTCTATCACAAAATTAAAAAGTCCGTAACGAATTTCTAATCATCAACCTATTTGTAAGAAGTTGAAGTGAGAGGGGATCGCACTCTAATTGTTTCATTTGCATTATCTTGTCCGTAAAGGTGAAGGTACTAATGGTGCACTGCGGCATGAACATCAAGTCGGGCTATTGGGCACCGCTACTTATCGTGCTGACCATCAGCGCACTGACGGTGGCCACTGGTGTGACACCGAAGACCTCGCAAATCACACCCTGGAAGTGCGCTGTCCTCTTTGCAGAGGAAATGTTTCTTAATTGCATTGGCATTTTCGTCACCCTCGCCTCCTTCTTCAAGATTCGCCATCTCAAGTTTACCATCGCCTCACGCCAAAGTGTTATTGACGAGTTCGTCCTCTACATCGCCTTCTTCTTCTCCGCCAACTACCTCGTCGCCACTGTCGCTCTCACCAGCTACTTTAACCGCGTTACCACAGATGTGCGTCGCTTTTTCCCTCCCTACTTACCCCCCTTTCAGCAGTTCGTCTCTTTCATCTGCAGTTATCCCTTTCTATAGCCCCCGTGAAGTACAGTGCTTGACCTCTTCCGCAAACCAATGGTTCCATTTTGGGATATACGCTTTTACACATCTAGTGGCGAATCCCATTGTATTGCGCTTTGGTGTCGATAATTAGGAGTGTAAAAAGTATGGTTACAACCCCATTTTTTGATGTAATCTGGTATACAGCACCCGCACCATGCACTGTCTGAGTATAGCAAGGCAGATATGTAGTTAGTGTCGTCCTCACTGTTTTCAATTTGTGCACTTTGGTACTGACCATTGTAAGGCCTGTGGAATTTGATGGCCGAATACTTTTCTGTTACACTATATAACATAAGGCCATAAAACGGAAAAGGGACAGTCACGGCTATTTGAGCTTGATGTCCCATGACCTCCTGTTGTTGCACTTCCGCGTTAATCATTAGTGGTCTCAGTTTGATGAGATGGAATCTCCCACAAGATGACGCCTGAGATGAAATTACAAATCTATGTGACAGGGATATGGTCGCTGATTCCAAGGGTAACAATGGACTCTCTGGCCTCCCTCATGTAAAATCCCAAGCTAAAGCAAATTCAAAAACAGAACTAGACACTATAGCAAGAGCTCCTAAACTTTTTCTCTCGTATTTACTATTGTGATACCATTCAGCATTGGATTGGAGATGTTCTCAACTCCTTGTGACGTGAAGAAGCACAGCTTTGGTTCATTTAATTTTGATTTGATTACATTGCAGAATGTTTTCAGAGAATATTGCCATTAGTGGTTTCAATTTCCAAATGACTATTCTCTTTTGAGTGATGCGTGTATGTGTACATGTGAATGACTCAACAATAATATCCTCTTTTTTTTATCGGTGTAGGTAGTGCACAAGGACTTGCTGATGGGCAGGCTGGCGTTGAACATGTTGGAATTGGTGGAGGTGATTCTGCAGACCTACCTCATCCAGGACTGTTTCCGTCGATGCAGCGAGGAGGACTTCCAGCAACGCATCAAGCCAAGCCGACAAATGATTGCAGTGCTGCTGGGCATCAACCTCGCGGGATGGGTGGTAAAGTCATTCCAGCTAAAGGAGGCAGATGTCCTCTACAATATCACCGTACGCAACGAGATTGCTTACGGCTGGGTCCTCATTGCTATTACCATGCCCGTCTTCCTCTTCTACCGCTACCACTGCACCGTCTGCCTCTCTCAGTCCTTTACTATGCTCTATGAGGATGAGGTTCGTCTCCCACCTCTACTTTTAACAATATTCCTTCGATCCCCCCTTTTTTCAGTCCGGACCTCATTCATTTAGGTAACTATTAAAACTCATTTTCCTTTTTGTTCTTGCCGCTGCTCTAGACGCGTCGGTTTGAGGCCTTGTGGCGCCAGAACCCCATCTACCTCTCGAATCTCCTAAGTCATACAAACCTGGCGGTGTGCGAGGATGGAGATCACTTCCATGCTCGCGAGAACCTCGCCTCGGTGCGCATGTCTAACCGTCAGCTGAGCGAAGTGCTCCATCGTAAGTTCTCTACGCAGTCTTTCCAGCAGATAGAGTACATGATGCCACGCCGCGCCAGCTTCTTCCACTCTGGCGTCATCTCCACCTCTACAACGAGCATGCACGATGCCGAGCTGTTCCCTGCGCAGCTCCACGTCGCACCACCAGTGCACAAACTCTCCTCTATCCACTGCACCCAGAAGAAGCTCTCCGTGCCTAACCTCAAGCGCGTTAGTGTGTCCGGTCCCAAACCGTCCATTAAAGCAGCAGCAGCTAGCGCTATTTCTTCGCGTTGTCGTCTCGCCGAGTCAGAGAGCTACGAGGGACCCAACTACTTCCTCTCGCGTATCAGCCCCGCTAGCATCGCGACTCCTGCCGTCTGCAACGAACACGCCACTCAAACTACATCCGTCTTTCTGCCCAACGACCATCACCACCCAACCTCCGTCTACCACCAACAGCTACAGTCGTCAAGACCATCCACTCTTCGGCCGCCTAGTAGCAACCGGCGTCAGATTAATAACGGAATTCCTCCGCCAGAGGCTGATGGGATGCAACGGCGCCAAACGCTGGTTAATCTGGAGACCGCAAAGTACCGCTACTTGGCTGCCAAAATGGCTCACAAACGCGTCCTTGAGCGCTCTGTCGACGGGAATGGAGAGAGTTGGAAGAAGCGCGCAAAGTCCAAAAGGAAACGTAACAAAGATGAGAAGTCGCCGGTGCCGAAAAGACAGATAAGCAACCCCACCTCTTCTTCTGGCGAAAATGTGCCTTCTAGCCCACCTCCTCTGACCACACAGGATATTGCGAAGCCACCCACACCGCCACCGACGCAGCCTACGGACCCACCACTAGGCCAACCGCAGCAGGCTCAACCACCCATGAGGGGGTTCGAACCGTCGAAGGTAGTACCTCTATTGATTGCGCGGAATATGGTCAATACGTCGGACGGGGGACCGCTGTCGGCTGTGCCTGAGGAGGGTGGTCACGACCTCAGCTTCACGCCTTCACCGCCGCTCATCTTCTCGTCCTCCTCCTCTACCACGGGCAGGGATACAGTGGTAGAGGCTAAAGCCGAAGATGCATTCCAACCAGAGGAGCAGAGTGGAGACGGGGACCGTGTCATCAACGAGACGGACAGTCCGGAGACGACAGTGTCCCCAGCCTCGGGTGCTACGGATGACACAGAGCTAGAGTACACGTCCTCCATTTCAGCCACCTCTTCCGCCACCGGTGCGACGATCTTTGACGGTGGGAAGAGGGGAGCAACTGGCGAAAAGTGACCTTAGTCATCTTCCCCCCTCACTAGCTCGCACGCATAGATCCAACTGATTACGCATCGAGAAGCACGTGCACAAGCACACCTACAGACACCAAGCACTGCTGCTCAATGTCCGATTCCACAAATTATCGTCCCCCTTCCCTCGACTCCACCCATTTGTTCATACGTGTTTTTTACTCGATACGAAAGCATAAATGGAGGCGCGTGTGATTCAAAACGTTCTTTTCATTCGGACTGTTGGGTAAAATAGTTAACTGACGCATATTAGAAACCACCTAGCCCGAGCGATGGTAATTAAAATGGTAAGAACTAAGAGTTCCCATATTTGAGCAGTCATTAGTGATGTAGCAAAACTTTACACACCAGGGTGCCCCCCTCTAGTTTGTCGGCAAACAACTCATCATTCGCCAGAGACCCGGACAAGCAAGCGGAGACGTTAGAGAAAATGTATTTAAGTCCGCTAGCAGTCCTCCAGATTTATGTTGCCACCGAACTTCGCGTAAAGTTCCTTCTTTAAGGTTGCCATAGTGGCCTTGCAGTCGCTCAATTCCGACTCGAGGGTAACGAGGCGATCCTTTAGCTGTGCCTTTTGTTCATCAACTTTTTCATTTACCTCTTCAGTCGGTAGATGGAAGAAGGACTCGCCTATCTTGAAACTAGAAGAATAAAGATACATTAGAATTAAGGCAAATCTACGATTATTCAAGGAAGATTGCAGACTAATTATCAAGGTGGCTACGTCAAAACAAATGTGAAGTAAAAAGTTAAAAAAGGACTGCGAACACGAAGAGTCCTAGTGTCAAAAGCTAATTGGTGAGGAAATAATATTTGAACTGCTGGTCATAAACAAAGAGCTGACCGTCAAAGCTGGCAACATCTAGACAACCAATCTCGTGATAGTCGGAAACGCAATAGTAACAGCTATTCGAAAATAACACTTGCAATCTTAAATATCATTAAGGTGCAAAATGCATCCGAAAGATTTTCAAATTCATGATCCTGCCCTTCATATTTTCCAACAAACGCAAGTCCCATAAGCGATACAAGTAACAAATGGTGAAGATGCTGCATCTTAGCTAGGCACTGCCGAGATAGACTAATTTAAATGAGCATTCCCAAATTAATAAAGTTAGCATGATAAGACAAAAGCATACGGATGAACTTCTGATTCTGATACGAGAAGTTCGTCTTCAAGGTCAACCAGATTTTGGAGTAATTTCTAGGGCAAAATGAATAAACACAAAGACATGCCTTTTTATTTTCAACCTCTGCCTCATATTCTTTAAGCCTTACATTCCATTTGGCGAAGCTATTGATTCTTCCTTGATCAACAGCTGTAATTTGAATGTCTTCCTACAAAAATCACACGCACTAGCAACACACCTTGGAGCACATTCTTGTTAATTGCGGCGGGAACGTTTGTCTGTGATATAATTGGGCGATAAACGACGATAGTGCAAACAATGAAACGAAAATGATAGCATGGCCGAGTCCGTAAATGCAGAGGTATTCATATTGCTGTGTATCTTTTGATTATGCTTAAATTTTTTTAAACAATTCTACTACATAGATGTTAGGGCAGCTGATTTGGACTCATTAAAAACAGTTGATCTGTTTTTTGTACATTTATGGAAATACTTCTTGTAGATCTTAGTTCATTATAAATAGACAACTTGCACGCATCGTTTGCGTTTGCAAAAGTTTAACCCAGAAACTACTGCTCTCTTTAAGCTGGAATCTTATTGCATTTCACCCTCACTTCTTGTTTTACATCAGATGGTTTACGCAAGCTAAAACAAAGCAAATTACTTGCATAACTAATAAAAAATCACTAGGTTAGCTAACTTTAAGCCAAGAATTACTTTTTTGTACAGTCATTCGAGTCCTTCCTAGAGTTTTGATAATTCAAAGTAACGTGGAAGAACATGCAGCGCTGCAACGGCTTCCGTGTTTCTCTATTCCATCGCTGATTCGATACCCATTGTTAGAGAGGGTTGGGTAGAGGAGGATATTTTTTGTTGGAGAAGTATGATGAAAGTTTTTAAGCCCTCAAACTTGAAATTGGGTTGTGGATCCCTTCCTCTTCGGGGATTGGTGACGTCCGGCACGATCACGTGACTCACCTAAAAGGTATTACTAATAAAGTGATGGCACAATAAAAGTCTAAAAGGCCGGAGAGACATGGTGTTAGGCAAGGGTACTTTCAGATACTGAAGAGTCCACGTAGCCAAACACACTGATAAATCAAATACCAACTCACTACAACCCCAGGTTCCCCTCGGTCAGTCTTCTGCATGGATCACCACAACAAGTCAGGAACGGCAGTTACTAGATTTTTTATAGACGAGAAGAAATCCCATTATGGTATTAGAAGTGAACCTGTGTCCACAAACATATCTAAGGTTTCGTCCCATTTGTGAACTGTGCTGAAGGGGGGGTTTCGACGGGTTTGTATTGCTTGAGGCTGGATGATGTTTTACAACGTGTGCCTTTCGTAGCCCATTAGCCCTTCAGAGGTATTTTTCCCTAAAATTAGGACCATCTAACAAAACAATACATAGAGTCTTCAGAGAGTTGGTATTCTTCATGTATTTTTCGTTGATATCTTGTTTTCATTTCAGTGCCAAATATTCGTCTAAATGGGTTTTATTTAGCTAATAAAACATGGAGAAGGCGCAGATTTACATCCGTAACTAACATCAAGTAGTTTAAATTGGACGTCGATTTATTTATTAATTCCCTCACGATTGGATGCTATTTTAATCAGTCTGTTGGAAGTCTTCGAATATTTGATTATTCGCAACAGGTCCTTTTTCATAATTTTAAGGCTTGGCGAATAACTAGGGTAATGGGGTTATTTGCTTTCTGTGATCGAGTTCGTTTGCCGCTGTTACTAATGTAGCCCCCGGAACCTTACTTGAGGTCGTAATCTGCTATATCATTTCGGAGGAAGGAGGGCCAGGAGGCTACAACGATGGCCAAAGGGATATGTCGCCGACTAGAAGTACAAGCAGCAGACACTGAGGAGCCCCCACAGATAAGCACACCGTCAGATAACATATCGAGGCATTGAACATAACTGCAATTTTACCAATTTCTAGTTCCCTAAGGATACAGTAAATTCATTTGCTTTTAGTCAGTTAAGTTATTCATCCTAATTTCTGGCTCTTTACCATTCACCACGACTAATGGACAAAATTTTTTTGTACTCAGGCAGATTTGCATGTTTAATGCTTCGCCACCGGGGCCAGAGCAGCTGTTCTTATGGGTCTGATCTGCCTTCCGTCTGTGTCTCCGAGACGGAAATACAGCCCACGGAGGGTGGAGAGCACTCACCTTTAAAACCTTCATTTAAACAAACATCAAATCACTACAGAAGGATAGCAGCGGTCGCAGAGCATATTGGTTAGATGTGCTTGATGCTATTTTAGTATAATGTGCAGCAATGGGTATGCTTAATATAACATAGCACTCCGGGTCTTCGCTGAAGTCGGAGGAAACCAAGATAATATGGCAGAACCTATCCAAATAACGCGCATGTCTTGAAGATCATTCGCGGAGGGGAGGTACAATTCGCAGAAGCCGAATTGGCTGTGTATTTGAACACACAGTTAAACAAAGTATAAATTCGATTCGGCAACTCCTATTTTCCACATTTGTTTACACATTTGGAATTCAGTGACCCATCATCACAGAGTTGTGAGGATAAAATTTGCTTGGGAGGTAAGCTGCTGGTAAAGAAGTTAGGTGCAAATTTCATGCATAATTGTTTTGCCTTCCATCTTTACGGGAAGTAGTACCTGCTCCTCTCCGTATTTCACATCACTCCAACTTGGAAATCCTGCAATTTGATATCGCTAGTGGATCTTCAGAAATAAATTTAGTGCTTTTTGTATACGAATATATGCGTACAGAAGAGTGCAGAGTTTCAAAAGTGTCCTGCCACCCTTCGGTGCTGTTAAGCGCTTGTGTAATTTATGTGGTCTGTGAGGTCATTCATTTTTTTAGTTCCTTAGGGTAATCAGGAATAATTGTCCAAGCAAATCCTAACCGCTACACACTACCATATGGGTGAAAGAGGGCGAGTTTTGCCTACTTACCTATGAATATTTGCTAAAAATATATCAAGATTTTGTGTCTGTGGGTTTTGTTGCCAGGCCAAAGTATGCTGATTTGACGGGCATTTCATTTTAATTTAGGGATTTCGAACTGTTCATTATTTCCTCTTACTATGACTTCGTGATATGAGGCAAATACACTCCTTGTAAATAGTGACTCCCTTGTTTGACAACATCGAGTTGCGTGCAAATTCTCCTAACTCTTTTTAATAACGTTTGAGCATAAAAATAGACTGTGCCTGGAAGGGGGATCACGCATTGCATGATGTGGTCAATGTTAGTTGTTAGGAAAGTACACGAGATATATTTATTGCTTGTTGAACAGAGGAGTAGAAGACTTTGGTGAGATAAAGGGATTGGTTAAAACTCAAAATCAACTGTGCCAGACTGTCCTTAGCTCCTTGCATTCGCTCCGAGTACCGTGCCACATCTGGGGCAGGTGTGGGTGGCGTCACTGAAGCCCCTTAGGTAGAAGGGCAGGAAGCAGCAGCCAAAGCATCCTCTAAAAACACACTTTTTAGGTAGCAAAGAACAACATCCGACTCTCCTTATCTGATTGTTACCCATCAGTCTATTTTTTTTTTTCTCCGTCATGAAGTAGGCATGCAGTTACCCATGTAATTTATTCAAGCGGTTTATAAACAGCTACTTTATGAGACAATATACTTTCATAATCTTGAAAACTTTGTACAATTCGACGGGAGGATACAGAAGTTCCCTTGGACCCAAAAACTTTTTTATTTAATAATCCTGTTAAAAGGCTTCAGTTTTTAAGATACGCCAATGACTTTTTAAAAAATCAGTTTAAGAGTGAATAGGTAGCATATTGCCTCTAGGTATGCATCTAAAACCACAATAAGGTTGAATTTTTATCAAAAAATGCATGTCCCTAGAAGAAGTTCCTTCCTCCGTCTCTTCTGCCAATCACAGTGCCAGTTTCCAAAACCCAAGCCTCATGGAACCAACAGGACTGTTGAAGGCGAGCTGCAAAATATGACTTACCCGAGTAGGCAAAGTATCATTGCCCAGAGTTGAGCGAATTTCCCGGTTTCAAGTTCGACATGCGTAACCACTTTCTCATTGCAAACTGGACAAAACGCCAGAGTTGGTTCTGATTCAAATTTCGGTCTCCCCTCCGAAGCTGGAATATACGAGTAAGAAGTGCACTTTTTTGTTTACCTTGACCAGTAAACTATGCCAGTATTTCAACTTGATAGCGGTCCTAAGAAGACTAGAAATAGTTATTCTGAAATTGAATCAAGATAAGTATTGTACTTTTTATTGTGCTGGATAGTCTTTTCAGTTTAGGTCACAGTTCAAGCCTCGAGTCTTGCTACGACCATTGTTTGTAACCTCTCTGTCAAATTTAACTGACTTTCTAATCTTAAAGCGATATGACAACTGAAAACAAAATGTTGTAGCAGGAGAAAAAAAGGCAGAATTATCATTGCCATTTTTAATTTTTATTTAAAGACACTTTTATAGAAGTCAGTAGCTGACTTCAAAGCGTAACCATTGTACTCGTTCCTGCAGAGTTTCAGGACATCTAAACACAGTAGATGTGCCCACTAGAAGTAAATGCAATGTTGTATGTGAGTGAAAGGTCGGGTTTTTATTATAAGAGGTAAGGTAAATGCTTTATTTTACGGAACACCAAATCCAAATACTAAAATACTTAAATGCAATTTAGACTGTTGAGATTATGATTTAATCACCATTTTTTGGAATTCACGCACACGGATGTAATGCCCACCAGAGACAATAATATTGACAACATTCGGCAGCTTGAATGCATGAAATCAAATGCAATCCCCAAAAAAACACCACAAATCCATTTACGTGTGCATACCAATCTACTTTAGCAGTAATTTTCAGTGGTGTGTCACAATAATCGCACATTCTAAAGCCATTCGTGGATAAAGTGGTCGAGGGTGTGCAGCAGGCATTCGGTTTTAACAATGGATAGCGTATTAAAATTTTAGAAAGAAAATTTTTTAAGTAAAAGCAGCTTTTGGAAAATCACACTTGCTGGGCAAAACTTTGTCTGTTCAGATTTGTGTCTAGCTTGTCAAGGCGTAACCATGTTAAACCATATATTTTTTCGATAAAATGGGATTTCAGCCGCATTCAACTGGTACCCTCAACGAAATGCTCAAGCATGTTTGAAAAAGAACGGCACCGTAGAATTAGGTGAAATGTGTACCGAAGCCTAGGTGTCACTGATTTAACTTTTCAGTAAAATTTCACATCGTAAGACTTAATCTCAATTCATTAGGAGATGGGGGTTTTCAAATGGGTCAGCACATTAGTGAGATGCTTACCTTTAATTCTTCTACTCATAGCTTGCAGGTCAAGTAAAATGCGGCGGCAATATCTCTTAGTTTTATAGCATTGTGCCCAATACCATGCGGGCATCTGCCAGTTTAAGACCACTTGATATATAACCGCTGAGCTCTCATTTTAGTGGCAATCTTTCAGTAGAAGGCAAATTGCAAGAAAGATATATCAGGCCGTTTGAATGAATGAACTAAAATGTGCTCGCTCGACCTTTCACAAAAGGTATAACGAAACTCAAATACTGATGACAAGTTTTACGTTCATTTGAGTTGTACTTTTGACTACATGGACCTTTAGCAGCGACCCATGATTTGCTTTGATGTCAAAATGCCTTCTACGCCGCAAAATCCTCATCTTTTGAAGTAGTGGCAGAATTTGTAAATGCAGTCATCCTAAATTCACCGGCTTAATAATAAAATTAAAGAGTAATAGAATGATATGGATTAGCGAAGCCCTAAAAACTAGGAACGGAAGAACTACCCGGGTACCATCCAAACTCAAGTTCTACGGAATGACTAGCAGAAAGCCAAGACCCAATGTTAAGAGGTTGAAATCATCCTTCAAGAAATACCAACAAACTCTATTAAAAAACATTAACCTTACTCCAAAATTATGTACCTATTTACGATCCAAGAAGTTAAGAATGGTCTAGATAGGTGACTAGGCAGCGCTGGAATGGCGACATAATTGAATGACGATAAAACTGAACCCCATAAAACCGACTTCACAAATGCATTTCATTTAATAATTTTATGTTTGGTTATAGTTGCCCATTCGAAAATGTTACAAGGTATCGCCTAGCCTCAAGAAGTACATGAGACTGCCGTCATGGGGGGCTTGAAATTAATAACGCATTCCTTCAATAGACGACAGCCTTACACCATTCCGAGTGTGAACAACCGCCTCACACTAAAACCTGCGCTACGGGTACAAAATCCCAGCAAAAAGCCTCCCATCAGGCCGAGTTCCCAATTGGCACTATGAATAACGCTGTCACCCTTCTCAGCAAAATGTCTCCTGTGGATAACCGATTTGTACGAGCACCAATATTTCTAGGTTTAGAATGCAGGCGCTCGTCGACATTTACTAACGGTATCTCGTCGTGATCAGGGAAAACCGTTAGAGGATTTTATGCTCTTAGTAATGAAGTCCCGCAAAAAAATCACAAAGAATGCATATTTTGCAAGTTTATAGTAAAGTCTCTGCAAATAGAAAGCCCCAGAGAAAGTAACAGTAATTTACAGACAGAACAAAAGGACACGAATGCATAATATACACAGGGGATACACTACTACTCCTGGTAGCGAGGTACTGAAAGTTTAGTTACAAAAGATACAGAGAAATTGTCCTTGACGAAATTTCGGGGGAAAAATGCATAAACTCACAGAGGGAGGGATGCATCTGAAAGTAACGACACACACGGTAGGGTTGACACAGGGAAGAGTGGGAGAAAGGGGAACTCATATGGGGAGCGAGTTTATGAAACGAATTAGTTCTGGGTCATCGAAGTAGTTCAGGTCCGACAGGCCGTCAAAGGCCCACCGAACCTCTTCGTCGGTGAGCTGACGATGAGATACTTTCGGACGCTTTAGTGGCGGCTGAGCGGAGGGAGATGTAGAGGTGGAGGACTGGGTACCACCCTCGCCGATTCCACCTCCACTAACGCTCCCACCACCACCAATGTTGGTGTTGTTGCCACTAATGCGTTTGCATAGATTGTTGTTGCCAACCTTGGACATAGAAGTAGGCGGTGAGGGCTTTAACACTGTGGGAGTAGTTGGTAGTGACTTGGGCAGCGATGCCTGACTGCTAACGGCCTCTGATCGCACTCGGAGGTCTGGCATACTGTTCGGCAGCTCCTGTCCCTCAGTTTGAGTTGTCGGGTGTAAGACAGCAATGCATTGCGCACTACTCGTGCTGAGAACGCGCTTTCTGCAATTCGTCGATTGAGGTACTGGGTTCGTTGAGGCTGACACACCTGGTTCTGTCGATAACGCGGTCGCTGCTGCTGATGCCGACGAAAGAGGATTCGGCGAAGCCAACTTAACTACCTGAGCTGAACAATTTGAATAAGCAGCAGCGTTTTCTGTGAGGAGGGGATGGATTACAAATAGGTGGTTAACTCACCCTACTAGTGGAATGCGAGTAACAATATTTGTTATTGACATCTCACCTGTATTCCACCGGTTGGAAGAGGGTTGGTGATGAGGGTTAACTGTGAAATTCTGTAAACCCCCGGAGGATGCCTCCAAACCTGAGTATACCAGTGAGGGTGTTTCAGCCGTAGTTGGAGAGGCTATAGTACCACAGGAGCGTCTGCCAGATATTTGTCCTGCAGCTTCGAGTCCGTTAATGGTGACTGGTCGCTGCTGCTGTTGCTGGGATTGAAATGGTGATGGGTGTGGTTGCGGTGGTTGGGTCATGAGAAGCGTGGGACCAATTTGAAGGGCGAAAGCGAAGGCCTGTGTGGGTGGACCGACGATGGGCTGCCACTGGTCGATGCCAGGTGGTAGCTGCCACACTAGAGGCGGTGAGAGGCGCCAGAAGCCGTCCGAACGCACCTGCACCGTGGAGACAGTCTTGGGCGCCAACTGGATTATATTTAGAAGAAAATAGTCAATATAGAGGTTGTCCAAACCTGCAGGGCTGCCGTTACTGAAAAAGGAAAAAAGAAACAAGTGTAAGGATAACAGTGCACCAGATTGATGGGGTGGCGGTGGTGTGTGTATTACCTGCAGATGGGACAGAGGAGTCGTGACCAAATGGCCTCGCGATGGAGGTAGGCCTCCATGTCGAACACCTCGAGGTGATGGCAGCCCACCAAGCGACCAGGGATTTGCATGCGAGAGCGGAAGACGGGGCAAACGAAACTGATCTCAGCCACCACTGCCTGATTGGCTGTCGGCGGGGGCGTTGTGGAGGCGGGACGCTGGTCTTGGCCACCGCTGACCTGTCGGTTGCGCCACGAGGTAATGAGGAGTTTGGTGAGGGAGAGCGATTCCTCAGGTACCCGCCGCAGCAGCCCGTCCAGCACCATGCTCACCGCCGGCATATGTGCCATAAAAACAGCGAATCGATGGTCCTTTAATCGGGAGAACACAGTACTAAGCAGTTGCTTGAGAGCTGCGATAACAGCCATTGCACATTGAGGTCACTTTTGATAGCACGTGATTTGCCCCTCCCGGTAAATGAGTGGCAATAATTTTTCCTGTTCAGATGTATAAACTAAAAAAGAATTGTTTATTGCGGATATTATCAGTGAAACAAAGATTTACTGACTGGGAGCCAAATGAGTGCCCTATGACTTCTAAACTCCTAGCTGCACCATCACAATGGCCTTAAATGTCAAAATAAAAATAACAATCATCGCCTTAATTGCCCACAGTATCAGAGACCTATTGCACCTTATTCATGTTCCTTATAAGTTTAGTGTGAAGATTATCTACTCCACTATAGTGAGATTAAAGTGCACATTTTCAGACTGCGGAAAATTGATCGTCAGTAGGGACCGAATTTGCTCCCTAATGAGAGGAAAGAGGGGGCAGATTGGTCTGTCTGAAAGCATGGCAGCAGTAGCAGTATTAGCCGTGGGAGGAATAGCAGCAGCAACCGTAGCAGTCACGGCGTATCGAAACAACAAGGGGACACACACACACGCACACCTGTGCACACGCTCGGCCAAGACTTTCACAACCCTAACAGCCAGCTCGCCAACCATGCGTGCACACACGCACGCGTGCGCATCCACGCACACACACACACACAAGGAGGCATTTTTGGTCTTCCGCTGTGACGTGCTACTCCTCCGCCTTGCTCGTGGCAGACGAACGGACGAGCGGGCAAGCAAGCAGGCAAGCGAGTGCGCACGTGCAAAAAAGGAGGCATCGATCAAATCGAGAGTGTGTGCACGCGAATGCGCAACTTTCGCTGCCAATTGAGGTGGAGGATGGGAGGGACAAATGTGTGTGGTGTGCGGCGCGACGGAAGACGAAAACAAGTGCATGCGCAAGGGTGTGCGCGCGCAGGCGACAGTAACCACTGTACAGCGCTGCAATTTTACGCACACACGAGATATGATGATAAGAGGTCTTCGAGAAATGCGTATGTGCGTGTGCGCATGCGAGTAAAACTCAAACGTAGATAGACAGACAGGCGAGCAAGGAGGCAAGCAGGCATCCACAACGCACATACGCATAGGTTTTCGAGAGGCGGACAGGCGCATAAGTGACGCCTCGAAGAGAGGCAAAAGCGTGTATGCGCTGGCGGAATTACTCATCCGCTCTTGTACGCTGCCTCTCTTCGGTGTAGGTGTTGGGTGCGGACGTGCGTGTGTGGTATTTAGTCTCCTCCTCCGCCTCCTCCCCCAGCGTACTGACGCGGATAGAATACACCAGCATCTGATAGGACGCGTTCTTAGTGGGGCAGTTGTGGCCTATCCTCGCGGTGACTGGCAAGGCGTGGATGTAAGTCAACCCCATGCTGCTGGGATAATGTCACTCTCGTTCTCCCCCGCCAGTGTGAGTAGTGTGCTTGCATTGTTGACTCATTAACAACAGTGCCGCATTCACACCGAGATTTCACAACAGCGTAGCACACAGACGCATACACACATTACTTTGCCTTTGACTCATCCTAATAACTTTCTCATCCTACGATGGTGCGCTTCAAACCCGCCCCAGGTGTAGTAGACGCCAAATTGGAGAGCACTTTAAAATCTGTTAAGCGTTTCATAACAAGACCGATAAGCGACCAAGATTCTGACCGCAAATGGGTAAACTAAGCTGAAGCGATGATTTGCGCTGCAAAAGTTTGCACACATAAACCGGGAAGGAAAGTAAAAAGTTAACACCCATAAAAGGGGGAGACATGTTGGAGCTTGCATGACCTCACAGAGCCCAGTGGTAGTAGTGGCGATTTTTTTGCAAGAGACGCACTTCAGAAATCAGTACGAAACGCCTATATCATGCGCAACACTCAATGGGCAATGTGATTTTCTCAAAAAAGAGTAATTTTGAATCCTGGCCTCGGTTTTAAATGAGCCCAATAAAACACACGCGTCACAAACCCAATAGAGGTTGTACACGCAGGACATTACATTGACAGCCCAGGCTTTTTGGACGTTTAAAATTAAATGCAGTGTTGTTTTCTCACGTTGCCCAACTTCCATTTAACATTCCCAGCTTTGTAAATCTTTTTGCTGCGACTATATCTCGAAGTGGATGGTGTAACTGAGTGCGGGAATTAAATTGTATTTTGACTGTGCTGCAGGTGTTACTGCTACCAAAGAGCTTGATGACAATGATCCAACAAAATGCACTCCCGAGCTGCGCAAACTGCACAGAAGGCGAGTAGATTATGAGAAAAACACCGTTCTAGGCAGGCAGGTGCGCAAATACCACTTTCTGACAGTTAGCTAGCATTTAAAACTTCAAACACCGACTGGATTTCAACTAGCAATTCTCTAAGATCAGTTGGAACCTTGTCTCGAATCCCTTCGATTAGTTATGCAAACTCCGAGTCTTTTCGAAAAAAGCATGGTTAGTAGGGGAAAGTGTCTCTTAAAAATACGGTTTCAAAGTTAGTGACATCTCAGTAAAGAAAATGGATGTCTGCATTTTCGATAGTAAATGATAAGTGTAAAATTAGGCGAAATCCAAATACGATGTTGAGGCTGTTATGTTATTACTGTGATACTGTGCCTCGAATTCATTTAATGAGCAACCAAGTAAGATTAAACTACTTTCCATCATTCGTTGAAGCGAGATAGTGGGAAATAACATACATAAGAGTAACTGCATAGTGACAATGTATAAAACGGGTCTGAATGCGCTTAGCATTTGTTAAATTGAGTCGGAAATTCTCATACGAAACACTCGACACAACTTCATGTGACTCCAGTTTTTGATAGAGCGAACTATGCCGAAAAGGAAAATTTATCCTTAGAAAATTTTCCGTGGCATGAGGAGAGAACATTGTTCCAGTTACAGGCTTCAAGATCAACGCGCGACATCGGGCAGATCGGATTACCATTGGAAAGGCTTAGATGATATATGGACCTCGAGAAGTTCCAAGCACTTTTAACAATGTGTAATTGTCCCGAAAATTAGTGTCATTTGGATGAAGAAATACAGATCCACATAGTTACCTACGAAACTAACGGCTAGGCGCATGAAAATCGGAGGATCAGGCATAATGGATAAGTATTAATTAAGTCTTTCTTCGTGACCCAAGCGAGAAATTCTTGGATATTTATGCTACGGTATTGCAATAGTAATTTGAAATTTTAACAAAATGGACATCCAAATTTCACTCTCATCTGACAGGGAAATATGGAGTCGAAGAACTTGCTAAAAAAGACTGAACGGATTTTTCACAAAGACATTGAAAAGGAATACGCTTTGAGGGGAGGAAGATAAACAGATGGATAAATACAAACAACTCACCTTGAGACTGTAGTTTGGGAAGTGGTGGGGAGGGGAACGAGAGGGAGAGAGAAAGACTTCGATGACGTTACGAGAGGGTCGACAGAGCGATTTAACTCCACACACCCTATGCGCAGGCTGGCCGTCCACGGTGGTGGTGCGATCGAGTTGGAAGATGGTGCCGTTGAATCGGATGTGTACCGCTTCCGCAGGCCAGTGGCACACCTGCAGCGGCTCGTGCACTAGGTGGCTGCACACTACAATGTCCAAGTCGGGGCGCTCCACTATCGTCTCCAAGTGATTCTTCGAGACGTCGAATTCAAAGGTCCGAACCTGAAGCGTGTTTGGTGACTGTCGCGTCTGTTCCTCGTCTAAATGCAGCACCATTGGGCGCACCACCGTCCCGTTGGTGATTGGACACACTAACCGTTCTATCAAAAGAGTAAGACGAAAAACAATCACGTCAGATGCTCTAAAACTACAAAACTTGGTTCAATAAACCTTACCAGAAGAAAAACACGTAAAATCACTATAATACTCCTAGTTAGCACTGACGGAAACCAGAAGCTTATCGATGGACTATTGCAAAAATTGCTTTCTGCAGGGATGAGTATTTGGTGATCGCTTTGAGAAAATGCGAGTTCAAGTCAAGCAAGTGTACATCAAACAGGAAAAGAAAATTAGAGCCGAATGCCACTTGAGTTATTGTATAGGTGTGAGCATCAAACGGGAGTCGTGGTTGCAACCGCTTAAGGTTTACATGACCGATGGCAACTCACCAGCCGTCTGTTCAGGAGGAAGAGGATGTGGAACAGGTGAAGCGTAGACAGTGGGGGGGCAGGGTTGTGGAGGCGGCGGAGCAATACTACTGACGACGGCAGCGGCGGCTCCGGCCGTAGGGTGGTGCTGGTGCGGCGTAGGTGGTGTATGTACAACGCTGTTAAGTGGGGGCATAGAGAGACCGACGAGCTTGGGAGGAAGAGCACAGGAGACGGCGGGGGTAACTGTGGCCGAAGGAGGAGGTGGAGGAGCCATCGGCAGCATGGACCCGTTAGTCATGATTGGGCCCGCAGGTCGGGGCGCCCACAAAGAGGGCTGGGAAGGTGTGGAGACACCGGTGGGCAGCATCATACCCGGCCCCATCATCTGTGGTGGTGGTGGTGGGCCCGCGAGGCCGGCCGCAGAGGGCGGACCTACCGTCACCACCCTGGGTGGTGGGTTGGCGCTAGTGCCCAGTCCCGTGCCTCGTCCGTTACCGCCGCGCGCAGCTGCTGCCCGAGACTATATTTGTACAACAAAATCAGACCATGAAGGAAGCCCATGAAACAACTACCCCAGAGCACTAATAAGACTGACAAAAAATGTTGATGTGCTGTCAATTAGTTATGTAGAAGTGCACTGGTACCCTAGCGCAAGGCAAAATATTAATTAGTCCGGCAAAGCGCAGACGCAGTTCTCTCTCAGAGGAGCGGAGGTACACTATGGAGTGTATTTCAAGGAAGTGAAAGTAAACGCCATATGAAAAATCGACTTGAGGCTGCGTTTTTAACCTAAACCAATAGCACGTGGGTTGGTGGATAGGCTAATGTGTAGGTAACACCACCACTACTAAGGCCACCACCCGTTGACTCACCAGCGTGCGCACGGTTAGTAAGGTCACTACGTGTTTGTCACAATTGTCATTTACCCGAATGAGTTTCCACCACGACACCACTTTATCATCGGCTTTCCTGGTGGCACTGAACCGAATTTAAAGAGCTACAAATCCGCAACCGGCAGCATCTTTTTGATAAGAATAATGACGGTCGATCTCGTGCCAAAAGGGCTGTCACATTGTTTAACATCGCCTGTCAAAATTTGACCAATGAGTTTGCGAATGAGACAAACCATTATAAATGAATTTTATTACTTTATTTTCCCACAGCCCAGAGAAATAAGAGTCGATGCACTCCTGTTTACCGCCTGCGAAATGAAATTTATGGTTATTTCTATGGCTTCATTGCCAATAGTACGATCCTAGAAGGCTGAGATGTTGACGGCAAGGATGAAAAAATAAATACTTCTACCATACAGGAATTCGGCCGATAGTCGCTTCAGTTTAATTTCCAAATATCAAGATAGTTAGGATAAATATCTTGCAAAAAACAGTACTCAATATGCAAGGATTAACAAAATTGGTTGGCATAATCATCATTGAAAAATATGTCATCTCGAGAGAGCCAAACAACTCTCCCATCTCTATCTCTACCTCGCCTCACTCCATCAGGAAGAGCAATAGCATTGAGGGAAGATAAAAGCCACAGGTTAACGCGAGGAGGTCAATATCACTAGTAGCCGAGATAGGCAGGAAAACATTAAAATCTGTGGTGGTTTTGTAAACATATCTTCCGCTTTTCGGCAGGAGGCATAGTCACGTAGAAAAATAACAATGCTTCGGAAATACGGACAACATACATTTCCTAATCGCTAATCACTTTATAGCACATAATTCAGACTTTGAAGGCGATTTCAATGAAGGTTACTATAATACACGTTTCGATAATAGCATGGGTGTTAGAAATAGAATGGCAATTAGCAGTGTGAGCTGAACGATTATAAAGATAAAATGACATCAGTGCTGACAAGGCACCGGATATAAAGCACCTGTCACTCACAGGAAATGATGGCCAACAAGGTAGGCCGGCTGAAAACCTATCAGGGAAAAGTAGACCAAAGAAATCGGTGGCTGTACCTCTCTTGCTGGACAGATAATAAGAGGCTTCTAATAGCAGAATGAATGAGTGAAGTTTGTACAAGCAATGCGAATGAGATGAGCCGGCTCTGATATAATAAAGAATACGGGATTCACCAGATTATCATTCTACTTCCCTTAACTGCAGGACACATTATTACAGGGGGAGCGATGATAGCACAGTTATTATCACGTGAGATGAAGTGATAAAATGAGGGGTAAAGAGATAGAGATCATGTGGAAAAAGGTGGCGATATCCAACTAACCATTCAGCAGAAATGCGCTTATCGATCCGAAAATATGATATCGTGGTAAGGTCAGGGACCTAATAAAGTGGGTCATTCATTAGTTACCTCATTTTCAGGACATGAAAAATACCCCGACTGCAGACTTTGGAATCGACATTTGAAGTAACGCAGGCTTGTTTACATATTGAAACGCAATGTTGAATCACAGATTTTTTAGAAGTGCTTCGTCAATAAACTATTTAAGTTATAACTGCAAGTCTGCATCCCTAAATCCTGTTCTTCTTTTGCATATTGCCAAACTGTTCTACATAATGACGATGCATAGCGTCCAAAAACGGTAACATCGTACGGAAACTGAAAGGAGTGGTTTGAAACTTATTTCAACCTCCACAACCATAACACAACTTGTAGATCCAAAATAAACACGAACAATCTACCTCACAAAGCTCCGATAAGTGTCGAAACAAAAAAAGCGTCAAAAGTGTGAAAGACAGGATGCAGCACCATTGAGCAAAACACACCTTAGCGGTTTTAGCTCGCTTCTTCTTGGTGGTAGTGGAATCAGTTTTACGGCCAGTGGTGCCCTGTTGGTCGGGTGGGAGAAGAGAAGGTCCATGGGGAGCAGAAAAGGGACCAGGGGCAGCGGTGGGGCACATTGAGGCGGCGGTGACGCCCTCAGGCGTAGGCGGAGCCAGTGAGAAATAACCGAATGGTAGCGCAGGTGCAGCTCGCAGTGGTGCACCGCCCGAGGGCATTCGAGGCCCAAGTCCAACACTACTCTGGGGCGAAGGCATGTAGAGGCGCTGGCCGTTCATCGTCGGAGCCCCAGCGAATCCAGGCGTGAGACAGGTGGGGTCATGGTGGTGCGGTGGCATCGGCATGTATGCCGCTGACTACAACACGGAAACAGATGAATTGCTTATTTACGAATCGCCCACATGAAACACAGAGAAAGATTAAGTAGATGGAGATGTTTTCGGCGCTGATTTGAGTAAAAATAATAAGGGGTAGCTTGGATTTGTGGCCTAAGGAAAAATGAAAGGGAAACAGAAACGATAGTTTTCTAAGGAAAAAAAGCGATGTAATTACCCATACATGCGCACACGTTCTTATAGGCGACACGTAGAAAAAGCAAGGCACCCAGGCGTGAGAACTTTCTAACGCTTCCTCACCAGAGCCAATTGAGGTTATTTTCCCACAGAACTAGGACTCAGAAAGCGCACTGAAAGGCACCAAGCTCTATGCGCAAGGAAATGCCTTTAAGGGAGCCATAACCAAATTAAGCAGGCAACAAATTCGTCCCCATCATCGACCTCAGAAGCAGCAGCAGTGACAGCAACATTTGGGACAAAGGAGGCTCATGTGCACACACAGGTGGGTGCGCACACACACGGGTATCTCGGCCATTCGTCAAATTTGTTAATAACTTTGTGTGCACCGTGGTAGGATTTCGCAATAAAAGGAAAAGAGTACACGCTTTCTCCCTCCTCTAAATGGCACTAGACGCGCCAATGCCTATCTTCCCTTTTAACAATAATACGAAAGATAAAGGAGAAGCATCCTTAAATAAGAAGGCATGGAGACCCTGGAACAATCACCCTGGCAATCAATTGATTGATGCCACAAGAAATTGAATGAAAATATTAAGCAGGGCAGTTTAAAGATTTTGCAGTGTAGACACGCAAGATGTAGATAAAAGCACCTTAGTAGCATAAAAATGAAGTGGATGAGGGAGTGCTTTACTACCTCACTATAGGATAACTATAAAAGTGGGCGAGAGTGGGAATGTCAAGACGCACTCCTGCCATAAGGCTGTGGATGGGGTGGGAGAGGAGGTAATTAAAGCTACGTTTTTCACAAACCACACATGCTGGTAGAAAAAAAGGGGGAGCAACGGACGATGACAGGCGGGATGCTGTACGGGCAGGGTGGAGATACAGACATGGGTATGCACACAAAAGTTCACTGGTTATTGCAAAAAAAGGTAAGAATTTAGTTGATTTACGCATTGGTCAGTCAAACTACCAGAGGTGGATAGGCAAAAGAACTCTCTCCTAGAGGAGTGACAGAGACAAACCGAAAAGCATGATTGCATTGCATTGGAAGGGCCATAGCTGCTTTGAGGTGACGTCAGATGAGATTCAGAATTTATTCACCAAATTGATCTGAAGACTGCAATAATCATACGAAGGCAACATTTGCACAAGATGTCGATACGTGGAAGAGCTGAGAAAGTACACTCTTCCATACAATTTGAAGGGAGACAGTGAAACAACCGAAAAATCCAACTACTCCTAAGATAACAGTAGCGGAAAGCATTGTTACAAAAAGGGCAACCCAACCGTTTCCACTACCAGATCGTGTGGGAGGCGTGTACACAACTACTGGTCCCATCACTGCCGTCCAACAGAGTCCACTTAGATTGGCTGATATGCAGTGGTGTCACTACCGGATCAAGAGAGACCCCTTACCCGCAGAAAGCGGTCTAGGAATGATGCACATGGACTGAATTCAGATAACTGCGAAAGGGTTAGAAATATTTCCTAAAAAAGGTTGAACTAGAAAAGACGCAAAACCATACCCAGAATATAGTTCCTCGAACGTCCAAGCAGTTTTAGATCGAAGCAATTGAGGTTGGACAAAAAAGTACACACGAAACTCTGGATTTATCTATACTAGTCACTATTTTGTCATAAAACAACGTATTCAGGACGTTCTCTGCCAGATAATCTAGGTTATTAAAAGTGCATTTTAACATGGAAGTACACGCCTACCTTCTTGAAAGTGCAATCGAGGAATGAATACCACTAATTACACATGCAAACCCTAGTATGTCCTAGGAAAAAACTCTTTCTAAGTATTCAGGCAATCAAAGTAACGTTTTGCCAATAAATCACTTTAATTCATGCTTTTACAAGTTTGGAGCGCAAAAAGTGGAAATAACATTCATTTTAATCATAGGACTTTAGGAATCCAGGCAAGACTAGGAGCAAATAGAAGTGCTTAGGGATTTGCACAAAATACACAAGATCAGGTCTTTCGTCAGGGTTTTTGTCCAGAGGGTTTGGGCAGATTATCAGCAATCGCGCAGAGCATTAACAACCCCGCTTCCCACGCGTGGAGATGACCAACACCAGGCTCAGTAAGCCACTATAAAAAAGGCAGTCTATGGATTGCAAGATGACAAAGAGCATCTCAACTGCGATGAGCAATTAAATCGCATTTCGGCAGTCCCTAATTAAATGTGTGAAGACGCTTACACACACACACACACAAAGCGTGAGCATTCAGAACACAGAGGAAGATGGAGAGGTGTGAAGAATTTCACACGCCTGGAAACACACACAAACACGAAAAAGAAAATTCTCTCGCGCATTCCCACGATCCGGTTTCATAGAAAAAGATGTTTTGACAGGAGAGCGGAAGGTGGTTGCGCTAGTTATTGCTACTGACGAAGACTGAAATGGCACAAGGAAAAAGGAGTGCATTACGTCGTCTGTTTACCTACTTAGTTACGATGATTATCACTGGGCAGAGGATTAGTTTCCCAAACTTTTGTATATGCTCCCCTGGACGATTGTGTATAACCGGAAGCAGATGTAGAGCGCCAGACAAAAAAAAAATCAAATGGTAGTCTCACAAAATTGTCCCAATTAAAGTGGTAAAAAACGTCCTCGATGCCTCCACATGTTACACTAGTGCTTCCTGCAAACGCTAGCCCACGGGATGAGTGACACGTGGCATGCTTGTCGAGTTGGAACACCGTGACAGCTCGTGCGAACGAGCGTGCACTTGTATGTGTAGCAAAAGCGAATAAAATAGCGCCAACACACAACACACTCATAGGGGCAATCAGACCTTGAGAACGGCATTATTTTCATTACTATACAGTGAGCTTCAGCAAACACGAAGGTTGCGCGTAATATTACTGCCGAGGTTGGAAGCGTGCCACTAAAGAACAGCGCCGTGAAAGCATCACAGTCTTTTTCTTTCTTCAAAAGCAAAAAGGGGATCGTAGGGAGAGTGCACACTACTGCATGTGCTGTTAGGAGGAATCATTAGAGGTGGGAGTATTTGATGATGCTTTGTGGCGGCGACGCAGCAGGGGAGTGGATGGGCCTGGTAGCAACATCAAAAGAAACCACTGCAGAACGGCGCAACAAGTTCAGATGAGCGCAATGACAATGGTGATGGTTAATAAAAATGTAGCAATCATACATAATTAGCATAAAATACACGAAAGATTTTGAAAGCACGCAATCAGCAGGAGATCGTCACAACAACAGATTCCTTAGGAATGATGATTTTTATTGGGTTTTGACTTGGAGTCAGAGAGGAATAACCCATACACTCTAAAGTGGCAACGACAGCAGCGTCCACATACGCGCAACTGTGTGCGCAAAAATATACGTCATTCGGGGGATGTCGAGTGACGATCACTCCCCACACATGCATGCACGTTACCGCCTCACTCTCACCTTCACTAGCACTCCGACCTGGTTCCAAGTATTCGCGCTCTCCTCGTCTCCTCATCACCCTTCCTGCCTATGCAAAGACGCGTGCGCGTGCTCGCCCGCTCGTTCACACGGAGGTGCGCGTGCACGTAGAGAAAGCAAGTTTGCGTCTTACGTTTGTGGTCAGGCAATACCTTTACTTACACGAACCGATACACTCACACACCTTCTTGCAATAATTTTCCGCCTCTCCAGCTTCTTTTCACTCCGCCTAAAACGACACTTCGGCGCTGGTTAGGGTATGCAAAGAGCTAAGTGGTAAAAATAACCTTAACGCTCTAGCAGAACAGGCGTTTGCAAGACAGGTAGAATAAATAGCACAACCGCTTCTACTTATAGACGATTGCATATATTTCTTAACGGGAACAAATCGCATTGAAATTTACTTGCACCACCGCAAAAGGAGGTAATACACCTCCCGATTCCCCACAAATGGAGCGCACAACGGAAACACTAAGGTGCTTGGGGACGACCCGTTAATTACTTAAACATGAATTAAGCATAGTAGTTTTGTGCGAATCACGTGGAAAAAAGGTAATAATTTGAGGTGAACCGGTCTAGCCTACGGTGTGTGTAGGGATGTGCTTTACAAGCATACAGCGCGATTGCACACACACGGGTGTAAAATACCTATTGCATCAGTGGATACAAGGCAGGAGGAGAGTGAGGCGTATGTTCGCATTCTGTTACGTGTATATCTTTGCATGATTTGGTCACACAACCTTCCTTGCAAGTGAAATGAGACAAAGTGGTGGGATAGTGAGGATTAAGTTACTCCAGCTAAAAGACGGGTGCCAACACCTATGGGTCTGTGGGATCCTGGATGCTTCTTTTCCAAGAATATTTCTAATTGACAGTAAGTGCTGTAAGTTCAACCCAATCACATACCAGTAGCGCCACAGCTGTACCAGGTTGGCAACTTGAGAACGCATGGGATTCGAGTAGAATTGTATAGAGCCGCAATTAATATAAACAGCCAATTCTACTTAATTGCAATTAGTAGGGCACTGCAGGCGCCTAAAGGTGCCCATCCGGACTACCATCAGGTGTTGGTATTTGCATGATTAGAGCATGTCATCGGGTTCCTAGTTAATTTGGCGCCTTGGTGACATTTAACTTGACAATAGTGAAACGAACACAATAGAAAAATCATATTTCCTACACGGAATTATGTCGACCAGCGCTATCAAAGGACAAGAATCGTTTGATGGAAATGATAACAGAAAATCACGTCCACGTATGAAATATGTGCGATAGGATAAGTGATCACCAACCGAAAAATATGCTAATCGACTAAACACGCTTCGACGTCTCAACAACTACATTCTACTTTCTTATAGATGCCGAACTTTGTACGATGGGACCGCAGAGACAACTCACTGATGGTTGAGGAATGCAGGCCGTGGCACCAGGATTATGGGGGTAGAGTGGCACGGTAGCAAATCGGGGCCCGTAGAGACTCCCAGGCATGGGGGCGGTGGACGGGGGGGGAGGCAGTGGACCCATAGGAGGAGTGATAAGTCTACGATCGCCGCATCCACCACTGCCGCCAGCCACCGTTAGGCCACTGACGACAGTGCAACCGCCTGGATTGGAGCAAGTTGGTGAAGAGGATGAGGTGGAGGAGACCACGACCACGCTCCCATTGTTCATTAGTGATTCATCAAAATTCGGTTGTTGTTGTTGCTGCTGCTGCACTGGGGGTGGCGCCTGTGGCTGGCCAATCATCGCCCCGGGCGGACCCGTGGGTCCTGGAGGAGAGGCACCCCAACACGGTTGCATGTAATAGCCTAAATGAAAGTTATGAGTTGAAACTAGCGCAATTAATCACATCTACTAGATGTAACCAAGGGAGTATGGGTTTGGCAGTTATGCATTCATTCCTGATCCCGTCAAAATCAATGGGATCAATTGGCTGGCAAAAATAACAAGTGAATACGCTAAGGTAAAAACATTAAAACGTTCATTTAATGCGGAAATAAACACTTACCGTGCGACACGAAGAAGGGAGGCAAAACAAGTAGGCCAAAATGGAGACCAGTGAAAACACTGTACGTTGTAAATAGGGAAACAGTGAAACTTACGTGGAGGAAAAAGAAATAGACGGGCTATTTGACGTAATGGTTTAAACTGTTTTGGAGCCGAAAAAATACGCATGCATAGAAGCATAATAGGTTTCTGAGAGATACCTAAAAACCGTTTGATACTGCACTGCACGCATTGCTGCAGACAAGTGTTGATAAGCACGCCCGCTGGAGGGAGTCGAGATGGCGCGTAGCGACATTTTTATTGTAGCCTCAGAGACAGACACCATAAAAAACGGAATTCTAGATGCAGACATCAAAGGCACCTGTCTGCGAATGCGCATCCCTAAATCCACCAAATTGAGAAAGCTGAAGTCACGTACGTGGTAGTGGTATCGTTGTGGGGGGGATGTTAGATAGGTTCTGACTCTTCTGATCGGCGTGAGTTAATGCCACACTTAGACCTCACAATCTTAGTAGCTGTGACCTTAAACCTCGCCAGCTGGCATGACTAACAGCACGATTAACACCCAATAGAGCGAAAACAGGGACAATAGTGACATAATGTTCACGGGCCTTCAAAGCTGGTGGAAGCCCAATGGGGCATAGGCAAGAACAAACTAAGGACGGATGATTAACGAAAACCATACAACCATGACACTAGATGATCTTATTAGCATTACACTTTTTAAGTGTTGGTGTCGTATGGAAAAAGAATCGAGGAATAACAAAAAAAGCCTAGAAATTAAAACATCTAACGACGGGAATAGGTGTTGAAAAGATTAGTCTTTCGTGAAATGATCAAAACGTCAAAACAACTGGAACCAACTTTCATATGCATTTCGCCGAACAGATAAAATGCTCGAAAAACAAAGAAGTTTAAAGGGAACGGCAGGTCCGTTTCCCTACGGTCGAACCAATATCGACCATGAGAGATATCGCACTAAATAAGACACCTAAGATTGAAACGCACACCACGTGATGCCTAGAAATTCTCAAGTGTAGGTGACACCATCGTCTGCGCATACAAGGATTGTCTTCCAGTCACACTCGTGTTTGCACATACCTGCATCAATGATTGTTGGAGGCTGGACAAGACGCTGAGATTGAGGCTGAGGTGGAAATTGTTGCATCTGAATGGTAGGTGTGACGGGAGGCGGTTGACCTGTGCTCTCCTCGGAGTAGGAGACCAGACCACCACTACCACTTCCACCATTTGCATAGATGTCACCTGGAGGAGCGTAAAGGGTAGGTGCGTACTTTATGAAGGGTGGAGGATGAGCCGCAGTTGCCATTGTTGACGCCTGTGGGGGGTCACTCGTGAGACCACCTCCTCCACCCGCACCACCAGCGTTCTCCAGTGGACCGCCTACTTGCCCAAGTCCACCAAGAGCGCCCGTGTGAAGAGCCATTCAAGCGAAAAATTTTGAATCAAGGGGCTCTGTAGTTAGAGAAAAGTTTGTTGAAAAGAATCTGATGAATGTATAGGGTCAAATACTGGTAATCAGTCTCGAAGTTGAATCACAAACAATAAGCCATGACAAATAGTAGTAGAAGCTGCAAGATCTGCTACCAAAGACAAGCTAATTCACTTTCATACGCAGGGGCTCAAGAAGAGCTATTCAGTTTACTGTCACATACGAACGTGTGCGAGTGTGTGTAACGGCAGAGAAGACTCCAGGATTAATGAGTTTCCTGAGGCATTAAAACGGTTTTCCTCATTGGCACTGCAGTATCATTTGGTAGAGTAGAGGGCGGCTTGTCACTCAAACCGCCGTCCCAATTAATTAGCTACCCAAATACCAGAACCAAACCCAGCTTTTTGCCAATTGACTACCTAACACCAACAAAATAACAGATTTGCAATTAGAATAGGGATTGGATGGCTCCCCACCTTTACCTCTGAATTCTGGCTTCAACAGAAACAGGTAGTATGTTTATTTGCGCGAATTAAACTCCAATTAGATATTAGAGTAAGCAATCTAAAGCGTTCACAGAACAAAGAACAAAATAATGGAATTGCATACGATTGCTCGAGTGCACACACTCCTAGTTTGTAGACGCCACGGAGACTCATCATAATATTCCTACCACCTTCGGTGCCTTGCTGCAGTATATTAAAGACAATGTGAGCATATTCAAATCCCTCGGTGACGACAACCGCAAGAAATCGGACGTTTGCCTTCGCTTAGGTTTATTGCATAACAGTGCGAAGCCATAGTCTTTCCGTAATGTTACTGAGTAAAATACCCAGCAATTCAAACCACTAATAAGGACGGGAAATTTAAAAAAAAAAACAAGTCTTACGGTGGAACCAGGTCATATGCAAAAGAGGAACAAGTCATTTTAAGTTGCAGCAATGCCTATGAGGACTGAATGAAATGTGTGTAAACGAGGGAGATAGGATGGGAGAATGCCTAATTATGTTAGCAAAAGACCCCTTAAATAAGTCTCTGAAACACTTCACTTCAAAAGATGTTTCGTCCAGACGCTTTCAGCATCATTACCACGCGTGGCTCCAGCAACTCGTTCGCCCGACTGCACATACGCACCCAGGCACGTGCGCACAGGCAGGGTGGTGCGGACGTGCAACCCACAAACTCGTCCGACGCCGATTAGTCAGCATTACGCGTATTTCAACTGGACCATTACGGTATGCAAAGTAGTTTCTCGAGTTATTGTGTGTGTGCATGTGAGCGAGCGTGCGTGTGCCAACTAAGACATTTATGTGCGTATATGAGGACGTGTTTACGTATGAATGATGATCGTGATTTTAACCGGCTGTCAATCAGATGATTGTTGTCCAAACATACTGAATACAGGATTCCCCATAGACAGAAAGGTGACACACTATAGGAAAAAAGCCTAAAATCTCGCTATAAAAAGTTTTGGCAATTCCATGCGGATTATCACCGCATTTTCATCGACGCTAACTTTGCAGAGGGCGGACTCAGACCGATAGTGCCAAGAAAAATGGGCATAATTAATTCGAAATACATACTAAAGGTTCACTTGTAGCCTTATCCACACACGAACACCCACACTCACAAAGAAAAGCATTAAATTGTAGAATGAAATTGCTCCGAGTGCATTTAGGCGAAAAACCTGGCTATAATTCGGAATACACTTCCTCTGAGAGCAAAGGAAATGATGGTTGTATAAATCATGCATTAAAAAGTTGAAAACAAAGTTGAATTAACGATCAGAGCTGTGCTTTAAATTAAGCGAATAATGGCAGGAAATCAAGGACACCCAGAAAACTATTACGCAAATCGAAGACGAAGGAACAATACATACCTTCAGAATTAGACTCTTCTTATTAAATCCGGCTGTGTAATCCCTACATATGCGAAAAAACCATGGACCATGGAAAGGACCAAAACGACAAGGAAACCAAACTGAAAACTATACAGTACCAAAATGTCCGCGATCGCTATCATTGACACAGACATTAATGCTAAACCATACAATGATTCCCCACCTTTAAAGAACCAAGAAAATTCCCTAATTTTTGTTACAAAGAAAGGATACTAAAGAGAAAAGGACAGGTGACGCCCTGAGGGAAACTCAGACTAAAAATAAAAAGCATTCATCCACTAGTGCAAGTGAATCAAATGAGATGCGAATCAGTGGAAAGCGAGACCAAAGGTCACTGCATGATATTGTTGAACAAAATGTAATTGCTGATAAAAGTTTACCTGCGTCAGTATGACTGTCTTGAAGAAACGATAGATCCAGCAGGGTTCAAATGAACAGGTACTTTTGAAAAAGTTCCGCTCCTGAGATTGGACCTTAATATAAACGAACAAACGAACAAACTCATTAAAAGAATAACACATGAACAAGCAAAATTATGAGTAACATACATTGAGCCACATCCGTAATAAGTGTCTCATAATTACGGAGTAAATGTAATGTCTGTAGCGCAACCATGTGTAAGTAAATAAAATACAGAAGAGTGACTAAGGGAAGCTGCAATGGATTTATTGAAGCAATCTTTGGTTATTTCGGATTATGTAAATTTTGGCAGCAAGCAAAAAACACAAATGGTGTCCAAAATTGCGTTTGTTGCGTGAATGTTACATCACTAAATAGAAAACTATCCGCTCCTGATAATTTCCATGGGTATGAAATATCATTGTTTATTGTCCATCATTACTGATACAGATTTTAAGTCCATTAAAATACTAGTTGGCCCTAACATAAAGTCTGCTTATCATTTATTAACTATCAATAAGTTTACGAAAAATCTAGTGGGGTCAAGTGTTTTTACTTTGCAGCAATTTTTCTCCACACATTACTTACTTCGATACGATTACTGTAACAGACTTAAGCAACAATTGCAGGGCCCTGGGCCTTCCCTAAAGCCGAAAGAAAGCATATTATTTGTGCAGAATGCATACACCTGACATACAGTAGGGCTTGGGGCTACCGTTATGACCCGAAGTCCAACCTACCCCTGCGAAGGCACAATGGTGGAGATACGAATTGGCGCTTTTACCAAAACCGAGGTTTAAACAAACATCGCATTGCATAGCCCCTCTTCTCTTTTGGGCGTCGTCCCACGCGCTTCCCTTAGGAAACCTGCCACGTCGGCCATCACAACGCAATCGGTACCAGTAATTTAACTCCCATGCAAGTGAGTCGAGGCGTGACAGCAACGTAGCTGATCTTATTGGTAACTTCCCAAGAACTGGAGTTTTATTCTGCATAGGAATTGGAATTCAGGACGAGGAACTTTGCTAACCATCACTCGTGTCCATAGCTAGGTGTAGGAACACTGGCCATGTAACGTAGACGGAACTGAACACAGTTTATGAAGGTGCGGTTTCACTTCCACTCCTCCTTGCTACTTTGCTGTCACTTCAGAGCCACCCAGCCATACACATTTACCCGAGTTCTCTCCATCTGGTAGTGTAGCGTCCCGAGACTCCCTGAAGACGAAAGAAGACACAATACTCGGGCAGGATATATATATTCAGCACGGAGGTGTCTGGACCGTTGGCATGGCTCAAAAGGCCAGCCCACCCAGCGAGGTACAAGGGGGCTAATTCAAAGTACAAAAGTGGGGCCTCACCAGAACCGAGGGATAAACCACTATCGTATTACAGTAGAGAAGAGGAGGAGGTATCGCGCTCTTATATGTTTGAAATCTTAATACTAGTATGGTAAGCAGCTCTATAATAAAACTTTTTTGAGATAGTTCACACCTAGCGTTACTCTGACTGACAAAGCGCTTCCCTGAAGAAAACAGGACTGGGGTAGTTGTCGAAGGTAGATGCCACTTTTAGACCTTGTTGTGGGTCGTCACTGGTTTTACATTCGTAGCATACGCACTTCTTATGCCTTGCTAAGACTTATCACTCAGCAGCAGAAATCTAAGATGGTTATTTACAAGACCAAAATTGCTTTCTGCTGCCTCCGATGTGGCGCCTTGAGACTTCCCTCAAGACGAAAGAGGGTAATATGTACATCTGATATACAGAGGGGATTGAAGCCACTGACCTGGCCCGAAATCTGCCACTCGGACAAAGTACAATGCCGGAGACCCAAAGTGATCCCTTTACAGAAAACGAGAGTTAAACAACCATCGTATGGCGTATCAGCTACCTCTGTTTTCCATAGCGTTTCGCTGCATTATGGTTATTATCTGTCGGATGCTTTGCTCTATGTAGATATATAACTAGATACATGCTTTTAGCTTCTACAAAGTTAGTCTAATTAAAAAACTTGCTGGATATTTTTTAGTATGCTAACTGCTAAGTCGTTCCACTTTGTCGGCACCGTCATATTTAAGTCTCTTACCACTCGTTTAGATGCGCGACATACAGAATATATATTCAACCATATCATTAATTGCCAATAAGTGGCAAGGCCATGGCAGTTTTGTGCTGTAAGTAGATTCAAGATGGCAAAGTTAACCAGACCACTGCTTTTCCGATTGGTGCCATTTGATATTTTTATAGGTGGTGAACAACACATTTTTACATCAAATTTATTGCGCTGTTGAAGACATAGATTTGTTCATGGGCAAAACAGCCCTAACTTAATCACCAATATATTACTCGATGGTAATTCATATTATTTTAACCAATTAAGGTCCTATTAACTGCCTAAGGTTGCTATTGGTAACACAAGACAATTTATTTAAATAAGATTTGGTCTACCTTAGCCGGGTTATGGGGGACGGCAGACCACAAAAAACTTTGTACGACGAATTCGAGGGTACATACGCTGCCTCTATTCGCGTAAACTGTTAAGGTTCTGTTTTATTGAGGAAAATAGGAGGAGATTTTCCACTCAGTAACGATTGTTTGCAAAGTTGGCCCTCATATAGATTCAAATGATGTTCCGCTAAGTATGATCCTTTAATCTTATTTACATAGATTTCGTTATAAATATGATCCCTCAGCAAAAGTCCCCCTTGGATGTTACGGGTATTTTGTTGGTGTATCCCAAACTCATGGTTATGATCCTGGAGGTGAAAAAATAAATCAGTCGCAATGTGTAGGCGCCTATTCAGTGTCTTCTTGGCGTAATGCACGGTCTCGCAGCATCTGAAATACTGTTGAAACAAACTCTTAATGCCTACAAGTCTGTGAATTGCTATTCTTTAAGTGAGGAAAACGATGAAGAATACGAAAACCCATCTGATGTGGAAATTATTCGACTTATGGTGAAAGATCCACAATCAGCACCCATTATCCAAAGCAGGATTTTATGTATCCTCCATAATATTCCCGCACGTACATTCCGCACCTTTGAAGTAAAGACGTTTGGAATTGAGCCCGTGGCGGTGCTCCCACATTTTGAACCAAATGAGGATGAAGCTAGACTCATTGAGTTGCTACATCAGCTAACAAGACTCTGCACATATCTTGCGTGTTCTGCTATGAAGTTACGTTGCATTTCTTGTTGTCATACAGTCCGCATCAATTGACACGAATGATTTAACTATGATCCTCACAGATTTATTTCTTTTAGGATCAGGAGGAATATGTACCAGAAATTTATAAGGTTATTTTTGGTTTAAATTGCATCGTTTTGCGGTTGATTAATCTACAACATTTTAATTAAGATGGTTTGTTTTATGGTACTTTTAATGCATGAAGCAAAGGAGGGGCGAGTTAGGTCTGGGGTTTTTAAAAAAGTTTTAAAATTGCATGCATCATGAAACATTTGATAGATCAAACAAAGGCTGACCTATCATTTTATTAAATATAAAGCCGCTTTTCTAGACTAAGATTCCTGGAATAGGTTAGCAATAGTTTTTGTTTTCTTTCGTTGAAATTATGTTTTCCTTTCCATGCGTTCTTTTAATGCTGAAACATGTTAAGACGCTTAAAATTTCGGTCTAAAAGCAATTATTTTCGCGGCCGCACCGATTTCATTTTCATATGTGGGCAGAATTTGTCATTTAAAGCGAAAGTGCGCTGGCTTTGGATAAAACATGCACTGGCTGCGATTGCCAAATTACGATGCCGTGCGCCAAATAAGTACCAAAATTTTTTCACCTTCCCCGCAGATGCGAATGGCCTCTTTCCTGGATGACCTTCTTGAGGATCACCCCGAGTTAGTACCGCCATTGAGTGAGCAGTCATAGTTGGATATCACTTTATCCCCTACTCTCTACTACTTTCATTATGCGGTTTATATTTAAATCCTTTACCATCAACTTCTATTCAGTCTCAGTAAACAAAGGAATATATTTTCTAGAGTATGTCTGTTCTTATAAATTTCTAAATAGAGAAGGCTTTGGAATAGCTTATTACTGCACCCTGCTCTGAGCAATGATTTTTTTTTGCAAAATGGATACATAAGCAAAATGCAAAGGTATCTCAATTAAATTAAAATTTGAGTGACTATCTTGTTTCAGTGGACATTTGGTATTTCGCGGAGGTATCTCAACTCAATGGCCTGATATCGGTGACGGAATACCTCGATCGAAACGATAAACCGGACCAGCTTTCCGACCAAACAGGTGAGCCAATGCTCCGGTTACAAATTTCAGGCTCTTTTCGCCCTCCCTACGACAGAATAATTAATTCGGTGCACACAATTCTGCATTAAAACGGCTAGCAACCGAGTTTCTTCCTATTTGAGCATTAATTTTGACAACATGAAATCCTCTAGAGTGGAGAGTTATGAAGTTTCGTCATGTATTTTCTCACACAATGTTCGGTGTCTGAAAAACGCAGCAACCCCGAAGTCGGATGGAAATAGTGACTAGCCTTTTGCTTAATTGGCGCGTAATTGCAGACAACAAATCCTGCTTTCCTTCACTACATTGTATCATCCGTCTCGCATCTAAAAAGCACTTTGCCACTAGGGTTAAGGCGTCGGTACACCCAACTGTTCATAGGCAAATGCGATATTAAAAACCCAGTATTTTTACTGTTTCCCATGCCACCTATTTGACGATCTGCACATTTTCAGGCATTTAAGAAGGGCGTCTGACCTATCAGACTGCAGACCATGATGCGGTGATACCACTTTAAATCCTATTATTAATAATTGTAAAATACTTTAAGGAGATTGTTTAAACTCTTTTCTCCACCTAACAGAGACTAGGATAGTTGGGAAATACTCAACTGTGCCAATTATTTGTGAACACAAATGACATTGTCACTTACATTAACCGTAAAGGATGCAACCAAATGACTATTTACACCTTTCAGCGCAAACATGGCCTTTGCCTCCGAGCTCCTTCCTCTATAAATGATTAAAATAAATCTTTAAATAAAAATCTTTGCCAATTTTTGTTCTTAAAGGGGATTTGGAGAAGTGATATGTACTCTCTGATAGATATCTCGGCCGGTACCGCGAGTTCTGCTGAACGGAAGATGATGCATGCAACGCGCTTTTTATAAGCAAGTGGGGCAATTTCCACGATTCCTAACGAGACGTGGATCCTTCATTACGGTATATCTTTAGGCATATGAAGTGACATTAAAAATTATATCCTTATTGGAACATTGTGAGAGGTGGGGCCACGCTAATCACCCTGGGGTGGATTCATTGGGTAAAGAGAGCGGCAGCACTGTGGCACAATCACAAAACCTTGAGCAATGATTTCTGGGTATTTTTATCGAAAGTCACATCACACAATCCATTACGATCTGTTACACGATTATCGTTTACCTTCCTTCCTGGCGTCCATACCCTTTGAACGACGACGCCGATTTAATTAAGACATGTTTGTCGGTTAGAGGCAATGAAAACAGCTAACGCTTTAGGAGGATTGGGATACTAAGCTCTTCCCTGGTTTAAGCAATTATTACCACTTAGTCACGAGGTTCTATTCAACTTCCCACTTCCTCCCTAAAAGGTACATTTGAACAGCAATTATTACAGATTGGTTTGATGGCTTTGGGTTGTTCGATTCACGACTAAAGTAACAACATAAATTATGCAAAATCAAAAAAGTTATTAGGCCTGGAAGAGCGGCAAAATCTATATTGCTCTTCAATAAGTTGCAAATGCAAAGTGTTTACCTCAGCCAGATTTTGATTTGGTGTATTTGGGAACTAGTAGTGTGATTTAGTTGCAGAGTAGCGTATGACCTAAAAATCGCATATTCATCACCCTGTATTCTATGACTCATGAGGATGCAATTGTAGCATGATCCTTGTTCATCTCCTCTTCTCTGACCTTCATACCCTTTAAGCAAAGAGACCGATTGGATTGGGACACATATATTGCCTAGCGCAAATGGAGATAGATACAAGTTTGGGAAGACCTGGATGCGTAGCTCTTTTCCGGTTCGGGAGATGTTGACCACTCCTCAATCACAAGGCTCGAGTCGACTCCTTCTTCTTCTCTGAAAGGCACATTTAAAGGATATAAGTATAACAGCGATAATTTATATAAAGAAGGCGACGTTATTAGCTGAGAATACGAATCAGGTTGCTGCAGTCATTGTGAATAAGTTTTGAATTTTGGGTGTAAAGTGAGCTCAAGTGATTTGCAAGAAGTAAACAAGAATATTTTATGTAGAATGGATGGCCCAATACCTCGACTTCGAATGCTGACATATAAACTTATTATGACTCTAATTAACAGCAAAAATGCGACGCGATTTACCTGCGAAAAGTCTGAATAGCAAGGTTACTAAAACCTGTGTAATTTTTATAAATACTACTTTAATTTTCAATCAAAGCAGGCACATAGGAAGGTGACATGATTTTTATTGCTGACTTTCGAGGCCCTTGTTACCTTTCGTAGCATAAACAAAGTTTCATCCAAACCGAAATTTTAATGTACCACCGCTTAGTGTTTATTAAATCTATTAGTCGATGATAGTTTGAATGCATCCGTTATAACACATCAATGCATGGTTAATCATGCAAATTTGATATGCCTGTTGGTAGGTGGGGCTGGTTTCGCCTACGTATGGTTTGTCATGTCTTACATGTATCTTGTCGGGGTGCGTCCAAATTGTAAACCGTTTTCATTGATAAACCTGGTCTCCACATTTTCTCCATCGAGGCAGATTGGTCTTGCTCTTCGAACTGTCATATTTAGAGGTCGTTTGATCAACAATATACAACTTATTTTAAGAAATAGCATATCGGTGGAATTTCTTCAAACTTGGCCCCGATGAGGCTTCCTTGCGGTCATTTGTCCCATCCACTTCCTTAATTATGGCTGTCCTGCATGTTGTTTTTACTTCTCTCACACTATATTTATGCCGAATTTTAATGTTTTTTCCATAGCTAGAAATCCGAACTGTACCTCTTATGGGCAGATTTAACTTTCAAAAGAACTGTGTTAAATTTCATGATCAAACGCTTTATTTTTAAGTACTTATCAGAGCTGTAAGAACTACTTTCAATTCCATTTTAGTACGTTACTTTAGGTTGTATGGCAGTCTTTCCGTTCTTTTGGGACGGGTTATTTCCAGTGGATATACTTCTTTTGGCTATTGCACGTCGTCGGTGAGTTTTGAAGTGTCTTGCTGAAATATAGCAATGGGAAAAGCAAATATGGGTGGGTAGCGCCGCTGTCAAATCATTTATGGTGGAGTTAGGGAGAAATATTTTGGGCTTCGCGCCTTGTGTGATCGTTATGAGAGAATTGCTTGCACGTAGCGGAGGTGCACGTGGGATCTGAGTGCGTCGGAAAGGGCTCCTTCTTTTGTCTTCTAGTCTTGCCTTTCATGCCTGTAAAGCTCATTTTCAGATTGGTACTAATGGTTTTTGACTACAAACTGATATGGAGACTGGGTTCTGAGACGTTTCTAGTGGTAAGTGGCTCTATAGGTTTCCACTTTCCGTGAATACATCTCCCTAAGTCGCTAATCTTATTCCTTACGGTTTGTTTACTGAGCGGTAATGCTTGCAGGTACAGGAAGTATCAGGAGAAGGGGTAATTGAGATCAAACCAATAGCCTCCAGATCCATGATTAAGTGTTATACGATTGGGTGACTCCCATACTGGTAACCTGACTATGTGGAAGTGTTCAACCACCAACCCACTTTACTGTAATTGCCAAGCCATATAATTGGTACTCCCATCTCACGATTTAACTACCTGGTTCCTCTTCCTGCACGATAATAAAAGCAGGCACAGAAAGGCGTCAGCCGAATCCATATCGTGTTGAACCTGAGGTTGAATAAGCCTTTCTTCGATTTGACATCGAGAGCCCATCCATAGAGCTTTGTCCCTACGAGCACCTACTGCGCCATTCAACTTGGGGGTTTTCATTTCGTGCGCATGAATACATATAGGTATCTAAGTGTACATTCACTACTCCCAAGCCCTTTTGATTTTTTCATGCTTTTACCTTATTAAGTTTACGTGTTTGCGATCTCTCCTGTTCCATACTTTATTTCTCTCAAGGTCACTACGATGCCATGTATGAGACGAACCGCGCTTTTCTGGACTCACGTGCCATCTCTTCTCCCTCGTTGAGCCCAATATCTCTCTCAAGCACTGGTTCTCTGAACACTCTCTATATGTTCAACACCGCACGCAATCTCAGTGACACCAGCTGTGATTGCAGTGTCAGCGGCAGTAGTATTACTTTCGGCGTTGAAAGTGCGGTGGAGGGAGTTGAGCCACTGGACGCCAAGACCGCCAGACGTATTGCCCTCGCCATTCTCTCACGTATTGCACGTCTCCTTGACATCGGTTTGGATGAACTCCTGACAGCTCTCTTACCTCTATCGTCGGCCTCGTTTGGGACGCCACAGTCGAGTCCACGCTGTGAGCGGCTGGTGGAGTGGGGTCGAATGGTCCACGCTAATCTCACCCAGATGGATGAAAAGGGCTTTGTTGAGGGCATACCCGTCAGCCGTGTAGTGGAATCTTCAGCGCTGGCCTATTTGCGTGCCCTAGCTGATTGTACGTGTTCTTCACTCCCTTTGTGACCCTCCTTTTTATTCCTCCCTGTTTTTGCAGGGCCTACGAAGGCCAATCGTGTGCAACTGTTGGAGGAGTCAATCGCTGTCATGGACGACTTCCTCATCACTGCCTCGACTGGATTTCCCATTCTGCAGTCGCAACAATCTAAAAAACAGCATCATTTTCTGCGTTTGGTGGAGTTCATTCTGTGTAGATTTAATCTCTCACATCTGCATCTTACCGCCTCTCGTCCATCAGAGGAGCCCCGTGCACCAAAGGAGAATGTTGGTTTGGGTCATGACCAATTTCTACCGGTAGACACAACGATTCCCTTCATTGATGAGTCATGCCTGGCCTTCAATACGACTTCTGATGATCCGCCGCTCGTTGGTGAGTGAATGAACACTCTTAAGAGTTTTTCTTGGGGTTTTACGCAGTTCACTTTTGTGTTGGTTTTCAGAAAACTGTAACCTATCATCGCTGCTTGAGCAGTCACCACCAAACGCCCCTAAGGTATGCGCTGTTGAGCAACTTTATAACCGGTAACTAGATTTCATCACATACATAATAAAATAATTTTTTGGGTTCCAATGTAGATAAGTTCTTCTAAGCTTTACATATGCATGCATATACGTTTAATTTTGCAATTCACTACCATGACCTATAAGATCACTTTAATTTGGGTCACATTGCCGTTATTCAAGGTGCCAGTTTAAAATCTCTGGAATTTACCAAAATTCTCGCATTCCTATTTACCTGTTATCCTTATCGATACATTTAGTAGCTACTAATTTTCATGAAATCATCTAGCTTTCACTCAATTGATTCGTGGTGTTGCATAATTGTGTACAGTGTTTTTATTTAATTTTGAATAAAATGTTCATGTGTGTGGGGAAGGAAAACGAAGCAAAAGCGTTGGTGATGCATTTCCCTTGTATTGCAGCCCACGCGTTATGCAATTCCAAGAGCGGAAGTTTAATTTCGTTTTTTGAATGTTCATGTAGCTTCGAATTTATTGTCGACTAAATTCTCAACAAATGACTCTGTTTAAGTTACTTTTATGCAGCATCTTGCGTTACAGGTGGCGCCACTCAGCGTTAAAATTCCAGTCGTCTCTCACTGCAGGTCAGTTTTATCTGTATGCACTTACCCAGCTATTGCTACTGATACGAAATAAGTAGTATATATTGAGTTACAGTGCTGGTGGCACCTTCACCCCTATTTCGCCACCACTGCTCCGTTGCGGCTGTGCCGACAGCGCGGCTGCCGCAATAGCCATTCAGACAGCCCTCCTTTTTATCCCTCCTGAACTGCGCTTCCAACTCCAACTCTTCGTGGAGCAGGCGCAAGAGGTTACAGCCAACGCAGAGCGCCACATCAGACCTGAGAAGACACTGCACTATGTGCAACCTAGTACAGTAGGAGCCACTGAATCTTGAAGCTTGTGTTTCTACTTTGTTGAGTCCATAGTCTTTTATGTTTTTGTGGTACTCGTCTCCCTGCAGGGAGTAGACTAGGGATACAGCACTTTCAATTGGGTTGCTAGAATTCGATAGTTTTGCAAGGCGAGTGGTTATTGCTTTTGTATTGTGTCTTATTAAAGTAAGATTTTCCTCACTGAACTGTTACATGATCAAAGTGAGTCTTTTTGATGGTTATTTCACCCGCAGTTATTCCTAAATTAAGTGTGCATGTTTACCTAGAACGCTATAGAATGCATCGTAATATTAACAATGTATCGGTAATATTTGCAGTTATACTTAAGTTATATTCAAGCAAAGTTTTGCCGCTCAATGCAATGCGGTCTTTTTAATGAAACTCCTGAGAAGTTATGCGTTTACGCTGACTGCCCGTGTTGCTTAACATCATTGATCTGAAGCTGTGGCGGTCGGAAAATGAGGAGAATTGCGTATAGTAAAAAAATCCCTTCATTTCTGGTGCCACTAAATTTTATTAGAGGTCATTGATGATTTATACCTCTTCCTATCCTCAAATCTGCAGCTAGCCAAATGGTTTGCGCCCAGGTTTTTCGCCTTCTCAACCAATCTCACCAAGTCTTCGGGTCACCATCTCCTGGAGTATATTCTCTCTTTTCCTCAATCTCTCCGGCTTCTTAAACCTCCGCCGTCCTGTCTGGATCTAGGAATCGAAGGGGTAGTTCTTTGTTCTGCAACAAACTGGCTGCTTGTAATTACTTAAGTAAAATTTTTACTCATCGACGGTCTTATGCGCAATTGAGGAGTAAGCGTTTAGGCTAAAATTTACCTTCATGATCGAGTACGGTCATCGACTCGATTATTCGAGTGTTCTTTCTTGCTCAATTCCTTTTAACAGTAACTTTAATTGTCGCATCTACTATGTTGCATTGAAAGGTGAGTAACATGTGCCTCAATGTGTTTGGATTGGTATGTGTGTGCTTTTCTTTTCCTCTTCGCAGTGGGCTAATCGGTTTCCGGAGTTGGAGCCCCAAAGTCCGCGGTTGGATATGGGGAGGGCGGCGGATCGACGCCCCAATTTTGATATCGTTTCTAGTCCCGCCGCTGCCAACCATGAGGAGAATGAGAGTGTCGTTGTCGCTGGCAGTGGTGGTGGTGAGAGTGGCCAAGTCAGTCCCATCAGTTGCCCTGTTGATGCAGAGACTGCCTCCTCGGCCACCAATGTGGAATCCATGTGGGATCAGCGCACAGTGAGAAACTGTCACTTACCTTACCTTTCTCCTCCTATCTTTTTCTTTCACTTTATCGACATCGCAGCTGATGTGCAGTGCACTGTCACCCTCGGGCCTCGCCAAGTTACACGCGTTGAGTCACTGGATTACTGGTTACAAGTGCGTCTCAGGAGTTTGCGCTTGGTATTTCGACATCTTGATGAGATTTCAGCTTCCCATCTGAAGTCACTTTTTTAATATTTAATAAATCACTTGGTGCGGTACTTTGTTGGCGCAAATCTCTTCCGTGCTCTAATATGGGACATCTTTCGTTTTTTAACCATTTAAAATTGCAATCATCCACCTCGATAGTCCATACATTTCAGAATGTAGCTTATTGTACAATCGATCACTAAAATTCCACTTTTAAATCAAATTATCAAAATGCATATTTTGTGGTAGATATGGCATACAATTGATAATCTCACCGCAGCGCACTTTTACACATCTTCTGAAGACCAGTGAAAAATCACACGATGTCAAATAAGGTGAAAACAAAGATCACGCAACATCATGTAGCCCAGTCAAAAGGCATTGCACAAAGTTCTGCATTGTTTTCATATTACGATGGTATTCTTAATTATATTTTGGTTATTTGTGCGCATAGTTTGGTGGTCTAAGAAAGTCGAGGGAATTACATTTTACTAATTTCTAATTTGAAGGCACGGATCTCTTCTCTGTACGCACAGTTTAAGTTAGCCAATTCCGGTACTTTTTGCTTTCATTAAGAAGATTAATTTTGTCCTTATCCTGGGGAGGATTCGCGGAGGCAGCTTAAAAGTATGTCCTTTGAAGATGTGGAAACACGGCTGACAAATTTAATTGCAATGCAACGAAGTTCGCCGGACTTAATTTGTCCTTTTACTGGACAATTATGCCTTCCGTTTAGTGCTGGTGGTGGTGTCATCAGCTTTCACTTGCGTCTGCTTCTAGACCAGCAATCTATTGTGAACAAGGTAAAAACTGTTTGAATAGGTCTTAGCACCAAAGCGCCTTCGGAAATGCCCCTGAATTCTCCTTGCCGCTAATTTTTTTGCTCCTTTTTCGCATCGTCCTATCGCGCTACTGATTTTCAAGCCCAAGTAAACCGATTTATCTTTTTCTGTCTGGGAGTGAAAAAGGAGCTTTGTGTCTTATTTTAGTCCCCTCAACCAAACTACCTTAAATCAGCTTTTCTTCGGTCTCATGAGTTGATTTTCTTGCGCATAGAATTTGCCAGCAATTTGATCAACTTGTGTTGTGTTCCTTCTGACGGGCATACAAATGTCTTTCCATTTTTTTTAGGGATCGCTCGACCTGAAACACGTCCTTACTCTGGGAAACATGCGGCATCTCATTCATACACTGAATTTCTTCATCGACGATAAGCATATGGATCCCAAAACTAAGATGCGCTATATCAAGCAGGTCTGTGTGCACATGTGGGACTCGGTTCTGATGCTTTAACATGTAATCAGACATGCGACATGTATGTACGGTGGTGTAGGCGTGCTCTGATGATCGCTAAATCAGCAAAAATCCTCTCTGCTGCATTTATCCGCAGGCTTACCATTGTTTTCGTTGCAACCGGACAAAATTACGTACGTGTGCACGTAAGCATATAGCGAGCGGGTGATGCGGCTTTCATGAGGTCGAGATCACATGGGCACTTTTCAAAATGGCGGAGGTGGAAATGCCAGAATCTAACTACCACCAGTGTGGGTTGAGTGATTGAGTGACCGTCCAGGCCGTGACTCACGCGACAAATGCGTGGAAATCGCTAACCCCAAAACTCACCGAGCGATGTTGACCGGGGAAGGAGGCGTGCTGTTGGTCCAACTTACTTCCCCCTCTCTCACCTTGGTACTCGGTTTTCGGGGTTGGAGGGGAAGGTCTAACCCAAGCTGTTACGTGAAACTCTAGGTTAAGCCTCCTAAAATTGGAAGGTATTTTGATTTTACTCCTAAACCTTGTTAAATTTTGGCCGGATTGTAGTTCCAGATGATGAATCATCGCTGAGAGACACAAAAATTGCCATTAATTCTTTCGACCCAAGCAACTACCGCTTAAATGAATCTAAAACCTTAATTATTCATCAGACCAAGAACATCTTATATCTATTTAGTGTTTCAAGCACAACCAAGCCGTTTGCGGCATGAATTGGCATAACCAGTCATTATAAACTGATGCAGAAAGCATACCACATATGCGGCATCGTGCTCCCATAAGAAAACCGGGTTGCCGCATGTGTGACTCGGAGAGTATCTTTGAGGAGTGTGAAGATTTCCTGAAACGTGCATCGCGACACTTCATATGCACCTTTTTAATCAACTGTAAGTTTATGTTCGAGTGGGTTCAACGTGTTTTCGGTCATTTATCCCGTTTAAGACTCATTTAATAACGAGGCAAATGCACTAGGGTCATAAATAACAGAACATTGGAGGGTGCAGCATTCCCATGAGCGGATTAAACGGATTAATACTTGGACTGAGATCTGAATTGTGACCCTTATCTCGAGATTCCCGAGCCTTTACTTTGATGCTTTCTTACTCTCCTATTCTCAAAAGTGAGGTCTTATCCTTATTAAAGATAGTGGCTTGTTGGATTTTGTTGATTTAATTCCTATGTTTGTGGGTTTAGTTTGAGGCAACACATCCCGACGTGTTCTGGCTGCGTTTTGGTGACTCACAGACCGCGAAAAATTACTACGCTCATCTCCATCGCCGCATCGACGAATCAAGGGGCGGTCCCTGCCGTGGTCAGTCACATACCAGGCTGGTTGGCCGGTTCGCTGAAATCTTCAGGCTTCGCAACCACTTTCGCACCAAGAAACAATCCCACCAACTCTGACTTTCCTTCCCCCCAATCTTTGTCGATGGAAATGTATTTTTACTTCTTAAAAAGTATTTCTGCAAAAAAGTTTGTTGCGATAGTAACAGCTCAATAACATATTTTTAACAGAATGTCTATTTTAGTGGGCAATCAGTTTTTCCATTTGAGAATTTGCATAACAGCTTTGCTAAACTAGCAAAGCTGTGATGATTAGCGTGCTGCCGTATTCCTATATACAGCCAAGAACGTAAACAAATAGTGGGATTGTGTAACCGTGGTAGATTTTAGTAGTTTAGCATCACGTGCAAATACAAGTGGTGCGATGGAGAGCTTGCGGAAGCACAGGTCTTGACTCATAAGCAGTGGATACTCCTTGGATGGTTTTCAGCAATCACGAGCGGATACCTGGTTCCGGTGCTCGTTTGCCCCCTCGGGGCTGGTTAAGGATCTATGTGCAAAAGAATCCCCAAAGCGAGGGAGAGTGGTTTCAACGCAGGTTTTGGTGCGCCTTTTCCCAAGGTTGGGTCGCCACAATTATGCCAATCAAAACTTGTCGCCAGAGCGAGGGTAAGATTTAGTTTTAGCTTGTCATCCACGCCCTCGCTGGAAAAATCCCAGGGGTGTGTGGTTCTAAATCAGTAAAAAGGGACAGCTTTTTCACCGGCAGTGGTGGTATAGTCGTCGCCATTATAATGCTAAATCGGGTCGGATATTTTGTCTCGCTTACTTTCAACAGCGGACACGGTCGCTGAAGACGGTGCAATTCTGATTATGAGCTCTCAGTTTCACTTGCCCCTCGTGCATTGCAATGGCCATACAACTCCTCCTGAACTGACAGGGATAAACTCTTTATATCAAATACACGCAAAGGATCACAGACTTAAATCAAAGAGCAGGAATAAATCAGAGCTTCCTTCGGTAGTTCTTCATAATCATCGCGGTTTCGTATCCTGCGGCTCATAATTGTGATAAGTATCTTCGGCACAGATGGGAATGAGGCTACGCCACTTTTGTGCGTGGTCACTACACTTCTGTAATTAACCAGCAAAAAAGTGTCAGCTTACCGCCCCCTAAAAATAACCCTTTGCAAGCCATCACGCGAAATACCAGCGTCAGTTAGGAAGGCGTGAAATGGGCGCTAATTTACTGGTTTTCTGCAAGTTGGAATATAGCAACTGGAGGGTACTGAAACCTACTATATTTAGGGTGAATCCAAAGATGAGTGAGTCTGATAACCTTTCACCCTCCCCTTTCCAGTGTGAGCTTGCAGGAATTTGTGGTTTAGCGAAAGCTTATGTTTGTGGTGGTTGCGAGGTTACTGCAGACAATGGTTACCTGTGCACATACTGACCTTTGTGCACGCGCATGTGCGTATGCGTGCGCACCGTCAGGATGCCAATCGGCGATGGCCTATTGACCAGCTGCGCGCAGGTACCCATATGAATTTTCGGCGGAGCGTCTGTAACCCGTGAACATTTTACGTCAAAATAAACCTCGGCTTATTTACCGATCGGCGACTTGAAGCCTGTGCCATGAAAATTCGCGTCGTTCCGTATTTGCAGTTACTCGGAGGGCGATTGGAATGGGGGCTTCCAGTTAGATCGAATCAATCAGCTTTAAGTGTTTAATTCAAAAAAAAAACTGTGTCCTCTTTGGAAAGGTTACTTATTTAACAGGGTGATTGTAGGAGCTTCTAAAGATAAGTGGGTTTTTTGCTTTCATAAGGTTTGTAGGCAAGATGAGAGGGACAGAGTATGAAAAGGGTCCGATCGCAATCGGTAAGGTGTGTTCGCTAACCTCTCCTCCTCTTCGCCTCATGGCGTGACATACTACCATCCGAAACTGCGCATTTCCACTTTGTGCGCAATACTTCCTACTTCCGAACACGCACATCGTCCCGCCACTCGCTGCGCCTGGTGTGTGTAGTCTTATCAGCCAGCATACACTTGTTCACTCCTCCTCCCCCACCCCCCACCTTAAGCTTGTCGATGTCTTTTCTCAGTTCCAAAACCAATTATCATTGTCTTCGGTAATGGTGATAACTTAAAAAACCACAAAGATAATGACATTTCCTCCGCCAGCATGGCATTCATGGAATGTGGCGATCCTCCAAACTGAACCTAGCGTCACACATATGCGACATGGGTTTTTTCCCATTTTTTGACAATTAATTGATTGAGTTTTGAACAATAAAGTAGGCATAGAATATTCCTGGAATAAAATTACTTTTTTCCGATTTTTCAGTAGTAGGTGAATCGATCAATTCGGTAATGCAAGTGGTGGTGCCATATTGGAGCAATAAAATAACTGGGATGTAATGGTTGTTTCTCCTCTGAGACCCTGATAGCAAGCGCGTTGATGCAAAGGGTTGTTATAAGATATGGGCGTTATTCGTTAAGAAAGCACAGGCGATTAAGCGTAAGTACACATCGAATGGAAGAGACCACAGTTGCGAATCTATCGACACTGTTTTGACAGCAGTTATGTGCATTGATATAGATCGAGATGTCATGGGAGCGTTTTAAGGTGAGTCTTTACCAAAATCTCTGGTGACATTAGCTTCCTTGGCAGCCCGGACCCGATGCACTTGGTTACCAATGGGAAAATATGGAGCATTAAAGCAGTAGTACAAAGATCGAAACGTTTTAATGGAATGGGTTTTGTGATCCTCTTCACTCTTGGTTAGAATATAAACCCTTGAACACACATATACCAAAAGAAAAACAACTGCACTTACGTCTGTATTTGCGGCGGCTTGCATAAATTTAAATTGGAATGGGTCATAAAAGCATTTTGTGCTGATTATTTGCGAAACCTATGCTAATTTCAGCCCTCCTTATAGGCCTCATCTGTTTATTATCTGCTACATACCCCCAAACATGTTTAGTATTTTGAACTTTCATGTCCAGGAGTTATGCCGACATCAACAAAAACTAGCAATAAACAGAGTTTAACGTATTAATGTAACTGTACATTGTTAACTTTCTCAGTTGTCGGGTTAAAAAACACGACTGACTAAATCTATGCAGGCGTCGAATGAAAATCACTGCAGTTGCAGATTTGTCTGTGCTGTCTTGGTAATGTTTTCCTCAAAAGCCGTCACGACACTTGATAACCCACTAAAGCCAATCGAGTACTTGAGTTCATTATCTGCCGGATTGATAAAGGCAAGTGCCCACAAGGAATGTTTAGTAATGGAGTTGCTTTAGAAGACTGTTTCATGCAAATCGGGAAGCTTAAAATCCAGATTAGCTAGCGCTATTCGAGAAAAACTTAAAAGACTTCAGTATCGGCACTAATGTGCTGTTCATTTTCACCTTTACATCCATATGTCTGTTTCAACAATGGTTGGATCACCACATCCTTTTTAAACATCAATTAGCACTTTTACGACCTGTCACAACATGTAGCTCTTACTACTCGGTTTAAGCGCAGCCTTAGTTAAAAAAACAGATAGGTGAGAATGTAAGATGTCCACATCTGACAGATCCACTTTGCTATTCTTGATCTTCTTGAAAGAGCAGCTGGTAGACAAGTCTGCAGCGTCGATCCTACAGATGAGTTGTTTTGTGGCGTTTTTTTTTGGTGTGACATTGGTCAAGAATTTCCTCTTACAATTCAAGAACGTAGTATTTGTGATAAAATTACTCACCTACGTTTATGACTGCGTTACGTTGTAAACTGCACATAATCTCACCTGACCTGGGTGTGATTTGTCAAGTGTAGTAAGGTGAAGGTGGGTGGTAGAGCTAATTTTCGCCTGAATTCGAAGAGAACAATTCATTTTTGCTTACAAAAGAGGTTCCCAGAGTATTTTACATCCCTGGTTCTCATAAGACCTTAGCAATCAATGCAAAGCTTGCTAATCCTAGGTGAAGTACTCGATTTAACACTTTTGACACACACAAATGCTAGCCCTTAAAGCGTTTGTAAACCTACTATATGCAGGTAGACGGTTTAGCTATTATCATGATCACTGGTGGTGCTACTGAATCCAAATTCATTATATCTTTAGAAAGACTACTGAGACAAATACATCGTTGCAAGAGGTTACTTAATAATATTTCACATCTGAACTTAATTGTGTTAAAAATTGACTTTTTGAGACAACCGGTTTCAAAATTCCGACTTACTTCTGAGTATCATTCCCCTATGCTACTTGAATGTGTAGACCATCACAGTGGGGTAGAAAAATTATTCACAGGACCAAACGAAAGCTCACGGTAGGACACGTTTCCGAACCACTTGCAATGTATTCCGGTTGAAAGCCTCGAATCCGCTTTGAACTGTGTTCGGATTAACATTCAGACCAGAATGAGAAACAACCACCGAAGATTAGCTAACCTCCGTTGGTGTGGTAGTCATTCCAGCTCCCAGGCCACGCCAAAAGATATTGCGTTGCGATTTGCGGCTTTGCTTCCAAGATTGCAACACTCACAGTGGGTAAGAGGTGTAGGTGTAGACATTCAAAATTGGCTCCTAGCCATTCGCCATCGGGTGGCAGTGTGTTCTACCAGAGCGCGTATTGCCCTCAGATCTTGAACGCAACACACCAATTCTTACTGCATGAAACATGCTTGCACTGCCTGACTACTGGTGTTTAATTTGAACCTTCATGATGGCATTCACCTGGTAAAAGTAAATGTAATCAGAAGGAATTCTTTTTCTACGGAATTTAATTGTTATTTTATAGCATGTTTCTCCCCAGGTTCTGAGTACTAATGTTAGAATTTACTACCTGAGTGTACTTTATAGGTTCAATGCCTCATGTTAAGGCAGCGTTTACCGTTATGGGTTGTGGCAAATGAGCATGCCCATCCAAACCACACCCACAATTGGTTAAGAGTACTATACTACACCGCAAATCACATGAGCACCTTCCCTGTGCTTTTAAGGCCACTCCTCTGTCAACATTCCAGAAATGGAGCATTAAACTGTGATCCGCGTCAACACAAAACATCTCTCTCACTAAAAAAAAAGTTCACAAAAGCCACCTCACCTTGCTGATGGTAGTGACAACCATGGCGACAGCAAACGATCACACCTGAAGCTGGGTCTGGCGAGTTCTACATAGAGCCATTGTGTACACACCCATGCACGACGACTGAACCAACGTAATGACTGCGAACTATTTTTAGCAAGTAATGTGAGTGTGGCGATGCCATCCAACAGCGCCACTACACCCATATTCACAAGTGTTTATAACGACTCCACATAGAAATGCGCTTAAGCCTGCAATCAATGCGATTATGGGGCCAAATCATTCACACAATTTACGCGATGACAAAATAGCTTAACTAGTCATCCGTGTTTGGCTTATCCAGAGTAAACTGCTGATGAAAACATTGAAGACGATGGCAAAATAAAAAGATTAATGGTTCTGCACCTCATGGCCGCACACATAACCTACGACGGCGATTGCAAAGGCTCGGGGGAGACACCCAAAGCAGAGCTTGACAGTGATGATTTGTTCGTTCAGTCGTTTACTAAATTTACACGCCTATGGAACACCCTGCACCTTTGGGCAACGGTGGCCTTAGCATCACGTCCTACCATACGAACAAGTGGCCAACAATGCCCTGTCCACGCAGCCTTTGCCAGTAAAATCCATAAACGCCTTGTGACAAAAGATCCAGCGCTGAGTTTTGAAATTCGTAGCACAAGCAATCCACAGCACAATTCCGCATACACACACACACACACACCAAGCCTGTGCATTTGCCACGATTGAAACAAACGTACACGGATAGGCATCTCACCTTTCAGCTACCACAGTTGAAAATTGTGCACCAGACGTTGCAAACATCAGTGATCCATGCACAAGCACGACTTGCGAACCAGGGAAGTGTGAGACGCTCCGGATTCGTGCGCGAGTCTATCAGAAGGAGATTGCCATTTTAACACGGTCGCGTATGAAAGCATGCGCGCGGCAGTGAAGAGATGTGTGCAGTTGCAGTCCACGTGACCCTGCAACTGACCATAAAAGGCGAATCGAAAAGCCGGAACGCGCGCTAGAACCGAGAAGAATTAGCACTCGCCACAGCCACATCTAACCCTCTCGCCCGCCGCCACCCAATGGGAAGAGAAAAACAACCATATGAAAGATGCCACCGAATGGACTCAGTCATTTAACGAGCGCATTGGTGACACATCCCAAGCACGTGACGGAATAGGTAGGTACAGCTACGCAAGTCACCCCACTGGGCTTCAAAAAATGGCGTCGGAGAGACGACAAAGTGAAAGTCAAAAAGGCGACCTTGGGGCTGGTTATCAGGAAACGCAGGATACACAATCTCCTACTAGATAACTGTTTTAGAAGTTGCCACTTCACCGCATACTTTGTAAAAATGGCGAGATGAATCAAAGGTAGACTAAACGTCGATTCCAAAGAACTTCGTCAACGAAAACGGCAAAACAAATCCACTTTGTTACAACGCAATCAGCGCGCCAAGAGCTGCCCACCTCCTGCAAGTGGGAATAACGAACGACATTGTCTCGACGCTCTACTCACCAGCCGACCATGCTGTGCGACTTCAGACCGCATTGCTTAGTCGACACGAAAACTAGCCTGAGATAAAGCCGCCACGAGTAAAGGGAGAAGAGAAGCCGAATCACTTAACAGACCACTCATGTATTGAGATAGGTGGGGGTAAAGAAGCAAAGAGAGGCTTTGCTTCATATCTACATTCAAATGAAAATGTACACTACATCCAGGCCTGTTTGCAACTCACATCCGGTGAAAGGGCGAGAGTGTGGTATAGGATTCACGTAGACCAGACAGTCATCCCAATTCTTCGTGTTGTTTGCCAGATTTGCGGAGAAAAGATCAGAGCGCACAGGACCCGAGTATTGGACAGTATTTTACAAACGTTGGCAAGTGAGTAATGGGAGGCAGAATGAACAAAGGGTAACGAAATGTATGTGCATGCGAGAGGAGGACAAAAAATCAACACAACTCAGGGCAACAAAAGAAAGTGTTCGGTGAAGATGAGGACGTATGAGTGAGGTCACATAGCATCGATAATGAAGACACGCATAGGCTATACAGAGTGGTGGGATTTACTTAGCATGCTTGTGGTGAACTTTACAATATGTATATACTAGTGTCTGTGTGGTGATGACGAGGGAGAGGTATTGAGACAACGCCGGCTCAAATATACAAAACGCACCTACACACCAGACGCAAGAAACAATATGAACAACTCTATTTAGATTTTTAACAGCGAGTGATGCAAACATTCTACACCGATTTTAGGTGGTCGTTTGACGTGCCAGCGGGAGAAATGAGGCCGACTTTGCCACTCCCACTTGAGCTGCAGTTACTACCACCTGCTCCATACTTTTCTAACTTCGTAATGATGTGCTTCCCGTAGTTATATTTGCGCAGCGTGCCGACAAGGGGACGAATGCGAGTTATGAGACTGTTTCGCTGCTGCTTATCGGCTAGCTCAAGCATGCGCTGAACTACATAGTTAGCGAATTGGTCCTTCATCATGTCGACCAGAACGCCTCCAGGTCCATTATCTGTGCCATCTGCAGACACCAGCACCTCGTTTATAAGAGCCGAACGCTCAGCTGGGGTGGCGTTAGCGATCGCCTTCTCCATAACGTTTGATGCAAATTTGTGCTCCGAGAGGGTGGCTACACGTCCGCGCAGACTGTTGATTATGCGAGACTTATCCTCTTGCGAACCGTGCTCCAGAACATGCTGGAAAACAAACGCTTGACAATGAACACCGTTGCAAAACTACAAATATAATCGGGATTCAGACTCATAAAAACACCGAAGACTTCACTAAAACCTATACCAGAGGGGGAGTAAAATCGACGTTAGTAAACAGAATATCGACCGAAGAATACACCCACCTGTACAACATAATTGCCATACTGGTCATTGACAAGGTTATCAACACTCTGATGTAGCTCATCCAGAATTACCCGAGTTTGTTCAGTGGAGCAGTGCTCCAGAATGCGTTGGATAACTCGACAACCATAGGGGTGGGACGACAGAGTATAAACCTGGAAGTAAAGTTCATAGAAAAAGGTGGAAATCCGAAAAACCAAATATACTAGCCGAAGTCAAATACTTCTAAAGGTCACTTTAAATCAGGCCAAGATACTGCAGCTAACAAGCTTTCATCAAACGAAAACTGACTCCAAGCGACTAAAAGTCAACTCAAACCAAAGTGTTAGATGTCAAAAAGCCAACAAGATGTGTAGGTCGCATAGTGGAGGCTGTCCAGAGGTCAAAAACGCGCAATCGTAACGAAAAAACGCCCTACTGACGAAATAGGGATGTACTGATAATCGAAAAAGTATGTGAACGGTAAAATCATATTTCTGCTAGCGAAAGCAGTCAAGTAATAAATAAGAGGTAATGGAGACCGCTACACGTAGAGCAAAAATTAATGTAAAATACTGAACCAATTGCCACAGCTATCTAGATAAAAAAATATGTCGAATTGAGAAATTCATGGTAGACACTAGTAGTGGCAGTAGGTACAACGCCGCGATTGCTACTCAAAGCTGTGCTGAGAAGTCATTAAAAATAAACCAAATGAAAAACTACCACATACACACTCTGACTATCAAAGCGAACACGGGCACAATTGGAGAGCGGAATAGCTGTGGGATGTGTACCTAATTTGCATTGCCAAGTCATCCTCACAAGCACAAACAACATTTCTAATCAAAACGCAAGCATGAGTCGCAGAACCACAACAAAACGGTTTTATCAACTGTGGTTAAGACTCGCCTACTCCCCACTATGTTAAATGACTTCTCGGGTTAAATAAACATTTCTGTGCACGTAACAGTGCATTGACAAGTTGGACGAAGATTACAAAGTGAAAACAAAATATGAAACCACATCTGACCTAGCATTCACGAACGAGGAACGTGACTTAATTCAACATCAGCAGATGTAGTCAACATCTAGTAAATGCGATAAGTTGTAGACGTTGGATGACGAGTGCCCGCAGCACTCACAAGACCTCATGTAGTTTGACAGTAAATACGAATGCGTACGTGGCAGTGGCACTTGTCAGCGCGAACGGATGTGCATACACCTACGTGCCTTTATGAGGTAGGCCAATAGATTTAGAAAGAAAAATTGGCGCAGTGATTTAAACCAAAAAGGTAAAAACCATGGTAACGACACGGATGCTGACCGTATATTTACGCATTAAAACCACAAATTCATCATCGGTGATAATCAGGTTAGAAGTCACCACCGCAGAGCAAAAAAGCTAATCAAAGCAGCAGGAACAAGTATTTTTTTCAAAATACGCGAACTCAAGGGCATTGCGTGCCCATCTGCGAGGCGTTATTGAAGTACAATTTACCACGATGAAAAAAAACTGGAAGCGATTCGGCGACACAAACGCATTTCTTTCCGAGAGAAAGAGAGGGAAAGTGAAATGCACAATTACCTGGCCACGAAACGTAGTTATGATAAAATCCAGCTCAGCCGAGGGAACACACTCGATGCATTTTTGAATCACATGGTTGCCATTCTGATCCTTCACACAGCGCATCACATGGGGACGAAGTTCGCTAATGATACGAATTTTGGACTCCAGTGGAACCGATTCGAGAGCTTTTTGAATAACCCGACAGCCGTACATTTGCACTGCAAACTCCACAACGTGGCCATGCAAGCATTGAGAAAGGAGCTGAATGAAGCACAAATGAGTTTAAGAACCACTTAAACATCCTACCTCCTTTTGGTTATCAGTTCCGAATTCAAAAAACTTCTGTATGACATAGTTTCCAAAAACATCAACCATCAGTTTGCCCGCTTGAGGAAGAATTTCTGAGAAGACAATATTTTTCTCCTCAATCGTAGCCGTTTCCAGTTTCTGCTGAATGAATCGTGATCCGTGCTGATCACGAGCGAACTCAACAATGTGGTCACGAAGCTCAGAGAGTTGAATGTGCTGAAAACGAGCTGTCGAATTTCGGAATTCTTCCAGCAGCTGGCTTCTGCTAACAGGAACCCCAGCATTGTTGGCTACCGGTGAGGGACCACCTAAAAAAAGAACTTCAGCTATTGAATTGACGTAAAAGCACCCCAAACAGCGCATGAGGGTAGATGGGCAGAAAAGGCAAAGCCACGGGTATCTACAAAGGCAGTAGCGCACAGAGGAAACAGTGACCGCCAATCTGGATTACTTTGCTTGAATATTTCATATGACCGATTTATCCAATTGAGAAATAGGACCAGACCTTCTCTCAGGTCGAATACAATTCGATGCTACTAGTGAACCGAAATCAGGTCAGTGCAACGAAATACGCCCGTGTAATACACAGATAAAGGGCTTAGAGTGACCCCAAAACACCAAGTGCAACCGTAACCCAAAGTGATTTAGGGACGGACCCTACCCTCAATAGCAGAGTAACCGGAGGCGGCGGGGCTAAAGCTCTTCGCAGTATTAACGACACGAGCGAATCCTGGTGGAGGTGGAGGGGGCGGTGCCGAAGGGCCAGCCTGATTACCTGAGGTTACCGACACATTTGCTCCCGGTGGAAATAGTGGCGATCCCCCCGGATGTGGGGACGCCGTGGGCTGTAAAATGCCTATCTATGTAAGCAAAAGCCGGATTATTTGCACTGGTATTAAAGGATAGTTACAAGAGGCCGCACTAGAAAAAAATATACACCTGTGGTAAACCATAGGGGGTAATTGTACCCTGTTGTGCCGGCAAGGCCGGACCCACTTGCCCGGGGCCACCTGCCCCTCTCATTCCGGCAACTGTGGCAGCTTGAAAAGCCTGAAGAGCGAAGTGTTGCTGTTGGCTAGGCGAATTAGGCTGCTGCGGTTGTTGCTGTTGCTGCTGATTGAAGAATAGTTGATTCTGCATCTGAAGTATCAGATAGGCAACAAGACGAGCATGATCAGATGTCAAATCGGGTGTTGGTTGTGCCTGAGACTGCGCTTGCGATGCAGCATTAGGCACGCCCTGTGAAGGTGGTGGCAATGGAAGCGCGGGCAGAGGCGGTGGAGTAATGGATGCGGCCAAAGCTGCCGTGGCTGGGTTCTGAGCAAGTTGCTGCATAAACATGTTGAAGACTAAGGGATTCCAAGTACCTACAATCAGACAGTGTAAAGATGAATTAATTCGACCAAGCGGTGCCCACCTAGAACAAACTGGTTGAAAGAAAATTAGAGGAACTGTTATTGTCTTTGTGGTATATAAAATGTTCCCAACGATACATCTGTAATACAGTCTTCTATGTGCTCAAGTTCAACATCGCCTACCATTACGGGGAGCATTAATATCAAGGCCCACCAAGATACTACATGATATTGGACACTAGAGGACGACAATGATCCGTTCTACAGAAAGTCACGATGAGGCAACTCATGTTTTTCTGCTCTTCATGCCAAAGTCATATTGATGGCAAAGAATGCTTAAGTCATGTCAAATAAGGAGCGGGCCTACTTGTAGGCCTGACGTACTAACTCAAGCGCGACATTCTTATCAATCACAGTATCTGCAGATATTACTAAAAGGAGGAAAAAATATCCAACCTAAGCTGCAAAAAACTCATTAAAAATGCCAATTTTGAGATAGCAAAAAGGTTGCTAGTTCGCGTACAGTCAGAGACCAACAGCGTGATTGATGTGATAGTGACCACCGATATCCGACGGAGGCAGCCGCGTGGTAGACCAGCATGCTAACATGAAATTCATTCCAACCTTTAAGCCGAAACATTACTGTCACACTAGTGCATATGGTGCAGACTGCTTTCAGGAAACACGAAATTGGTGGACACTCACTATTAGCCCTTAAATAACTGGAAACATGACTCACTCGAAGGTGAAGTAACACTAGAATTGGAATGCGATGGTGGAGCAGGGGCATTTTGAGGCTGCATGAACATCGACATTGCCATGGCCATCGACATTGGATCAAACTGAGGTGGGGGCATCGGCATGGGCATTGACGTCGGCTGAGCGGAACGCTGCGCAGTTAGTGGAACCGCAGGAGCGACCTCTGGTGACGCTTCGTTACTACCAGAGCTAACTACAGGGATGTTGGGTGTCGCATTTTCCGGCAGACTTGCGACTGACACCATTCCTGACGACATCTGGGGAGGTAATCCACTGTTGCACCCAAAGGAAGGCTGAAAAAAAGTAAGTCTAGAATCATAAACCTTTCAAACTTAGTGGATGTGTGGGACGGACACGCAAATTACCTTCCCACTGTTCCCATCGAAATGGAAAAAGGATTGACCAGAAGGCATACCACACAAACTGCTTCCATTGCTGGAGCTAATTTTCTTTCCTATTAGGTGACCATAAAGCCCAACACCACTTCCACTAATTTCACCAGGTAGTGGATTCCCAGCATTTGCGAAGGCATTTTCACTGACACAAAAATCGCCGGGCCCCTCATGCGAACTGGCACTTATATTCATCTGTGGAGCCAGAGAAAAGCTGCCAGCATTGGGTTTCGGGTGCCAGAGACTAGGAAAACCCGAGGGGGGCAAGGGTTGCTGAACTGCACTTGCAGCAACCTGATTAAATGGCCTGTGTTCCGTTGGGTTGCTACCATAAAGCCCTCGCCATGAGGAATTCTATAGCCGATAAACGTAACCACAGAACTTACGCCAAGTAATGAATCATCCCATTCCCATGCGTCCCCATTATTATCAAGTTTAGCTTCAGCGACCGTAACCTCGTCCAATGATTGGTCTTCATTTCCATCTCTTTTCAGTTGATCGTCTGAATCAAATAGACGATCATTTATCCACAAACGTCGATTATAGCCCTTTGATTCCCAGATAGACTGGATGTCGATGCCAGGCATGGATTCAGGTGCAGAGGCAGAAGCCATCTTGCTTTTTCCCACACCATCGACATCCCCAAGTGAGGTTGTAAGCGTCCCAATGGGCACAGGTGTAGCGGAATTCATAGAGCCGATGCCCACACCTGCGACGTCCCCAGAACTGGTATTAAAATCATCCGCAGACGCCTGACCTCTGCGCTCTGCACCAATAGCCCATATGTGGTTCGCCCGGGAGGTCTCAAAGACGGAAAGGCCTTGAAAATGGTTAGCCAAAGAAGCATCAGTTTCAGACTCCGTCTCTCCATGGTCAGCGATACCACGAACTGTTCCACCACCCGTCAAGTCAGTGCCATCATCGTCGGTTAGGTCAAAACCATCTGGCAGATGCGGAGTACCACAATCAGAATTTTGGGCCCCGACTTGATTTTCCTGTAAAATTAAGTAAAATGCAAACCTCAAATGCACCAAGAACTTGAATTCAATAAAATAAAATCGACCTACTATTGATGGAGCCCACTGCGTGGGAAAAGGTGCCTCAACTCGTGCTCGATTGGGCATCAAATTGTTGACATCAGTTTGAAAACCAGGTGGTGCAGTGCTGATAAGCATTTGGTCGACAGGCAAATCTGACGCCGGATCTTTTGTTTCACTTGAAGTCATTGACAAACGCACCACTTCCGAGTAATTACAGGATATGTACAAAGGCTTTTAAGCCCTTCAGGAAAAGGCTGGAACGGTAAGTTGGCAGTAATAAATGGAAAGTACGCATTTATACACTGATTCACAAAGACATACTTACAGCTATATACAGTATATACACCAAGCTCAAAGCCAAACAATCCCACTTAAAGATATTGATCGCAATCGAAAGTGGTGAATTTAAACAAAGCAACTGATTTAATTGTGCACAGTACTGTATGGCTGTACTTATTATTTTGTGCGTTCTTATAAATGTTTTGATTTAAAAACGCACACAAAATTGGCTCATTCTCAGTTTTTGTTTTCTTGGGTTGCAATGCTCAGGAGTGTTTCTGGGATATTTCTACACTGTTTGCCTACTATTCTATTCTATTTTGACCTAAAATTTTTTTTGCTACAAATATATGGCCAATACTTACTTTTGGAGTACTAGACCTTCCGATACTCTCGCCTAAAGTATCCCAATTTAATAACTACTGTTTCCCAGTCTACGAAACCTGTTAGAAGTTTTAAATCCATCCCTAGTTTTCAAAAGAAACTCCGTCTTTCAGAAGCGAATGGGCGTTTGATGAAAAATATTCAGTTAAGAGGGCATTTGTAGCTAGCAGCCCTCTAAACGCATCCTGACTTCTGATTGGTTAACATGTCAGGCGGGGGGTGTCAGGTTGCTAATTTTCCCAGGCAGCACTTATGCTCTGGATTCACCGGGAGAGTCTCGATGCACAAAGGATGGATGAGGACGAAGAATGCTTTGTCTTTCCTGCTATCACGAAGCCCTATTCGCAAGTGGTACCCTCATCGTCACCACAAAAGGATCGTGCGGACTCGATTACACCTCAACGGAGAACTAGCAATCCCTCCGCAAATACATTTTGTCGTCAAAATAATCGGCAAAGAGATTCTAGTACTCAGTCACCCATATCAAAGAAACATTTATCACAGCACGGTGGACAAACTAGTAGCAGTGATCAAAGCAGAAGATTTTTGCGAGTCCCACCCCCAGAGGCCGAGGAGAGCATTCCGAAGAGAGGTTTACTAAAAAAGTCCAGTCTTCGGACTAAAACTGACAATAATTGTGAAGTTCGGCGAAGCCTCATTTCGATACAGGATGTCAGAAAATACTCCGTGGTTGATCCGTCCACTTTAAAGTTTGTTCAAGGTATGTTAGTCCTGAGGGCCTAATGAAGTATTATGATCCTTCTATGCATGTGAATAACTGTGCAGTTTTCAAAAAAACTTTATGCACCTTGAATTTTAGATTAATGTATTCTATTAAAAATCCTGTAGACAGAGGCTTCGTTCACGTCGTGATAGCGTCCATGCGAAATTATTCAACAGACTGTAACTATAAGTTTCTGATTTAGGGTTTTAACGTAACACCCACTAATCATTTTGTGGTAACTCAATGAAACACCCCACTCAGAAATAATAGACGGCAATCATCAAAATTTTTACGGTTAACTAGTTGTCACGGGCGACTATAGATTTGGTACCTCGCAAAGTGTCTTGATAGAACGACCGGAATAGCAATTCATTCTCACCACTTCCAAGTTAAATGAACAAGATCATTTGAGAACACTTTTTCTAAAACGAAATTCCGACTTATTAACCTGTTTGCTTAATTTGCAATTAAAAATTCATCAGTTTCGCCATGCATTTCTACCTTGCACTACCACATCTTGATCGAAGTGGCCGAGAGCCGCTTATTTTTCCTATTATTTTTGGAAATGTCTAAAGACAATAAGTAAATTTTGGCTAAGTTCAGTGGTTGGAATTTCATGACAAAAAGTGAGAATAGATGAATACATTTCGTTGCGGTGTTGGCTGCACACATTTAAAGACTGCTAACTTTACATTTATTCTTACCACCTATGGAGCTGGTTGTTATTATTCGGATAAAGATAAAAGAAAACACTAGTCTGCTAGCACAATTTAAAATTTCTAGTCGTAATCGCAAGTCAGTTTGTGCAATGAAGTTATTATCAATTCAAACCGTCGGTTGAAAGTGTCAAAGGGCTGCAGATTTGTACATGACCCTGTGGTAGGAATGTGGAAACGAGGGACAAGGACAATGCATGTTCCGCCCACAGCAAGTCTGCGTTTCCATATCCCAACTTTCAACGTTGTGAAGAGCGGCGAAACGCCCTTCTTCTAATCCCTTTGTCGTCTCGATTACCAGCATAATTATGCGTTTTGCAGCGCACCATGGTGACTCAGTTCATCAACTTGTGGGTCTGGCAACTCTAGAGCTCCCAGGTTCATGTCGGTGATGCATATCTGACAAGGCTTTGAAAGACTAATAACTTCCTCAAAACTGCTATTTTTGCTTAAAAAAATAGTTAGTAACAAATGCGAAAATTTATATTCATGTAGTTGACAGGAGGTTTCTTTACATTCTTTTCAGAACTGCCCTTATTTGAGATAGCAGTGATTTCTGAAGGTTGGCCCCAGGGCACCCCGTTCTTAAACGAATTTATAGAAATGTCTTTTCGGATTAGTATAATAGAGCTCCACTTCCTCTTTCATGGTCTACTCTAGGAACGGTGTGCCCTTCTTTCCACCACTCTAAAGTGCAGTAGCAAGCAGTAATTTGATTTTTTGTGGATCCGTGCATGAAATACGCATTTGAGTGCCTCAAAATTTAAAACGGAGTCTTATCTGATTGGACTAATGCTTTGAAACGTTTCAAAGGCGTTTTAAGGAGAAAAAGCAGTTTAAGTTAGATGCTGGTAAAATCTCGAAAGCACGTAACAACCTTCCTGATTGACAGATTCAGAGTTGCAGTGCTTACAGGAGCTTTAATAATTATTTGTTAATACGCCACAAAATGCGTATTTTTTATGAAAAATGAGTGAATTAGGATGGGTCAGCGGAAGAGAACGCGCTATTAACGAACAAGCTGATGTTGAGTTAGCATTATTACTTTTGCAGAAATTACATTAGGAGTAAAAAGTTTTGATTTTGACAGGTAATTGCAAAGAGCCGCTGTTATTATTTGCGTAGAATTTGAATCTTTCCCGATTAATGACGCAAAACTAAATCGCCCGCATTATATCAGCCCAAAAACCGCGCTACTATTTTAAATTAGACAGAAATAAAAATGTGTTCAAATTTGCAAAGAAAGTGAGAAAGACCATCAATAATACATTTAGGTAGACTTCAAAAGATATTTGGACTACATTAAAAATCGGCACTTGGAGACCTAGAAGTCGAACAACTAAAGACGCTTTTTGCCCCAAAATAAGTTAGAATTTGCTCTCCAGAAGTCAGAAATTTTTGAAGAAATCTGACCTGATATCTAGCTGGTTGGTCGTCACTTACGATGTGTGGTCAAAATGCAATGCTACTGACTGATTTAGATCTATGTGCAAGGGATGCTAAAGGACGCTAAAAGACGCATTCTCCTTTGGTAGAACTGGACAGACTGCTTAAAAAATGCACTATTTGCTAAACCCTATTACTGATGTGCTTTTTGGAGATCCCTAAGTGATTTTACTTCATTAGAACCCCTGTAATTTCCCTCTGAGTTTGCGATTTGCGTCATTTAAGTCGGCTGTGAGGGACGCAAATTCACCTTCTTTTCCGTTGGAGGTTTTCTCCGTGTTTGACATCACTCTTTCCTAGTGACTATTTTCCAAATTAAATAAAATGATGCAATAATGCGGAGACTTAGGTGGTCTGCATGACGATTTCCACGAACAGTAGTGAGCTAGCCATGCAAATGTCCATTCCACTCATGCCCATTCGGGTTTGATCGTAATTAATGAAAGTTTTAAGCACCGCTTCATTCTACCTTCGAGACTAGTCCAATTTCCTACTTATTCCTAAAACGCATCGTTTTGCATTCCGCCATTGAAAAGTACAGATATCTTGAATGCTGGAAGAAAACTTAAAATAGCGCCACTATTAAGCTATTTGTGAGTGAAAATCAAATTAATCATGAAGGAGACCATGTGCCATTGTGCCCCCCAGAACAGGGCATCGCAATATTCCACAAAGGCAAGCAGCCTTGAAGAGGATTTCGTCGCCCCTCTGGTGTGCTCTCCTCGTAAGATGGAAGTGATAGAAATGCATATTTATTTTTTCTTCAAAAAACAATGCTAAAGTGCACCCTCTCGTTTTCTTACCAACTACACAAAACTGAATTTTTTCATAATACGTTTGGTACGAGGGAAGCGGAGATCAAAGGCGCGATCTCCTGAGTTTTGCAATATTATCAGAAGCAGCAATTCGTAGCACATGTGGTTTGCCGCCTGAATGCCTTGAAAACGTTTGCCTTGTGTCGAAAGCAGGTTTCATTTATTTTAAAGTGAGGTCATTAACCACTCCATAATTGGTTACAGTTAATCAACGGAAGCCATTTTTATCCACCTTTGTGCACATTTACAAAGGTTGTGAATCATCCGCCGTTTGCTAAACACCGACCAAACTTCGCTCTAAATCCCTTCAACACCCAATCATTTGATGCCCATTTCCCATTTGCCATTTTCGGCAATATTTGAGTCAATTCAGACAGCCTCCTTATTGACTACAAACAAACGGCAAATTTGCAAATATTTTCCTACCTAGCGTCAGTACTTGACACTTAACTGCGTCCGCTTCTGCATCAATAAGCACCGAATATTACGGAACTGTAAAGAACCAAGTCACCAAGGAAGCAAAACACAAAGCGAAAGGCAACGGTTTATTACTCACCGACAGATCTAGACTGTTATAAACGGTCAGTCCATTAGCAATCCTCTCAAACACGTTTGGGGAACATTAACTCATACTGAGAGCATGGCCAAGTATTGGTAAGCCAGCACCTCGAGTGTTGGCCCCGACTCGGTCTGGATCTACCGACAAGTGAGGGCGCAGGTTCACGGGCGAACCTGTGGCATTAGCCCTTCTAGCATATTTTTTCGCACGCTTTTCACTGGAAACATCTTATCAAGAACAATTTTGTTTAATACAAAACTAGTTTTGACAAATTGTTGACACCACTTTGCTTTTATTCAAAGCAATTTTTGAAATCAGGCGGAAAGTAGACAACTTCCTTATGAATACAAAAAGCCTCAGCAGTTGTAATGGGTAAAATGTATCTATAAATTTTTACAGCTAATATAATTTAATGTCCTTTCCAGTGCTGAAGTAAGTTATGCCATCGCTTTAGGTGGTAGACCCTAATCTGGCTAAACTTCCTGCATTCGTAATCTGAGTTTATCTTAGGTAACCTGAATCACATCACCTTTGATGTGCAATGTGGTAAGTAAAATTACACACCTCTAAAACAGTTTCATGCCAGATAAGGGGAAGAGGTGAACACTTTCCTCGTTGGGTAAGTGGGTCTCAAAAACACTTGTATGATGTAAACGAGTCTTAAAAAGACCTGAAACAAGCCAAACGAACGGCGGTCGCTTATTCTGCGGAAAATTGGTTAATATGTGTGTGAAACTTATTTTTTTGCAGAGATAATAAAAGAACCTGTTTAAGTGAGAAATACTCTGGAGTAGGTAAGTTGAGAAAGTGTCATTCACCAAACCTTTTTCCAGGCGGTATGTGGGAGTGGAGGTAGGTAAGCAAAAACAATTAGCTGCCAACATGTAGGCATTTATAAGCACACTTGTCTGCAGAGTGCCTTCTCCCTCTACCCCTCTCTTGCCCCGGAAAGGGAGTTAAATATGTACCTTTGCATTGGAACTAGTCGCCTTTCAAGTGTCACTGATTTTCAATGCAAGCACTAATGCAAGTTGCGAGAAGCACTTGGGAGGAGACTTCGAAAAGCGCCTTCACTTACTGAGTAATTTCATTTTGCTACTTTGTGCGGTACCTGGAGCGCGTAAGGTCTCCGGAAAAAAACTATTATGAGAATCGCAAAAAACCGGTGGGAAGCTTGGAGACCGCTAGGAGCCTTTGTTTTCAGCATATGTCTCCCATTGTAAGTGCAGTATTTGGAGAGAATATTTGGTACTTTCTGGAGGAATCGTTCGTAAATGTCGAGTCCTTTTAGTTTTCCATTGTTATTTGACAGTTGACCTTTCTGACCAAATAACACAGACACTACTGACCCTCGTCATCCAGTCTGTGCTCCACCTATTAAATACCCCACAAATTTATACACCTAGAAATGAATTCCTGACAAGTGCCAAACTCAACTAAAGTAATGATTTCTTTCAAATTGCGGGGATACTCCCGCATAATTTGGTACAATAAAAAGATGTTATGAAAGCTATGGTTTATGAAGTTTTAAAATTACGCAGGGTAATTCAGCGTCTGTTCGTTCAACATACAAAATATTAACATACCTCTTTAAAATAAGCTAACTTATAGATCAAATAATGCACAAATTAAGTATGAAAGTATCAAAACGAGAAGATGGTCCCACTTATGGGTCAGCAGTGTAATGTTGCCGAGGCCATGCGTACTCTGTTTTAATGGTTATTGCAAAGAGTGAAGTTCTAGCTTCCTCTCGATGATCACGGAAAATGGATAACTGATTTTCGTCGAAAAGCTATTAGCCAGGGTGTCATTCATGTCTTTTAAACGTCAAGTTTTTTAGGGGGCTAGATCCGAAGAAAGCTGTTTACGCTTACTTGGGATAAAACACCTGTCTGAGGAGCTTCGAAGGGACGTCCCGGGAAAGCAGGCCGAAAACTTATAAGCGACCTGTGATGGTAGTTTGGACAACAAAAAATTTTAAGAAGGGCGAAATTGCACAAAACCCTGTATTTAGTTGATTGTTGACTATTTAAACGTTTTATTTTTTTGATTTTTTTTACTTTATTTATCTCCCTGAATTGTATTGCAAGCATATCACCTTGCGTAATTCTCGATTAGCCGACAATGCGTGTCTAGCAGCTTGTTGGACCCTTCTGACCGTTTTTTTAGTTTGACTGAACAGATGTAAGGGCCATCCCTTAAACTAAATTAATGAAAGTTCTTTTCATGTCAAAACAAAGGGCTAGTTCAGAAAAAAGCCGAAACCTTAAGGCGGTAGCGGTTTTTTTATTTTAAAACATCCACGATGGCTCCAGTTGCTTGACGAATCGAAGGCCTACCTTAAACTACTGCAGAACCTAGAAATGAATAAACATAAAACAACTTCAAATACTCTCTAACAGTAAACTGAGGCAAATGATCCAAGAAATTTTATGGTAGAGAGTTATTATTTGATACTTATCCAGGTTTAGGTCAAAGAACATGCAGAGTTATTGGACATATTAATGTGATATTTCTCGTCGAACATCTGTCTCTCCCCTAGCAAACAAATGTTGCCCTATTAAATTGCCGCTATGAGAGGGAATTTTTTTTCTTGAAACCTCGTTTTATTTTTAACACAAACATCACCTTAGACGCGAACCGTTGCGGTCTACCATAGTTTAGTGGAAATGCACATTCTCATGATTTCCTGTTTCACATGTACAAGTGGTCTAAAACCACTTCTGCGTTATCTGTCAGCATAAATCGTTGTCCTAATCATGTGTACACTCTTTTGTGGCATAGGTACTTCGGAATGTCTGCTGCTATTCATTTTATTACCTAAGCCGGGTTCTTACAATAACCCCTTTTGATTAACGGTCATAGTACTCCACTTGTAATGACTTTTGTCGGAGGTTTAACGGCATCTCCATTCTCCTACATCAATTCGGTGCATTCAGCAAGCACAATTCTTACCAGCGGTAATTCTTCCTCAATGACGGCACACTTCAAGTGATAATTCCATGCATGAGACCACAAAAGTTGGGCTGCTTTGCGCCTCGTTGTAATCACCCTCATATTATATCATGTGGAAATTTTAAAATAATTTAAATGAGAAATATTTCGCATTTTACACCCTGAAGAGCTCTTTCTTGCCGGTATTATGCACTTCATCTTAAGGACATAACATAATCTGCATTTCGCTACAATTTTATTTAAAGTTTTATTTTCTTTTATTAAATTCACTAAGATTTTGACATCCGAATTCAGTGCAGGCAATTTAATTCTGGGGTTCGAGCAACAAACTTATAACTAGGAGTACCTCACACACCCAAAGCAGATTTCTTGCCTATTTTCTTCAATGTAATTTTAAACAATTTCTTAAATTTAAAGTGGAATTAACATAACAATGCAGTTTAACAGTATCCATGTTCGTTTTTAAATTAACAAAACTAATAAATGTTTAGAAGATACTTTTCCGCAACGACCTACAATTCAGTTTATGAAGAAGTATGGCCAAAGTTTTGACCTTTTTAACTTGTGCTTCAGAGTGCCAGTTTTGTAGTCGATTAATTTGACCAAAAGAAGTGATTTATTCATGTATTATGAAAACGGATTATCATCTCAAGACATCCTTAGATAGACTTAAGACAGCCTCATTAAAATTAACACGGCGTTAACTTGCGGAATCCATCAATGTAAGAAAAAAGCAACTTGACGCGAAAAAATCGCACAAACACGTTTATTACCATTGCATATCGGACATAGTTCCTCCCGTCAAAACGGAAATTCCACCGTTGCAAAAGCCATTTCTGATAAAATTTTATTTATTCTTGACACTAGACACCCAGCTTTGCCTTTAAATCCAAAAAGTTTTTGGCTAATGTTAAGTGGCAGCGAGGGACCATGTATCGCGCCATTGAAGGCCTTGAGCATATGGAACCAATTCGCTAGTAGATGACTATAAAGTTACCTTGGTGTTTACTTGTTCAATAGTTTCCTTATACAATAGCTTAAACGTTGATGCAATAAACTCATCAAAAATCTTGAGGGGCAAATTAGGGCTCCCTACATCAAACCGAATTCGGTTCCTAATTTTGGTACAAAATGGGGTTATCTAGAAAAGTAACAGAATATATGCTAATTTGTTGCTATTTATGACAATCGCCAGCCACACAGCTGTTCGATTGCATTAATTGTGCGTTTTACTTTTTCATTAAAAACAAAAAACTGTCTTATCCTTATTGGTACTTAAAATAAGCAAGCAGTTTTCTAACTCAGGAAAATAGGCTTGAATTTAAGACGAATTACCAAAGATAGACAAAAGCACCGAATGTTGCGCACTAAATAGAACCATTGACGATACCGCTGATTTACGTGCTGTCAGAAGTTGTTAAAGTTAACGAAGCAACTTCTGCACTCATTGCTGAGTGGTAGATCTCAAGGGTAGTTGAAATGTTGCAAAAACGTTTGTTGTAGCTTCAGAAATCCCAAGGGGGCTTAGCGGTAGGACAAAATCCTCTTCTAGAAGGTCAAACTAATTTATTTTAATGTAGAGTAGCACTCCAAGACTATTCTGAGGACGAGGGGAGACATAATATTCAGACCAAATATATATTCTAAATATAAAAGGGGTTGGCGCTACTGGCAAGGTCCAGGGGCCACCCCTTCCGGCGATTGTGCATTGGTCAAGACATAAAGTGGCCCCTTTTGCCGAAACTGGGAGTTAAATAAACAACCAATGTACTACAGTGGGAACCCAGTTTAAATAGTTGTGCCTTTATGAGTATACGATTAGTATTCTACACTAAATGATAATTTTTGCAGGTTAGCAGTAATTTATCAAATATACTAGCAATGCATTTTCAGCATTATAACATTCTGTAGTACTTGTTAACAAATAAAATTCTAGTCTTTCTAGGGCGTCGAAAGTAATGTCTCTGAAGTTTAGCAAATTTATCCCCTTTAGACTCGAAATAATGTTGAATGAACAAACGTGGTCAAGAGGCGACAAAACACCCCCAAATTATAAATGCGCTAAATATCAAATGCTTCAGTGGCATTTTTTAACCATCGTCTCTATCATCACCTCAGTTAAAGTCATTTACCAACATCCGCTCAAGAGTTTAGTATTTTGGAAAGTAACCCTTTAGTTATTTCCTAATATGAATGTTGATACATTACTCCTCTATGTGTCTAGCCTTTGAGTAGATGTTCAAGCAAAAGTACCATAGACAAATGCAAAAAATGTCTTAACAAACAGGAACTACAATTTAACTTCATGCAAAATGCTTAAAAATATCATGCAACAGCAGTGTCAAACAAGCCGGAACATTGGCGACAGTTAAAAATTGATGTCATTTGGTTCGTAAGACTGAAATGACGTTTTAACCCATCTTGTCTATTCGCATTGTGGGGATTTTACACTTATTTGAATAAATAGAGAAGAACCTATTTTTAATTTGAGCATTTTCAGACTAAACTACTGATTAAGCCGAGTTGGATAAAAGACACAGGAACTTTCATTTTCAAATTTTTTAAGTTGCGGAAAAGGCAATGTAGTGAATGGCCTCCTCATAAAATTATTACGACGCGACCTAGCCGTTCTTTACCCTAAAACCGCAACTACAATCAGTTTACAAATTTCTATGAAATTCCTATTTTGGAATGGTCAGCTTCTCGCTACTTTTACGCTGAATTGGACTTCTGGATAAGGGAAACAATGAATATGGTAAATTGCAGCCCACAGTAACCCATAAGACTGTTTCCGTTTCACATGTCTGATAAGGAAGCTTCTCTCAATCAGAAATGGTCCTCGTAACCAAATCAGTTTGTCCCCTCTTTGAGAGGTCATTCTCTTTGCCGTCGTTTGGACTTGGCAAATCTGGTTGGAAATTTGTTTTGCCTGTTCATAAAAAGAAATAATTTTGCCTAAAAATTGTTTGTTGTGAACGACACTGTATACTTTGGTTAGTAAATTCTTTAAATCCTGTCTTTATTGTCAACAACATTTTAAGGGTACTTGTCAAAATGAAGCTTCACACAGTAAGGTCAATACACTTCTGGGAGATCTAAATATGTGACATATTGGGGAAAGTTAGTTGGTATAATGTTATTGTTTCATTCAAGCCATTGTATGAAGTCGAACTGCAGGAAAAAAGCGCATATAGTTCTCATTTTCCTCCCAGCATTCAGTAATAAAGTCTAAAAAAAGAGATATTTTATTGAGTTTTCCACATTTTGCCTACGGTTATATCCAATTATTTTGTTGTTCACATTAATGCATATGATCGGCTGAAATTTTTTTTGGAAATGCGCCTATTATAAACATGTTTTCCTTATCTAATCGCACACATTGAATTGGCAGAATGGTAAAGTCGGATCAACGTTGTGTGCCTACACTTTGTTCACTTATTTAGAACATTCCATCACAAGTAGATGGAGGGCTGCGGTAGAGCAGTACACAATTTTAGAGACGTTACGATTTGATCCAGTAATATGAAGGAAAGGAAATATACCACTTGACTGAGACGGTGTATTTAATCAATTGTGAGCCAACAGGAACACGTTATCCCCTTTGCGGCCCAGGAGCCTTCCTAGGAGGGGCCGAGCTTCCTCTAAATAGGGGCCCGAGCCAATGTTCTGCTGCGAATATTTTGCAGTAGTTATTTATGCCGCTACAAAGGGTAAGGTTTTCACGGTCTAAGATGCTTCGAGACGTGGCTATAGCGCCTCGTAGTAGGAGCATTAAAATAGGAAGAGAAAAGACCTAAAGTGTGATGAATTAATTTATTAACGAATTATGTGCACTGAACAAAACGAGGGTTATTTTATAATTTATAAGTCAAGCAAACGATTGTTTAGCAATCGTGAGGGTATTTATGATAAAAACTACTACCACTGAGTGAGTATCTAAATGTGCAGAGAGATCTGCGCAATTTACGAAAGAGCTTTCAATTTCCTTTTTATCAGAGTGAAATCATGAAAATTTAAACACCCCTACGGTCAAGATGTCTACTTTGACATTCCTATGTTTAGAAATGGGGATTTGCCTTTGAGTCGCAAAGTAGTGCTTAAATCTTTAGCTAGTGAACAAAAAAACAGTTGTGACTTGTTTACCAGCCATTTAACGATAAATACGAAAACACATTTCCTACACCCCAAAATATTTATCTCTACTTAGTTATGAGGGAAGAACGCTTTTACCACCTCATAAGAGCAAGAAGGAATTTCACACTTACAGCGAGCCAAAAATTTGCCTTTTGCATGCATTTGAAAGTGGTTTAAAGTCTAGCAAGAAAAATGAAATTTTGGTTAAATCAAAGGCTGGTTTAATGGAAGCTGTTTTTATTGAAATGCTACAAGGAATTTGGATTCATAATTAAACAACATCCTAACCACCCACTTCCTTTTCCTCTACAATATTTGATGCCAATTTATAAATGCATACAATTGTAAAGATTTTGGACCATAGAAACACGTTGAAGCCAATGAAAATCCACCAAATGCGTGGTACTGCCGAATTGTTCCCCAGACTACTCTACGCAAGAGAGCATATCTGAGCTCAATATCTGCTCTGAAAGAAAAAATGAGCTAGGCAAAATGCTGAAATAGATGATAATTAGCCACATATTATGGACGCATAATAAATCAAGGCAAATTGCGTCAGGGCATCTCCAAGTTGATATTGATAGGAAAGTGGTGGAGATGGTGTTTATCCTCCACTTCACACAGTGAAGACGGTTGAATCCTTGCAGCCTTTCATCCCACCTAAACGGTGGCTTGTTTTCATCGATTCCAGGAGGAGAAATGAGATTTCTGTACGTTGCTCAAGAAAATATGTTGAGTTGGGGTCTGTCATCTAAAAAACCTTAATGAATGCTCTGTTCTTCAAATTGCCTCAGCAACAAAGCTGAATGTGAATTTTGATATGCATCGAAGGGTTCATCAAGACTGATCAACATTGGACGGTCACCTGAGGGTGGAAACGCAACCAGCGTATATCACGCTTGCGACGATGTGGGGGCCCCTTGTGCTGGTTCACTTTCCCTGCTTCCATTGGATTAAAAAGCCCGGCTACGCAGAGCAGCCATTTTATGTGTTTTATGTTCATTTTAAAAGACGTTTAAATTTACTTCAGAAAGTTGGGTTTAACAGAATCATGGGTTTTTTTTAGAAAGATTGCGCAATTATGGATGATTATTGCATGCCATTATAGAACCACGAAATAGAAAGTGTGTAATAAGAAGAGCCGCTTTTTTTGCTTATAAGGCGTATTTCGCTATCGTAGTTTAAATAAACCAAGCTCTTTCCAGTTCTGCTGACCTTATATTTCGCAGTCAGTCAAGCGAAGGCACATCCGCTCACGCTAAAGTGTAAACCTGAGCTGTGGAAGCCATTTAACTCTTACCTTGTCTTACCTGAGAAAAGGCGAAATTTTTCACCCAGTTGTAACCCACGCAAAGGAAAATTCTCTAAGGCCTAAAGTAATTGGAAACTAAAAGCATTCCCAGGTACTTAACATCTCGTTCCATGAGTACCTTTTCCAGTCTTTTGCACCCATAAATATCTTGTTACAAAGGTTCCCATTAAAACACATGCGCAGATAAAGTTTTACATCTAGCAGGTAAATACTGTACACCTATTCCCATTTTACTCTCTGTAGCACAAAGATTTAAAAGAGATGCTGGTATTCCGTACTTTTGTTCAGTAGTAAATATAACGTAGATTCGACGTAAACGACTGCTTAGCGCGTTCTATGAAGAGTTGGATTTAAATAGTCTATTAAGGACTCAGGCATTTCTTCTATAAACCTAGAGGTTTGGAAAGCTATGCTGTTATCTATTAGCCCTACTATGCATAAGACGAAAGAGCACCGACTTCACTGAAATGGCTCATATTTTGAAAATTTACCATGATTTCATCTTTTCCGACATTTATAGTTAATTGCCTCTATAAAAATATCTATCCTTAAAAATAACTTAACAAGCTTCACTTCCCTGACGTTGCCGACCATATGAATACGAAACTGAGGACTGGTTTATAAGCATAAGTTTTTGTAAGACCACTTCTCTGAGGGGTTTGCGATGTTCTGACCGGTCACACAAATCAGCATTTAAATCAGCGGTGATGGCGCTAATGGGAATCTCTTTAACACTCCTTTCACCTGTGGAGCCAAAAAAATCTCAGTGAATTATTAAAGTATGGTTTGATATATATCTATTAAAAATCCTGTAAATAGGCTAATGCAATTCCGATTTGTTTACGTTACCTAAGTAGTTAAACTTATGCGAGTCAGTGTAGGGCTGGTCGTCTGAAGATAAAATCTGTGGCAAACTAGAGGACATGATTTATCATTCCATTTTTTCTCAAACATTTCAGCCATGGTTTTATTATTTCAATAAAACTTGCTTGAAGTCCCTACCCTTAGCAAATTCAGATTAATGGCTTTGACTGGGAAAGTAGTTTTAGAACTCAATAATATACCCATCTCTAGTACCTCTGAAATGTTGCCATGATAATATGAACAGCTCTTGACTTGACTATCTAGTTTATCGACATGAGGTCTAAAGAAGGTAAAAACAGCCTAAGTTTAGGCGTGTTAAAGGTGCAGTGCCATCTGCAATCCATAAGATGACAATTTAAATGTAAATGCAATTTATTAGGTTTGATTGCAGCAATTTTTCAACGAAAAGCTTTTGTTGGAATTTGATGTAACACTAACAATTTTTCGTCTTATCCTAAACGCATAAGCCCAGCCTGGTGGCTTCATCTAATCCAGGAAGATGCATAATTAATTTCTCAGACCTAATACGCTTGTGGTTGTGTTTGGTGGGCTCAAAGGTCCCGTGTGTGCGTACGTCTCCTGAGGCTGGTAAAACTGCAGTTACTCGATATTATCCACTTTTAGAAAGGCAGAAATCTACGGGGACGAGTTACTGCAGTTACCTCATAACAGCTATGGTCTATCTCCTTGTCGTGTGCACTTTCCCCTTCTCTCTGCCATTCTGCATTAAGGTGAGCTTCTGTTAACTTCCAAGACAGATGCGCCCCCGTCGTGCATTTGCATTCAACCTGAATTATTCACACCCCAATGCGGTATCCTCGACAGCTTTTCCCTCCTTCTACCCTTCAATATCCAAAGTGGGTGATAAAGTAGAAGTTTTGCTTCACTTTGTCAAATAACTTTTTTGCTTAACGCCAGTTCAATAGCGTAAAGTTACGCATCCTAACCAACACTGGATTTCGCAGAGGGTGGCTCATTGCTTTCTCACTTCCCACTAAGCAGGCTACGGAAGTTCAGTTGATAGGTCATTTGAATTTATATAAAGTTCATTAAAATATTATACTTAGTAATAAGACTGTCTTGTAAAACATAAAAATTGTTAGGGTAAATACACAACCAGAGCAAATAGAAAGCAAACAGGTATTACCAAACGATTATGAGAAATTTATATCTTAGTAAAGAGAATTTCGTCATTCTCACTTGAGCGTGTACTACAAAACAGTTTTTTGCATTTTTGTTGCTAACGCTTTCATAATTACGGCCTGCGAAAGAACGCTCACCAATAGGTTTTACTTTCAGTTCGAGGAGTACTAAAACAGGAAATTAAAAATGTACAGATAACAACTGCATTGAATTGCTATTTTATCATCAATTTCTGTGTTTTAAATTTCTATCCGTATATAAATCAGTAGATAGTAAATTGAGGGGGAAGGATGGTACATGGTGGAAAGCGTGACCGCCGGACTACTACCGATGCTCGTCCCAAGGTGGCACAGATAAGTACTCAATTTTCCCGATTCGTGGACTTTGCTAGTAAAAATAAATGTAGAGATGTTGAATCTAGGCCCTAAGCAGACAGTTAGAAGTGATGTAAAAGGTCCTATTTAAAGATCCATTTCAAATTTACCCCAATGAAGGATTCATTATTTTGGTCGTTTTGGCAACAGTCCAACCTTATACTTTCCTGATCCAAAGTGTTATCCTTTACAAGAAATAGACTTATTTGTTAAGTCCGTGCAGAAGTATTAACTTTGTGATTTGCTACTTTTATGAACTGCTGCAATTTACGAGTATCCATGCAATTAATAAAAGCGCAGTGCTACGTGATCTTAGCTAGAGTCGCTCCACAATACGAACAGGCTATGGTAGCAAATGCAAAGCACCATCTTCAAAGTTAAGGAAACGGCACTATTCAGTTGCCCAGGCGCACCGATACAAATGTTCTCCTCTTCTTCAGGCATGGTTATTTTTCCGCTGCTAGAAAAACCCCAAATTTTCTGTTTCTAAACTGCTGGAAGCACAAATTGCACGTGGTCCTCAGGCGGAGGAAATGTGGCGCAAAAGGTTAGCAGAAACGAGTTTAAAGTGGAGACCACCTTAATGTCTACTCTACCGTTGAATAAGTGCATTGCAGATGGAAATTACAGGAAATAAGTTTGGAATAAAGATGCTAGAAATGGCATTGCCTTCAGGGAACCTGCATTATACTTATTTTCATGAATTATGATTAATTGTATATTGCACGGAACGTAAAGTCAAGGCAAAATAGCATAATCGTGTTAAATACCAACTGCGAGAAAGTTATAAAAGCTGCTTGAATCTATTTTAGTGTGCATCGTTAGGCAAGGTGATTTCTGAGGAGTTGACAGAGTGAAATATAGAATCCAAAATAAGTCATAAAATTTTTATGACAACAACATCGATGGCTAAAACGATATCTGTATGTATTGATACTCCTTTTAAACGTCCCATCTGTAGCAATAAACAAAGTCGAATCTTGAAACCCAAAGAATTTTTGAAGGCATCTTTTGTTACTTAACCCCCTCTTCTAAAAACACTTCTTCCAATTATGAGATAGAATTTTTATTCAACTGCCCAAACCGGAAGCAAACTATGCAAGCTGTCAGCCATTCCAAAGTTTTACCTATCCATCAGTTAGGAGTTATTTTGAAGTGCCTCCTTTTACATAAAATGAAGTAAGCTAAAAGGCACCATCGAAAATGCCGTCACTTAAAACAGCCCAAGATTTATAAACGAAATATGCCAAGAAGTTGTAGGTAGCCTACTATAAGGAGGATTTTCTTGCTGGTAAAAGTAAAAGAAACCTCTCAACAGCCATGAAGTCATTTTTATGACTCGGAGAAACAATGCCATGGCCGGTTTATGCTTATATTAAAACCGCTGCATTACAATGGACTTGGTCATCGACTCCTCTTTAGATAACGAGAGCTATAAGATCAGCGCAGTGTGCCAGTCCATTTTTCAACTGCGAATTTCTCCACCACGTGGAGATGGTTGCATGTCATGTACAATTTTGTTGGCTACTGTATAGATCTCAGTTTTTCAAAAGATGATGCCAAAAATATCATGAAAACAACTAATTTAACGCCACAGTCTCCCATCCCAACGGCTAATTTCTCGGTCTGATAAAAGTGACGGTGAAGTAGGGAAGCATTGGTTGGTAGTAAATAATTCATTGCACTACGTTAAAAAACTCTTATTTTTCACAGGTAACTAAAAAACCATCATAAAATCAGGGAAATTCATTTAGTTTATTGGAATTTGTCAATTAGAGACCTTTAGATATTACTCAGTCTCACACCAGAGTACTTTTTAGCATTTGACAAAGCCTTTTAGCTAAGATTTTAACTTGATTTAAAAAATTATTATCCGTGGGTAGCATTAGCTGTATCAGAAGGCAAATAAGCAAATTCAGTTCTTTGTGTTTTATCGCATTGCATTCTATTAGCTACTAAGAGAACGTGCTTCTAAGAACTATTAAAGCGTTATTAAATAAAGTAATTAAAGCCTTCGAATTTCAAGGACAGTTTATGTGGACAAAATTTACTTCCGCCAAAATCACCCCAAAATGGGCTTGCAGTAGGTTAGTGCCTTCCTGCTTGTCCGTATAGCTTTAACTCGGTTTGTGTAAATACGGTATGAAATGTATTAATGATGTGAAAATCCAACTGACTCGACAGGTGTCAGCAGCTTTTACGCTCCCTCCATCACTAATGCGATGCGTTGAGAACCGGAATCTGCCATAAATAAGCAGGGAATCCTACAGAAAACTTTAGTTGAATTTCCTGTGCTTTCTCCTTTGACAGATATTTAAAATATTATGGAACTTTTCAATGATGTTGACTCGTGGTTAAAGATGTCTGCAATTAATTTTAACAAAAGTTGGCGATGCAGTGGTTTTTATTTGAATACATGAGAAATTTTTCCCTTGAAAGACGCAAAATGATTCTCTTCTGCAATTTTTGCAAGTAAACAATTCATTGTGGTCCACAGATGTGAATTTAATATCTGCATTATGCAATTTTAGAATCCGAGTTACTTAAGAAACTAAAAAGAGGTCTACAATTTTGAGTAGCATATCCACGTCGCATACCACCAATGTGAAGGCTGAAGTATACAATCAAGGCAGACAAAATTTTACCACACGACGCGAACTTGCGGACACTTTGTTCCTTGAATTAAGTCTAAATAATATGTACATGCAGCGGTGGCAGCCACAAAGCGGTCTAAAGGGGAAGTGATTGTAGAAAAGGACCTATAAGCGCTTCTCTATTGATGGGCTAGACACGTTTCTGAGATGGGAGTCTGATTTTAAGTACCATGGACGTCATCCATGGGAGCCCTGGGGGAAATGGACAGATTTATATGCATATACACAGACTATGCGGTAATAAGCCAGGTGGGTGGAGTAGGGTCTCCTGGAAAATCCTCCAATTATTTGATAAAATGTGAATGCCTTTAAAACATAGCAAAGGCATGTGATAAAGAGAATAGAGGGAAAATCCCGTAATGCGCAAATATCTTTTTACTCACTAAGGAGGGTCCACAATTAAAGCTATTTTTTATTGAGGCCTTAATATCATGAAAGAAAAAGTTTTTTAGAACACGAATGCAATGCTTTTCCGTCCACAGAATTTTGCTTCAATCTTTACGGATTGTCGATAATTAATGCTTCCGGAAATTCTTGAAATAAACTTCATCATTGCTAAAATAAGTGGACATTTTGAAGAAAACACATTAAACTTTGCTCAATTTACTGATCTTAAGTTCAGAGGTGATAAGTCTTGCATATTTGGTTTGGGACTTTTGAGATGTTGCTGCTTGAGGAACACTAAAATAATGGACGTATGCAACAGTGGTGACTAAATAGCAGTCTGTAGGATTCGAGGGGGCGATGAAGTAGCTAAGATTTATTTTTCACCCTTGTGGGTGCAGGTGATTGCAGAGTACGAGCGCGCAGTGATCTTTCGGTTGGGCCGAATCAGGCCGGATGGTGCTAAGGGTCCCGGCCTCTTCTTCGTTCTTCCTTGTCTGGATCGTCTGCGCAAGGTCGACCTTCGCACCGTCACCTTCGATGTCCCACCGCAAGAGGTACGTAGTCACCGCACTTTCTGACCATATATTACAGCATATAGGCACGTGGACTTATTAAGTGTGAACTGAAGTAAGACGTAGTTTATACCTTCCATTTCCGCAGTGTGCATTTATTAATGCACTTCCATGCGAACACACGGCAACTTTAAACACTTTCATTCGTATTTTAGCATCAAACGCTAAAGGTGCTTGGCTAATACTATGCATAGTGTTGAGTTTGTAATTCATTTAAAAAAAAATTTAAGCAGACTATATTTTAAGGGCCAAACACGTTTAAACTTACCAGGTTGAAAAAGACTAGGTTTAAGAAGGGTCAAACTGCTAAATGAACAATTTTAATGAAGAATTTAAAGTGCTAAAGGCACTTGATGGGTGTTCAGGAGTTCCATGAGTCATGACAATGGGAAGTCGCTTCCTTCAATGAAGCGTAGCGTTAACGGTCCTGCTCAAATTTGTAATAGAGTTCCTCGACTGTCAGAATTAAATTGGCGCTCAAAATTCATTCCATTTATGGCTAAAGAATAGGACTTAAATTTTTTTGCGACATTAATAAAAGTGCAACTAGTGACGGGGAATGAAATGAATTAGTTGGGAATAAATGGATTCACATAATGAAAACGGTACAGAGTTTCAGAATAGGTCGAAAAAATATTTCTTTAACATGTTGTAAAAATTTTTAACATCACAATTAAATGTTTGCATCAGTGAATTGGAGTTAAAGGTTATTCAAGAAATGTACGTATTACTTAAAGGGGAAAAGTAAAATCTTGCCATAGAAGCAGAAAAAGTTTTACCCAAGGTCAGGCAGACAAATCATTCTTAATTTCCCTTCAAATTTATTTTAAGCGTTGGATCGCAAGAAAGTTTCTTCATTTGCAGCCCTAGTATCTTGCCACCAGTCATGCTTTATGTTAATGTAGGTTACCAAATGTTATTGCGATTTACATGAGAAGGTTCAAAGGGCGTCGATTTCCCCATTCCTGGCTTTATTCCTACACAATATAGTTATGTACCCCTTTAAAATGTGTTAAATCTGAATGTTCCCTATGATAATACTGCGTTATGAGGTAGAGATAAAATGTCTTATAATTACAGCTCTTTATTTGACTTACTGGGTTGGTTGTTTAAAGACTTTTTTAAAAATTGCCCCTTAACCGCGCATAAAACTCAGGTATGATATCATAAATCGTTTCTGAGGAGAAATTCTTTTGCGTTTAATTTTCTTATTAGTATAAGAGATATCAAAACGTCTATTTGTATGGTTTGACCAATAGTACACAATTGGGTTGTATTGAAATCCGAGTAGATGCAACATAACCTTTCGAAGCGTTTCTGTAGGACGCTGAATAAGTTCATGGGCCAGTAGGATCATGGGGGAAGGGACAAAGCCTAAATTGGGTATCTGAGGAGGCATTTCCATTCGTCTGTTATCATAAGGGCAGGAGCTAGATTGATGATGCCCGAGAAGATGGGTATGAGGGAACCCAACAATGTGTACAAGATTTCTTTATACGACGCTTCTCCAGAGATTCGAGGGCAGTAAGTTGGGTCATATCAGGCACAATTAATTTTACATACCTTGGGATTAATATTAAACACCTAATGATATGGACAACATGGTTATTTTTAATATGATTTGGAAAAAATAGTCACGATGCAAGATACAGACATGAAACCGTCTGCTAAGATATGCGCTCAATACATTATACAGATTAATCAACGTGGTTTTCTTAATTAAAAACTAAAATTTTTCGTTCCTCTCAATTTCAGTCTAATTTAACGCACAATGGAAAACCCAAACTGTTTTTACAGACTCGATATCACGACTCGATTAACAACTTTGTGTCGCCTAAGAGACACGCATTCGCCCTCTATTCATAGACTGCGATGGAACTACTTTCCTGTCATAAGACGATTAAATTAACAAACTTTGATATGGACAAGGTTGATTATTTAAGAAAGATAATATCTAGTATTACGGTGCCTCGTTCTGATACAGCGTTCACGTTGTCTTTAAGTATCTCTGTAAAGGTGTTGGAAGTCAGACACCCTGTTGATTAGAAGAAATGTGCTGGTGGTTATCCGATTTGATCGCTACGGTCGCAATTTTGCAGGTGCTAACAAAAGACTCAGTGACAGTGGCGGTGGACGCCGTAGTGTATTACCGCATTTATAACCCCATCGTAGCAGTGACCAACGTGGAGGATGCGGATCGGTCTACGCGTCTGCTAGCAGCCACCACCCTCCGCAACGTTCTTGGCACCAAAAGCCTCTCCGAGATCCTCTCCGAGAGGGAGTCCATTTCGACCTCCATGCAGGTATGCCTTCACCCTCCCCTTCTTTTCTTCATTCTCACACCATCAACTAGTTAATAATATTGCGGATTTAAAGTAGTTGCACCTTATGGTGCATTTAAATTTGAAGCTTTTTGAGTATTTTCCTTTTTGGTTTAAGAAAAAACGTTTAAGGACTATTGCTGTGATGTCAGATATAAGCTTGAAGTCAGTTGTTTTGTTTGTTGATCATAAGCCTATTTAGAAACCCGTAAACTATCCCATATATTCTGTGGGAAGAATTAATCTTCCCTTTTTGGTTAAGAAATTCCGTTACGAATGATTGAATGAGGATAGAGAAGTGGGTATACTAAGTAAAATATTCCCTCCTTATTTACAATGACGACAAAAATAGTCAGCACGAGCGAAAATCATGGAGCAGTTTGAGCCATTGTCAGACAAATATGCAACACTAAGTGGACGATGGTACAACTACTAACATTGCAAAAACGAAATAATATTGACTTAATGCTTACCAAGGTCTGCTAAGAGAGAAGATGGAATTTGGTATTTTAAAAAGTTTCTGTCACACAACTTTGAGTATTTAAGGCAAAGAAAATACTCTCTGACTGCACAAGATTTGATTTAAAGAATTAAAATTTCTACACAGGTTTCGCTAATAAGGATAGGTAACTGTCTTAATTCTCTATTCCGAAAATAGGTTTTTATTTAAGGCATCGAAGCAGACACGCAAATGTATTATGTTATTTCCAGTGGTTGTCTTATCTGACAATGAAAAAGTTGTCATAATTCTTAAAAGCATTCGAATTCACTTTCATCTGATCGTCTTCTTTGACCCTACCGCCGCTGATTCAGTGAAGAGATTTAATCCTGTTCGTTTAGCTGCTCTTATGCTTATCTAGGCAATAACCTGAGAACATATAGCCATTAAAACTGTTGACATAAATCATACGGAGGATTTTTCAATCTAACGTTCCTTGCTATCAGCCTAAAAAGGAAATATTCACTCCGTTGAAAAGTGGATAGTACCAAATAATTGCTTATGTCCTGCATTCTAGAAATTTCTTACCTAGCTGCATTCAATTTCAGACGATGCTGGACGATGCAACACAACCATGGGGCGTCAAAGTGGAGCGTGTCGAAGTGTGAGTGATCATTTAATTGCCTAACACTGTCCGATGAATATTTTGCGCCATTCTTCGAAAATGGCTTATCCATGAAGGCCCTTAAAATAGTCCATGTAGAATAAGTAGTCAGTGGACATACCTTGTGTATAATTACACTAAAATATTTTCCGCAGTTTAATTGGAAACCCGTACTTCCAAATTGTATGGTTTAAAATAATTAAGAGGCTGTGCTATTTCAATTCTAACCCGTTTCTTGGAATAGATCACCTTCAAAATTGTTCAAGTATTTTTTAAAAAATTCTTTGCATCTCCCTACCTGAATGCCTCAAAAGCATAAATTTTTCTAGCTGATCTAAGTGATTACAGGGTCCTGGACGGGAAAAAAGTGTAAGCAAGTTCACTATCGTGACTAGTTAACTATGCTCACGCAACTACCATCGTAGAAGGTAGTGAAAAAGTATTACTTTGCTTCGTTTGATGTTTACTTCAGAAAGGACGTCCGACTGCCGTTGCAGTTACAGAGAACAATGGCCGCAGAAGCCGAAGCCACGCGTGAAGCTCAAGCAAAGGTAAGCCGGCTTTCTTGCACCCCCAGCTCATCTGGCGATATGTGATTTAATTTACAAATTAAAGTGCCCACTTTGATTCGTCTTAGTGCCTTTGCCTATATGCTAGGAAAAGACAGCACCACGGACGAAAGAGTGAATCCCGATCACGGCCAAAAAACTTTCTTGCAAATGGTTAAACGCAAGAGATCAGCAATGGATACTAAGCATTTGAGATTTTAATTGGATTGTTCCTGATATTCTGGCTAGGGGAGCCTTGCAGGAAGACCAAGATACTTTAAGGCTCAAATTATCAATTTATATGAAATCGGCAAGTGCTCATGGTCAAAGCATTAATTACGCATCTTTGTTAAAGAAGTGTTTGCCTCGGGATCCATGCGCATGTATTTTCCGAGTAGACAAATTGATGCTTAAAGCAAATTAAACACACAGTCAATGTCGTAAAAAGCAAATAAAACCATAAATTTAAAGTGTTTGGGTCAAAATTAAGGAGTAGTATAATTTAAAGGAGTTTTATATGTCAGTTTGTTGGCTAAAAGCACCAAAAGTGCACACACACAATATGTATGAATACATTGGCGAAGTCGTCATTGACTTACCTCGATTACTTACTAAATAAGGTATATCAAACCGAAAGTCGTCAATGGAAACTACTCATTTCATTCAACATGAAAGACATTATGAATGTAACAAACATAAGGTTCGGTAATCTAATATGGTTATTTTCTAATAAGTGCTGAAGCTTGCAAATAAGTTTAAGACGTAAAATGGCTAAATTTTCTGGTAGGATGGAAAGTACTGGTCACGTCACAGCCTGGAGCATTCAAATATCTACCCACAAAACTGTGGTTGGCAGTCACAGAAAAAATGGAGTAATTTTGTTGTGCTATTTTAAGCGCACATTTTAGCACTGGTAACGGGCTGTCTTCTTATATTTAAAACGTCAACTGACAATGCTGAAAAATGCATCGGTTTTAATCCAACTAAGAACGAGTGTCATGGTTAGAAGTATTTTGCAACAGTGTTGTGCATGGGAGGGTCGGATTAACATGATGCAATACAAGTCAGGTGAACTAAGCACCACGGGCGCTAATACCTCATCATCCTCCCACTAGGTGTCGGTTCTCCAATGACCACAACACGATTAATTCCGAAAGCTAAATTATGGCATTAAAGTGACGGCTAGAACAGCGTTGAAAGGCGGCACCTCAATGTAATGGACACATATTCTGTTTATTATAGTCAGTAAAAACGTGTCCATACTTTTACAGGCGTAAATATTTAAGGGTTATGGGGTTTTAATGGTGTGTAATTGGACAAAAATGAATGAAGTAAGCGGTTCATTAGAATGATTTTTAAAGCCATAGGTCTGATTTGCTTTTAACTTAAATTCAGTAATCCAGTCTTCCTTTTTTATGCAAAAAAATGTCTGTGATTTAGGCTACAAACTACTTTTAATGTTTCAAGGCAGCCTAAAAAGCATGGCAAAGTCAAGATCTTTTAATTGAATAATGAATTCTATGAAGAGGATCTTTTAAACGCCCAGCCGTTCTAGGCCAACAGGATAGTATCAACTGGGATAAGGTGGGAAACGCCGAGTCATCTAGTCATTTATTTTATAAAGCTTTTTGCTTATATGTTTTTTATTCTATGTTTATCTCTCTTAAAGGTAATCAAAATATGTCTTGCATAAAAGTCAAGTTAATTTAACGAGTCCCATTTTAAAGGTTTTCCGCATACCTGTTCCAGGTAGTTGTACGAAACAGTCTAGGCGTGGCACTGTCTTGTCCATCGGAAGATCAAAAAGAACTACGAGAAAGCGTTTTTCTTTTTAGCCAACGAAGCTCACAATTTTTATCTAAAAAACATTATGGAATTTTTAAGTGTGCTACTCTTGCCCACAGACATATGTAAATGCTTTTGGTGAACGGGGCTTTACTACTGCCTCGAAAGTCTGAAGATGTTTGCGCAGATAAAGTGAGATGAAAACTCATTCATGCCCAATAAAATGTAAGCAGTTGCTGGCCAAGCAGATCTCTTCGTAAGGGGAGATGGATAAAGCTTGCACAATTATTTGTCCCGTCACCAGAGAACTGAGGCTCAAGAGATCTGATGTGGCACTAAAATGTGCGCGTATTTTGGTGTCCTGTGGAACTGCCCAAACAAAACTAGATAATAGTAGACACTTTTGGCTGCAAAACACGGTTGACAAAATGCCGAAGCATGGCGTTTACCAAAATTTTCGGTCAAACATTTGGACAACGATTTTGCGTTATCAAAAACACTTTTTGACTAATAAATCCCGAAACCTAATTTTCGGAGTTTGTACAATCAATATTTGCCAATTTCGCCTAATATCAGTTTATTTTATTGTGATTTTATAACCAAAGCAAAACAAATTGTAACAATTAAAATGCTGTCCTCCCATTAGTTTTCGTTTTTCAATATCAGTTCCTAAAAGTAGTGCTCTTCAGGTCTTCGGCAAACGACTTCTCCCATTTAGAAATTTTTGTCAATTTACATTGCTACAACAATTCAGTTGTCGTTTCACAAACGAGTTCCATGCAAGATTCCATAATATTATCCAATTAGATTTCACCGGAAGTCAACACAGCATGGACTGGCTTAAAATTGAGTTTAGTCTGAATTAGCGAAACTTCCAACTTTTTCTGCACAAAACCCCAAAAGTGTCCTCAGAATTTGGCTTTCAGACATAACTGCAGTGAACGTGGGGAGATCCCTTTTGATTTAATTAAACAAAGTCAATCTCTCTCTATTGAAAACAATGGAGACAACAGTAAACAACAATTTCTGCAAAAATTGTAACGGTTTCCGCATTTACTGGGTCGCATGAGTCATCAAAAGCATTTTAAATGAGTTTATACCATCCATGCTCACAACTCAGCAAAACATCCTAAAGTTAATGCAATTTACTCTTCATAAGTGGTTGCTTGAAAATTTGTTTTGTTTAGCTTTCACACACACATCTTCGTTCTTCCTTGGAAAAAAGTGTAGGGCATACCAACGACACACCGTGACTGTGATCCGCACTGCTTCGCTTGCGCCGTTTCATTTCAAACTTTGTGTTTGTTTTTTTTTTTTGGATTATTTTCTAAACAATAAGAAAGAATTTGCAGCTATGACTAGCGCTCCATTGTTAACAACATTTTACGAAAAAATCATTTCGGAGACAGGAGGCATTCGGACTTGTGTATAGTTACTTGTGATTTTTAAAGAATGAAACCTTAAACAATATGTGATTTGAATCACATCCAAGTAATAAAAAACCCAAGGTCAAATACTAGTGTCTAGAAATTCGTGTTCTCAGACTAGTGACTTATTCGGATGCTGACAACTCATCCCCACTTGGTTGCAGAAACCATTATAGTGGCAAATGAACTCCAAATACTCAATTAAAAGACAATGCCTCCTGTATCATTTCTCGCAAAAAAAGATACGGCGGCAAAATAGTTTTAAATAGTCTACATTGTTTGGAAGCTTTAGCAATGTTCAAATTATTTTAAAAGGAGTTTAAGACGCCATTCATCCTTTAATTATAGTAGCCAAAAGCTTAATTCCTAAATACGTTGGGTTATTGTTAGCATAAGTAGATTTTTAGGAGGGTAGACGGATAGCTAAGTGAATGCATAAGTCTGTGAATTAAATGTTAGATAACTGAAAAAGAAGTGGTTAAAATAATGCCTGCTTAAATTAATAGTTGAAACGACGGACGTTTGATTAATAGGTGATAGCGGCAGAGGGTGAGAAGCGCTCCTCAGCAGCTCTGAAGGAGGCAGCGGACGTGTTGATGGACTCACCACTGGCTCTTCACTTGCGCTATCTACAAACTCTCAATGCAATTTCCGCGGAGAAAAACTCCACAATCATCTTCCCCCTGCCTCTAGGGCTGATCCGGAGTTTTCTAAGGAGAGAATAGCTTGTCTATCTCTTTTTCGGCTTCTATGAGGCAAGTTCCCTTCTTCCTCTCTCCACGTAACCTGGATAAATTTCAACATCCATAGAGCCCGCATACCTTTGATGACAGGCCTGACTTGAGTCCGTGAGTAAAGTTATGGCTATAGCACAGTAGAAACGGAGGCATAAAGTGATAGCGACATAAAAAAAGCCATAGACAGTGTGCAAAGCTGTATGTATTTAAAAGAATTCAACACATAGATAATGAGAAAAATAAGAATTAAGATTAATACAAATAAATTTTAACATCACTGGCTATGAGAATGGGCCCTAAATACATTTTTCATGCAGAGGAATCTGAAATTACAACTTCAGTGGCTCGGTAGGTAGTAACATGTTACATTTAAAAAACAGGAGTCTAGCGTACGACTTTAGGCTTAAAAAAGTGTTTTTTGCAACCGTTTGTATATAAAAAGTGGATTCCCCCACTGAACAAAATGGGTGCCAGACAAATCAGGACTTAAAACTAGACGAGATTTTCACAAGCCTATAGACATCTCGGACAGACTACGTAAGCGATTATGCATTGGCAATAAGTTGATCTCATAGACAAACTTTTATGCCACATGCAACATTAAATCTGGTTTTGTAAAACATTCTGTTATATGGTTTACATATATTTTATAAGAAAATATTCATAGAGTCGCGTTTTATTCTTAGAGGAAATGTGATTTTCTAAAAAAATTTTTAGGCAGATGATTTATTGTGTGTTAGGGGAAAGGGAAACGCGATTTCAGTTCCGCGAAAGAAATGTTTAGGCCCATAATCAGAATTTGCCAATTTTGTGAATTTTACAACCAAGGAGGAGATTGTTAGCCCAAAACGGAAATCCCACATCAACTCTTCCGGAAGGATTGTTTCAACCCTAACCAAAACTTTGTTGACATTACTTGCACTACTTAGTAATAATTCAAGTTCTGAAGTGTTCAAAGTATATTCATGCATTCTGTATACCTTGGATATGATAAAATAAAATATTGAGCAGTGAGTTCTCTACTTTCCCTATTTTTAGGGGCATTATTAAGAAATTGCTAAAGTTTGTGAATAATACAGCGGTAATTGTGATTTGTACGAGGTTTCACATCCTGTGATAAATGCATGACCTTTTAAATTGACTAGATTGTACACTTAGGAGGTACAAGAGGAACTAACTTTGCATAGATTTTGTCCTTACATCCTGCTAAACGGTATGGTTATCGTGAATACAAAACGGGCATAAGTAATAACACCTTTGGGCATGCAAAAATCTGAATAACAGTAAAGCATCTGTACGATTTTTAAGTTTTAAAAGTAGTAAAGAAAGACCTGCGATAGCTTCACTATTGCGTAGACTTATTATGCAACAAAATTTACCACTTACCGGCCAAGAAACTGCAGAGTTTTGCCAAGCCCGGATATTAAGTACAGTTCTGCATGCGGCAATCTACATGACTGAGAGAAAAAATTGAGCGAGAGGCTCTAGGCGTAATTATTGCAGGCGATTGCCTGAACTTAAGTGGAAATATAGAGAAAACGAAACAGTAGCGGGACACTAATTGAAAGATCCTGCATTGAATTACATAGAATATGGGTGACCAAAAAAGGACGCACACTGACGCTGCATGGTCAAAAAGGGTTCGAGCAACACCCTGGGGTGTCGAACACTTCCTCTGCTGATATCCTTTAGTTTTGCGCTGAAAAATACTTACTTAATTATAAAAGAGGGAGTCATGAACATGTTAAGTATTCCTGACGTTAAGCATCTTATTTGGTGTCATGAAAACATGGTTACGCTGAGTTTTTTTGGTACAGTTTAACTAGGGATAATCTGCAAGATAACTCCACTAAGATGTATAGATCTTGCATTTGATTTGTCCTAGTTTCATAAACTCATTAAAACACTTCCAGACTAAAAGTTTAAATTCTATTCGTTACACATTTTTGCACCCAAGTTTTCCTGCTTTTCTTTCCCATCAATTTTCCAATGATAATTCAAAGGCGCTGAACAGTGCTGAATCAAACATTTCATTTTAGCTCACCGTAAACTTAAAAAGACATTAAGGTAGTCTTCAAGCAAAACGCAGCATTTATCAAAATATCCAGGTTGGACACATTAGAACTTTGACAAAAATCTTGCTAAAAGTTGATGGATGTATTCGAACGCATGTGGTTTTTGTCATTTAAGTTGAAAGCGAAAACTGAAGATATACTATCAAAGCAAGCGATTGGTAGCTTATTTCCTTTTATTTCTCTTTTAGGAAAAAGTGCAATGTAAAGACCAAGGGGTTGCTCATCAAATCTACTCACTGCACAGCCAGAAGAAGCGAATGGCATTTTATAACTTGGATTATGTCAATAAGGTCAATTCGTCCATTCTTCCTTACCTAAAATCGGCTTCTCAACTGAACTGACTCGCCTGTTCATTATCCGTTAATTGTTGTATTTGAAATTATTTGAACTCTTTTCACCCTTATAACTTCCTTAAGATTATTTTTAAAAACTCTATTGTTCATGGACCTTAACGTTGGGTGCATAATGTAAGGACAATCTTATCGCAGATTCAAAAATCACGACTGCCCTGTAATGTAGGCACTGACGCATACCAACGTTTTTGCTGTCAATGCCATACTAATCATCCACTATCCTTATAGGCTAAAATTCAGCGATTTGTCTAATTCGGGCACCTCTTGTCCGTCACTTCCACAGTAGAATGAAAAACGGTGTTGGTGGGAATAATGGGTTTTCGAACTCAGTTGGTTCTGCGAAAGAAATTTCGCCAACTTTGATGAACACTAAATATAATTGTTAACAGAATGCTGCTACCTAATAATTCCTAGAGCCCAAATGACTGCGGGCCTCTTATATCATCCCACAACCTACTACCTTCACGTCTCTTAGGCATATATCATACATTCTCATAAAACATTTGCGTTAATTTATCGATACCATTGAGTCAATGGGACGGAGGTTTGCCATTCACCTATTTGGTGAGTTTGAGTGAGTAATTTTTAACTACTAAATAGTTTTCGCGTACTTGTACCTGATGTTATGAAAGTATCTAAATTACGGTATTATAACTATTACATGCTGAATATTTTGTAGTTGTTGAACTCCTCGAACGCAATACTGAACAGTGCCTCAAAATCACGTAGATGTACCATTTCAAATTCCGCAAACATACATTTGAGCAGAAATATGCATCAAATCCTCATCCCAAAATTGAAGTCCAAGCTGCTACTGAAAGATATTGTATGCATTTCCTCTAACAGTACTGTGTGGTAAGCAAGACACCAATTGTATTTATTTCAGTTGAAGTCAGAAGATGTTTCAATGCTGCAGTTAAAAGACGTTTCAAGCAAAATAATTTGTATTCACTATTCCCGTAAAATTGTTTGAATTTAGGTATTCGATGAGGACTACTGCTAAAATTAATAAATGTATATTGGAACCCAAATATAAGCACAAACATCCTCTGAAACCAGATAAATGTAAAAATCGGTTGTGAGAAAGTCACTATTCCGCTTTATGAAATTGTGGATTTATTAAAAAAATTAAGTAATAGAATGAGATAGGTTTAGTATCTTTTGTCGCTTTCTGCTGGACCTATACAAAGTGGCATTTTGCGGACAGATGTATCGACAGGAACTTCAAGTACAAATCACCTAAAGATGGAGAAGTCGTGTATGGAAAGGATGGGTTTTAATACGCTAGTTCAAACAAGACAGTAACATAACAAATTCTTTTATTGGTCTACCTTCCTGTTCGTGTTTTAATTTCTAATTAATTAGCATAAATAGTTTAGTTTACCAAGAGACCTCCTTTATCTTTCGAGATTGGCTTGCAACTTTGCTTCCTGTATAATTCTACACCAAGGGTTTCGCTTTACAGTTCGTTCACTTGAAAACCACTCCTTTATCTAAATCGACTTTCTGTAGTGTCATCTCTCTCCCCTCAATACTTACTTTGGTTTTCGCCATCAGAGTTATGAACACTTTTTCGGCTATGCCGTTCTTATGAGGTAGCTTTAAACAAGGCTTATTTTGTGACCGACTGAAAGTATTTAGCCCTATCCATCGCTACCTACTTTTTTCCCACGCTACTAATGACGGAAAATCACGAAAAGCGGGCGACGCTACAACGGTAACTTAGATGTGTGAACCTCGAGAACTCGACGGCTTGTGTTCAAGCAAGTATTAGCGATCCTTACTGAAGCTACGTTAGATGCCGCGCAGACAAAATTATCAGGCAAAGTAAAAAACGATTTTACCTATGTTTGCCTTACGTATGAATGAAACCAAAAGCCCTAAATCGACTCTGTAGAATTGGCCGGAGTGTTCAATCTCAAGCGTTGTGGACAAATGCAAAGTATTGAGGATGGACCGTGCTACTTTTAGAAATATTAGTACTGAATATTAAATGAGGTATTGTGCAAGTTGCTTGGGTGCGATTGAATATAGATGGTCAAGTAATTTCTTATCCGAAATTTTGTGCACAGACATTCTGTACACTTGCACAATCAAGTTTCTTACGGTGATTGCGTCCTTTTATATTCTGTCATTTTGATTTTGAACGTTTTTAGATAGTCTATAAAGCCACTCGGTAAGGATTTGAGCTAGTTTTGATTACGAGAGCTATTCGAAATTTAGTTAAACTACCCACATATACCTGCTTAAATATTGTTAAAATATGTGCCCGCCTTGCTCTTTCATCTAGTGGTGTTATTCGAAGGTCACAACTTCTAGTTTTCGTGGAAGCAAATAAAGCCATCAGCGTGCATAAGTCAGTTCCCGATCAGATCCTCTCATTGTCTCGTGCTGTAGGCGGATATATAACATAAAATTCGTACCTTATGTCTGTTAGCATCCATTGAAGATCCTCGCAGAAATCGTCAGTACAGTTTCAGTGGAGACAAATGTGGTTGTGTTTACACTAGGAAACGAGACAAATAGTAGCCCACTTTTATTTATTTCTTCTATGATTCCTTAATCAACTTATTTGAAGGTGGTTGCGCGATCTATCGCTCCTTCCTTTAAATTCTCAAATGTCTAGAAAGTAAATATGGTTTCTGAACACAAAATTATAAGGTCACCTATTGTCACAAAACAACGAGCAATTTATGTTTAGTTCTTATATTTCTTAGAAGCAAATTGCGTCTAAATAGGTTCCAGTTGCAGTGGAGTTTTTCCTTTGTCGTCACATTTCCAGTTGCAGATGAGTATGAGAATGGCAAAACAAAGTTTTGCATTCGGTTCGAATATACTGGTAATGCATTCCTCAAGAGTGTTAAATAAATATACACAAGTTTGTATTATGCACGCAATAACTTGACAACGCATTCCGTAATAGCCCATTACAGAAGAGATTAACATTCAGTTTACTTATTTAACTTATTCTGCATTAGCATTGTCTCAGTCGCATAAGCGATGGTGGTAGTTGGTTTTTCCTAATTTCTTACAAAAGAAGAAAATACTGGTATTTACATCTAGACACTTACGCCTATTTGCCGCTTCGTTTCCAAAGTGCTGTCGGCAGCTTTTTTCAAATGCGTTTAATTCAAATGGTTAGTAAATCCCTTCTTAGTCGTTTCTGTGACAGTCGGCACATCACCAAACACACAGGTGACTTTAAACCAAAAATTGACGCAAGTTATTAAGTAGAATGTGAGGATTTTATCATTCCACAGTTATTGTTTTCCATCTCCACTGCTTACACCGCTTTAACCTTCATGAGACCCCTCCGCAATGGTTTTATTCATCTCCTTGACGCAAATCATCAACCTTGAAAGTGTAATCATGAAGCAGAACTCCCGACGGTTTAAATGACCATAGTCTCAAATATAAACACATCTACTGGTAGGCCTTGCCAGAAAGTGGCGAAAAGTGGCTTCGTGAGTAAGTGATTATCAATATGCAACATCTACCGATTGTCGCCTCGGATACGTTTCGTGCGAAAGACGGTTAGGAATGAAAAAATCTCCAACAGCTTGCCATTTGCCAAAAAGCCATATCACTATTACAAAGTGTTTTGTTATAATTTGCCTTTTTATTAACTTCCATTTTGTCGCAGAATAGTTCTCAATATCGCAGTCTAAATTGTAAGGTTTGAAAAAGCTCCAAATTGGAAGAATATCTCTTTGGTTATATGAACATATGTTTTGAATGGTATCTCTTACCAATCACTTATTACTTTTAGCCTGCTGGTGCCTACAATTGCTAAAGTAGTGTAACGAAAGTCAAAATTTACCTTGATGAAAAGTAAAAAGACCTTCGACGCCAAAATCGCCTTAATTATTGTTTGCCACTTTGAAGCCTATTTTAGGCAACGCATTGTTAGCAGACAAATTCTTTATTTTTTTTCGAAATTTTTTGATGTAAATTAAATCACACAATAAAATCCTATGACTGTACCTCTACTCATTCCTACTATCCCAAAAAACAGCTTAAAGGAAGTTCCCAATGGTATAAGGCAATAACTCATTGCTTCTGAGTTCGAAGAATCGGTTCTAGCCTTTTCATAGCATTTTTACCAATCTTAAGCACTTCTGCCCATCTATCGCTTGCTCCAATAAGTAAGCAATGATACACCTATGACCAAAACGAAACAAATTTGTCACATACTTGTATTTCTGAGTAGGATAGAGCAGAGCAGAGCCTAACAGAGCCAGCGAAGAAACTAGCACTTTTGTTTTTCAGAAATCTTACCCTAGCTATCTTCTGTAAAGTCAGAAAAAACTCCTGTAATCTGCCTGGGGTACCTTTTTTTGCCATTATCACCTGCAACGATGGGAAGGTAGCTGACAACACAATAGGAAATTTTAAAAACTAAAGGCAGTTAAGATGATGGAAAAGGCTCAGTTTTAGCTCTGCCGAAGTCTCTATTATTTTAAATGTTGAATTATCTTTGGTTGCGAAAGCTTTTGAGGTCGGGAGAGCCACGGAATACACCCTCACCACTAAATATAGAATCTTTGAATCAATGCGGTAGCATATATTTAAAAATGAATATACTATCTCAGGGGTTTAGACGCCTATACCTTAGCAGTATTTGTTACGTGTTTGAGAGAGTTTCCACTATGCCTTCAAAATACTCGGTGTCTGGTGTGAATAGCGTCATGGCAAAATGCGTGGTGAAAAAGTATGGAGACGCCTTAGAACCGGCGCAGACCTTATTTATTATTGTTTTACGGTGTTCATCTTCAGAGATTTTAAATAAAGAGCAGATATTTTGTTTCCACTGATTCAAAGCTTATTTTTAGTATCGGATGTTCTCTACAATCCACAATAGTCATAAGTTGTGTGCTCGAATTGGTGTTGAAAATGCTTGCAGTCATTGTCAGAAGTAGTTTAAATGCTTCAAGCAATGACATCAAAAATCAAACCAAAGAATGATGGTAAAATAATTCGAAATCTTTAAACTAATGCATTCCTTGTAATTGGTGTTTACACCGGTGTGTTTGTGTGCTCGTTGATCAAATGAAAATCCAGATAGAATACTGTACATTTAAAGTTTGTATTATAAGAGTATCGCACCAGATTTACGGACACGTAAACCTAGGCACTTCGAGTTGTTCAGCTTGAACGGCTGTCGCCTCGTCTGGGAGTTGGTGAACTGCCTGTAGAGCAGCGATATTTCACTGATTCGGTATTTGCATCTACACTTTCCAACCTCAAAAAATGTTGCGACAAGAATAATTCGGAAAGATACATTTCATTATATATTGCAGCCATAAATTCATAACCCTCAATCCACTGGATGCCGTTTAGATACGACACATTATAGTAAGTATAATTACAATGAAAGTTAAGTGGGGAATTCCCTTTTGCAAATGAGGTTATTATTCATCAAAATAAAAACGCATGGTGTTAGGGCACATGCTTTGGCTCTTGTAAACAACCGACTATCTCACCCAGCTGGGAACTCATAACCAATTTGTACCAAACTAAACATAACTTTATTAGATCCCTTACACAAGCCACTATATATCGCCAAGGCATTCTTTTCTAGCGTTCATGTTAATTTGGGCGGTTGTTAGAGAGCACTTTGCAGTTGTCATAAGAAGAAATCCTTTAAATGATGTGTTGCCAGCATCTCGCTTATTCCAAGGGTTGCCATGAGCAACGCCTTGATTGCGCACTAGAAAAAATAATATTCTACTATACTGCCTGAATAAAACTTGTACTCTTTAGGGCCCTAGCCAAAAACTGCGAATGAATACACAATTAAGTACTGTTTGCCTTTAATAAGTGGCGCACCACTTGAATTCGGCTGTCAAGTACTAAACGACATTTGCATCACCACTGCTGTTGTTGCCATTGCTGGAAAATAAGATTGGCTTGCTCGTCCGACTGACTACGGCAAATCGACTAAGTGCTCTTTCCTCCTTTGCTTTACTGCCTGATTCCGTGCTCGGCCGGCGTAGCACGTTTAAGCTATTGAAACTTAGTTTCTACATTGAACCCCTACAATCTTACAAGCATGAGCACAATGACACTTTTTGACATTTCTTCAAGATTTATCCATCGCCACCACCACTCCAAGTAAAAAGTCCATCACTTTATGCGGAAGTTAAATAAGATTAACGGTCAGGATTTACTTAATTTTCTGACTAACCCTTTTAAACTAGGGAATAGTACCAAGGTGGGATTGGACGGTGGAACAATAAGACACATTGAGAAGAAAAGCTATTTTCAACAATTCGCTAAAATAAGCAGCGTAGTCAAAAATAGCCTTCTTACTCTTGGACAAGAACGTGGAATCTGAACGCACTCTGCTAAATTCGCTTGACAGTATCTACCATTAATGCTCTGATGGCGAGTAAAGTAGGCGCACCTGACCAAGCTGACAGAGCATTCGCCATTTTGGAGAGACACCGCGACATTATTCTATTCCACTACCTGCACACTATTACACCAAAAACCTCTTTAATCTATTCCAGACTGGGTGTTTTGAACTCAGAAAACAAACAACAATAATATTTTGAACTTGGGAAAGAAACGAAATAAAACTCAAGTCCTTTTTCACGATTAGAATCAAATTTGTTTTCCTAGCATAAATGGTGTCAACGAAAGTAAATTGTAGTTAGTGTGCATTTATAACCCCCTTGCCGACAAAAGAGATTTGTATGCATAGCACATACGATCCTTCAATGCTTCATCAAATAACGTGGTCAAGTGGGAAGTGTGTCGATCATTTACTAAATAAACACAATTAACCTTTGAGGGGGTGAGACGCGACTCGTGCTCCCACATCAGAGATTCACAGGGGAACTAACCATCGTAAGTGACCAGAAATACCGCAGTGGATACAAAAAATCAAACGTACTAACTCAGAAACTTAGAAATTTATACAAGAATCGCTAAGTGTGCAAAAAAATTGTCGCAACGGGGGGAATAACAATAAACATTGACCGGAAAATATGACCAAGATATGCATTAGTTAACATTAAATACTTTACTACTGTAGCTTGTTTGTAAGCTAAGTGTCAAAAATGTAAGCTTTGGGCCTGAAGAAAACCTGTCTATGGTCAATCATAATCACAATTCCATAAGTTGCCAATGATTAGACTGAGTCCCCATATCTAGCCCCGAATGCTTTAGCGCATGTTACATGCCCATGTTTGGCACTCCAAAGTAATTAAGTAATCCAAATCAGGTATCTTTTAGTAGCAGAGGCTAGTCATTGTCGAACAAACCAAGGGATTCTATCACTTCTGCAGTTCTAACGAAAAAAGGAAAATTAACATTCCTAGAATGGTTCCAGCAAGATGCAAGTTTGTTAAAATACCATGCTTGCCCATATTTATTAACGATTTGAAACTTCCTTGTTTTTTCCCTAATGCAGTTGGGTCTATATATCTTACATTAGATGCATTACTTTCAGGCACCAAAAGATTGATCTTTCTCTTATAAGCAATTTCCTGTCAAACACAGTCCACGCATTATTTAATTTTTACAAATAGTCATTCAGTAACATTGATTAGAACAAATACTATCCAAAAAATAATAGCATGCAAGCTTTGTTTTATTGATTAGACAGCCCAAGAAATTGCGAAAAAAACGCTGATCAAATTGGTGGTCGTCCTGCGGTGGGTAGTGGCTTTGCATTCGTTAATTTTATATGCTTTTTGCGTCCTTGTCAAGTAATTTCTCATCATTGCTGGAGGCTGACCATTACAAGTTGGTCTATGAATTTCGCTAGGCATTTAATTCCATGATTATTGTCCAATTGTTCTCTTCGCAGGTCTTGTTCTGTTTAGTTTTATATTCAAGCTGATTTTGGCGGTCATCATTAATTTTGTCCAAGCTTAGGGCTACTACCTATTTTCAGGGTGAATACCTGCAACACCTTATTTGATGGAGTTGATTCTGAACCAAAGTACCACCATTTCTTTGCACTTGGGAATAGACCGTTTGACTGGGTTGTTTCTTATTCCCGTGTTTTCTTATGTTTTGCATAAATCTCTGAAGTTGGTGACTTATTGCTGGGTTCTGCCTTTTGACATGCTTCTTAGTCTTATTTTCGCTCCCATTGGCCTTATATGTAAACCTACCAATAAATGCTTATGTTTGCGAACTTTTATTTCCTAACCTTTTAACACCCGCTAGCTGTACGGCTCACTGTGTTCGCCATAAATGATGTCATTTAGATAAGTCGCATTGCTGTGGCAATGTCCAAGAATCCGAAAGGTATAACCATTCTGTCATCCATTTCATTTCCGTAGTCGATGTACTGAACTACATGACTCGTGAAAATCGTCCCTTCAGTGTTAATGACGTCGTTGCTGCACTGCAAAAAGCCCATGGGAAGACGGTTTGTCATCTGTTTTGTTTTTTACTCCTCTTACAAATAAAGGCTATTTCTAAAGCAATCGACGAATTGGTTCTGGAGGACTCCTTGGTTGAAAAGGTCTACGGGAAACAGAAAGTTTTTGTTGTTTCACAAGTTCGTTCTGTCGTATTTCTCCATCTTGCCTCCAAAACCACTCCCCTTGCGACGATTTCCTTTTGTAGGACAAGTTGCCGCGTCCCGACGGTTTCGAGTTAAAGGCAATGGACGAAGAAATTAATAACCTCACGACTAAGCTTCAGCAACTTAAAGATCGAATTAAATTGGTCGAATCGGGTACCTGACATCCTTTTGTGTACTGTTGAAATTTCCGCAGTCGTCTGAGCTCTGGATGCCTTTTTTTGGATTTTAGAGTTGGAGTCTGTACAGTCCAGTTTGTCCCTTGAGGAGGCACGGGACCAGAATGCGATCATAGAGGCAAAAGTATGTGCAATTCCCTAGGGAACTCATGCCCCCAGATAGAGGAGATAAAGAAGTTGATTGATGAATACGGCTCAGAAGTCCCAGTTACCCCAGAAGAATTCACTCAAGTTAGTAGATTTTCACCACCGTTTTTTTTTAATCAGGATGTCTTGTCCTAGGGCAAATACATTAGTAGCATGCAACACCAGCAGCTCGCCTTGTTTTCCTAGTTCAAATTTAGGTTGTGATCCTCCTCCTTAGCGTTCCAGGGCGCAGGCCCGATTGAGGTCTTGAACAAAATCCTAACTAGCTCTGGTGCCTTTCCAATAGGCGGAAACAAGGCAGAAGACCGCCGTTGCAGAATGGCGCAAAAGAAAACGCATGGTAGAGCAAAGAAATACCGGTGATGTTGAATCCAGTGCCTATTCCTTGGTCTTAAATATTTCTTTCACCATTTAGGCCATGGATATCATCGAAGCTGTTGCCGAGAGTTACCCCAAAAGCCGAAAGGAACTCATGGTGCGTATTTGCTTTGCGGGGTTTCGCATACCATCTCGACTAAAACAGGTGTCTCTAATATTGTGGTTTTAGGAGGATATCGGCATTGAAACGGACGAGGATCGGGGAGTATCCATCGCCGACTTCACGTCATGATGCAATGACATTCTCTGATACTCCTCTGTTTTTCAATACTGACATTTTAATAAACTTTTTTATTTTACCATTGATTGCAGTCCCCTAAGAAGACAAAGTAGAGGCCAAACTCGTTGCGAAACGGCAATAAGTGAAATGCATCCGGGATGTAGAATCGGAACCAAAGTGCAAACACAAAAACCACATGGGCAGAAAACTATTGTCCCTGGGTTTTAATTTTGGTCATTACCAAACAGCCGTAGCAGGTATTCCCACTGTCAAGTTGGATTTTTTTACAAGTAAACACACATGTGCGGTGGATGAAATCGCAGAAACTCTCCAGGCTCCCGTCGTTACCGTGGTAGGCAAGCTTGCTCACCAGGTAGACACAGCACTCGGGCGCAGAGACAGCCTCCAGCACTGTGAGGAGCTTTGAGTATAGGTCCCTACGGTAGATGGTTTCCGCGGTGAGGATCACGTCGAATTGCTTACCCTGCGAGCGCCAAACATCCGCCAGATCCTCCCAATCGCCTGCCCAAAAGTCAGCCCGCTGTTCTTCAACTGTCAACTGTAGCCTCACGTTTGGAACCGTCCAGGCCTTTACCACGCAATGATTGAAGTCCTACTTAGGTAGAAAAGATAGCAAAACTTCTCGGAGGAGGGAAGGCGATAAATGCAGTGCTAGGGGCTAACCTGGAAGGTTACGGATGCGGCACAATGAAGGAGAGCGTGAATACCCAGAACGCCGGCTCCACAGCCGAGGTCAAGAACGCGCTTGCCGGCGAAGTCGACAGCCCTGTCGACGAGGAAATTGAGCAGGAAACGCGTACCCATCCACAAGGTGAAACCACCTTCTACTACGCCCGCGACTACATCGCACCCCGAGGAGAGTGCCTTCAAAACTCCTTGATCCTCATCCGCGCAGAGATTCCATGCCTTCACGCATTCTTCCACTGCGTCCTCTTGGTATATTCTTATGGCTGGAGAGCGGTACAAACTATCGCGGACCTGCATTTAAGGGGTTGTACTAGGCACTGCCACTAGACGTGCAGCTCTTTACGGTGGAAAAGGAGTGCATAAAGGGGATTTTGGCGTTTTCTTGAGTCTCTTCGTAATCAAACCTCCAGCAGCACCGGTTTGATGCAACAAGAAGTAGACACACGAAAAGGAGGCTTGCCTCAGAATAAATTCAAATTGCGTATAAAACCGCTGTGATAGTGGATCCAAAATACTTCACCGTGGAAAGCTGTTGCGCTACATATCACGGAACGAGTAGTTGTTTACAGCTTCGAATGTATAGTGTACCACCAATGAGGAGCTACTCGTCGTCTTCATTTCAAAGTGGCGAATGGTAAGGCACGCTACCGTAGTGATAATACATGCAGTAGTAAGTGACAAAGTACGAATAGATAGTGTCATATATCGTAGACCGTTCCGAACATCGTTAAACAGATTGTAGCGCCCGCACAATACAACGAGGCATGACGAAGGCGTAAAACTTACGAGTGCTCATTTGTGCAGATTTTTGGGAACAGTACAGTGAGACGCTCAGTCGCTTAAAGATGATGCATTTAAGTAGTTTGATCGCCTCAAAAAGAGCTGTACGTTAGTGACGACCCCGATCGTGGTGGTTCTCAGCCCACAGTAGTCATTACTGTGAACATTAAGCTCGCATGTGGAGTGCCTAATCCAAGATAATTAACGTAAAACCATAACGAAATCGTACAGGGGACAAAAATATCTAGGGGAACGATAACAGAAATCATTCACGGAAATTTAGATTCCCTAGAATTTGGCGCGCACTAAATGCCGAGATGGCTTTGCACTTTTGGAATGACGATGAAATGAAGTAGGCTATTCCAGGATGGTTCACTCCTACCGCCAAACCCTTCAATGATGAAGCCTTCTGGACACTAGTCAAATATAACAGATGACCATGTTGAGAAATAAACCCGCTCTTTTCCTGTACTAATACAAAAGCTTTGGTTTGAGGTAAACACTTCCAACAGTAGTTGGAAAACAGACCTTGAGGTACTTTCAAAAATTCACAGGGAGTAAGCATCTATGTTATAAATGTAAAAAAATAAGAGGTGAAGTAGTTACGACCGCAGACAGTTGGAGAAAGTCCAATCCAATAAACTATTCTCTTAAGGGCTTATCTCATTCAAGTCTTGCAGCGTTTGAGATACAGCTAACTCTAGCTTGATAACGCATTTAAGAAAGGGCACCATCAAATTATAGACACCCAGACGATCGACAGTTACTTTGCTCTCAGGTGAAAAGGAATACGCAACTGATGAGAAATTACCCCACAAGTCGTAATGTGGGTTTATAAACTACCGTTCATAAGTTATGCTGAAGGGGAATCAGCAATCATCAATAGGCGAAGTTAGGGATGGTAGAGGGGGAACATCTTCCCTCGTTAACCAAATAGACTGATAACGTCTCGATACAAGCGCAAAATTCAACCATCCTGTATTGTAGGCAATTATTAGCCAACTTTTGATGGGAATGATAAGCAACTCATTTGTCGTTGACGTGTCTAAATAAGAGTACTTGACTATGCAACCAATGATATCAATTATTAGCGCCCCAACATATGTGGAAGAAATGCATATTGTGGTCCGGACACGACTCCATCTATATTCCGGGTTTGACAATTTTCTTCTAGGGCAAATAGGGGTGACAATAAATGAGTATGGCACTTAAACAAGTTACTGAAAATAGGGGCAAACCTTACCATCTAAAGTAGGGATACGAATGCCACAATAGTCGTATTAAGCCAGCAAACGAGGATTCAAGATACTTATTTTCCCATAAAATTCAGTCAACTAAAGAAAAGAATCTCACCCTTGTTAACAGCATATTTATAAGGTCGTACTGGAAGTTCAAATGTTTTTCGCCAGGCTGGATAGTTCACAATAAAGACAAAGCGTATATTTACCATCTGATGACGTGTACTGTTTTGGTAAGGACTGCACTTTGTCTGACTTGCAACTTATTCCTAGATTAGGATCAACTTGGGGTTCAAAACTTTTGAAGAAACCAAATTTGAAATCCTATACAAGCATTGATGCTAATGATGTGAACCTACCATTCTTATAACGTCTCTATTAATCCAAAACAAATGCACAAATTGTTCGCATCAGAATTTGCAAAACTTCGCTGGAAAGAAGAATGCACGGTCAAGTAACACCGATGATGCCGTTTAAATTGAGTAAAACAGCAACTGCTAGCACTGCTAAGACTAGCAAACATGTAAGAGATACCTAAATATTGGGTTTACTGGCGAAGTTTAGGCACAGAAAAATAAGTACTCGAACATTCATAACAGTATGTTTGGAACCATTACAGTAATTAAAATAGGCTTTAACGATACAGAAAGACAGCTCAAAAAATTACGAAAACTCACGCAATTGCAACCAGCAAAGATTCGTGGCACAAAGGAAGGCGAAGTAATGTGAAAGAATAAGTTGTGGTGGTTTGAGAGCGCCTTGGCTTTGGACTCAAATCAATTAACCCAAGATGAAATCTGAGTAATAAAGAAGATTTTCAAGGTGCTGATACAGCCCAACATCCAAATACGAAAGGAGTAGAGATCAAATCAATGTACAGGTACTTACAGGGGTGAGTACTAAGCCGAACCAGACCTAAAGCGGTACGGACAAAAGTATATGCCGCATTAGCAATGCAATTGAATTAAACAAGTAGCTAGGTAGTGAATAAAAATATGTCAAATACATCAGTAGTCAGTTGGAAGGGATGCCACAAATAGTGATACTGGCTTACCTCGAACACTATTTGCAGTATTGAGTCTTGACTAAGTCGAATGCTCCCGAAAGAAATTGGGCTAGGCTGACACATCAGTTTTAGTTTAAACAGTGACATCAGAATCCCACCATATTTTGTCATATTTAATAATGTGCTACACTTATTACGATTAGATTTACGAGATTAGCATGCCCAACGCCTAAGAGACCGAAAAATTTACTGAAGCTTGTGTCCCTAACCTAGCTCCGCAGATAAATCTAACAAAAGTCACAGTAATTTGAAATAATGAAGATGTTTTAAACATCTGTAGTGCCTTGAGGTTTGGTAAAGATGAAAGTCACAATACCTGGGTGGAAAATATTTTATAGGCTTACGGAATTACTGTGGCTATTGGAATTGCCTAGGGGCTCTGCAGCCCAGCAGAAATGCAAAGGGAGAGCCTTAGGACTTTTAAAACTAAAAAGAAGTGGTTTAGCATATCACTGAGATATAGCATAGCCCTTTTCTTCCTTCAAACACAGTCTCTGAGCTCCCCTTTGTCATTCTTCCAAACTCCCATGAAACAGAGGCGCCAATTTTCAAATTTGTGTGCAGTATAGGAGATATCTTACCGCAAAGTCATTGATTTTACTTGCCAGTTTGACCGAATCTAAAGTTTTGACCTGTTTGGGAAATGTATTAAGGAGATCGAGGAATGTACACGCCATCTTGTATGGCATAAGAGCACTGGTCTAAAAACAGTCATTTAGTAAGGAACATGGTTTTAGAAATCTCTAAGAAGGTAAAGTTTTACGTCCACTCCTTCCTGCTACTTAGTTCTCATTTCAATGCTGCCAGCCGTATCCATTTAAATCCAATCCAACTAGTAAAGAAGTGGAGATACCACTTACTCGATTAAATAGACATCTTTATATGGGTGCTTTAGACAAGTGCGTAAGAATTTTACTTTATAATTTACGGATGCATAGCTTCAGTTATTAATAACATTCCTACAGAACACGGGACTGGGATATTTCCCAGGGCTAGACGTCATTTTTAGCTCCTTTATCAGAAGCTGTCATTGATCCTCCCAGCAGCAAACTGCACTATAGAGGTTTAGCATTCATTGATAGGATCATAGTAATTGACATCTGGGATCCAAATTCGCCTTCCGCTCTCAACCACATAGCGACTGGGTTACTTCCAAAAGATAAAAGAAGACAATACTAGGGCAGAATATGTATTGCTGACGTAGAGAATGGCTGTACCAAATGGCATGGCCCAAAGGGAATACAGCCGAAAGAAAATACAAATGCGTGCATTAAAATACCTCAAAATAAAAAAAAAGGAGTAAAAAAGTTCAAGTAATTTAAGAATTGCACACAGGG